ATCTGGTCCTGGGATTTTCTTGGTTGGTAGTCTTTTGATTGCTTCTTCTATTTCATCCATTGTTATAGGTCCGTTTAAGTTGTGAGTATCCTCCTGACTCAGTCTGGGCAAATCATATGACTTAAGAAATTTATCAATGTCTTCACTATCTTCTATTTTATTGGAATATAGGTTTTCAAAATAATTTCTAATTGTCTTCTGTATTTCTGTAGGATCTGTTGTGATATTGCCTTTTTCATCCCATATGTTAGTAATTTGAGTTCTCTCTCTTCTTCTCTTCGTTAGCATGGCTAAGGGTCTGTCGATCTTATTTATTTTTTTGAAGAACCAACTTTTAGTTTTGTTAATTTTTTCAATAGTTTCTTTTGTTTCAATTTCATTGATTTCTGCTCTGATTTTAATTATTTCTTGCCTTCTGCTACATTTGCTGTTGTTTTGCTTTTCCTTCTCTAGGGCTTTGAGATGAAGTGTGAGCTCATTTATTTGTTGGTTTTTCCTTTTTTTGAGGAATGACCTGCAGGCGATGAATTTCCCTCTTAAAACTGCTTTCATTGTGTCCCATAGATTCCGATATGTTGTGTCTGTATTTTCATTTATCTCTAAGAATTTTTTGATTTCTTCCTTTATGTCTTCTGTAACCCATTGATCATTCAGTAACATATTGTTCATTTTCCATGTGATGTAGGATTTTTCCTTCCTTCTTTTATCATTGATTTCCAGTTTCATTCCATTATGATCAGATAAAATTCATGGTATTATCTCCACCCCTTTATATTTACTGAGGGTTGCCCTATGGCATTATATATGGTCTATTTTTGAGAAGGATCCATGTACTGCTGATAAAAAAGTATATCCACTTGATGATGGTTGATATATTCTATATATGTCAGTTAAGTCTAGGTTATTGATTGTGATATTGAGTTCTATAGTTTCTTTATTCAACTTTTGTTTGGAGGATCTGTCCAATGATGAGAGAGGTGTGTTGAAGTCACCCATAATTATTGTGTTGTGGTCTATTTGATTCTTGAACTTGAGGAGAATTTGTTTTATGAATGTCGCAGCACCATTATTTAGTGCATAAATATTGATAATTGTTATGTCTTGCTGGTGCATGGTTCCTTTTAACAGTATACAATGTCCTTCCTTATCCCTTTTGATTAACTTAGTCTTGAAGTCGATTTTATTCGATATGAGGATGGCCACCCCTGCTTGCTTACGAGGACCGTGTGTGTGGTATATTTTTTCCCAACCTTTCACCTTCAGCCTGTGTATGTCTTTTCCAATCAGATGTGTCTCCTGGAGGCAGCATATTGTTGGATTTGTTTTTTTAATCCATGTTACCAGCCTATGTCGCTTTGTTGGAGAGTTTAAGCCATTAACCTTTAGAGTTACTATTGATATACGGTTTGTACTTCCAGCCATGTTTGATTATTTATCTTCTTTTTTTTAATTAGTTTGTTTCTCCATGATTAGCTTTCTCCCCGCCCTCTGTCTTTACAGAGGCACTTCCCACTGATGGTTTTGGTTATTGTTTTTCATTTCTTCCTCATGTAGTGTTTTGCTCAAGATGCTTTGCAATGCTGGTTTTCTGGCTGCAAATTCTTTTAGCTTTTGTTTATCATGAAAGATTTTTATTTTGTTGTCATACCTGAAGCTTAATTTTGCTGGATACAGAATTCTTGGTTGGCATCCATTGTCTTTCAGTGTTTGAAATACGTTGTTCCAGGATCTTCTCGCTTTCAGCGTCTGTGATGAAAAATCCATTGTTAACCTTATTGGTTTACCCCTGAATGTAATCTGCCTCCTGTCTCTTGTAGCTTTTAATATTTTCTCTTTGTTCTGTATATTGGATATCTTCATAACAATGTGTCTTGGCGTTGGTCTACTGTGATTTTGTGTGCTCGGTGTCCGGTATGTATCTACAATTTTTATATCCGTTACCTTTTTTATTTCTGGAAAGTTTTCTGTAATTATTTCATTCAGCAGGTTACTCATTCCCTTGGTTTGAATCTCTGTACCTTCCTCTATCCCGATGACTCATAAGTTTGTTTTTTTTATATTATCCCATATCTCTTGGATGTTTTTCTTGTGATTTTTTACCAGCCTTTCTGAGTTGGCTAGACTCTTTTCAAGATGATATATTTTGTCTTCATTATCTGACGTTCTGGCTTCTACTTGCTCCATTCTTTTAGTGATACTCTCAATTGAGTTTTTAATTTGGTTTATCGTTTCCTTCATTTCTAGAATTATTGTTTGATTTTTTTTATAATCTCTATCTCCTGATAAAGATGCTTAACTTCTTCTTTTATCTGTTTATGTAATTCAATTTCAATGTGCTCTTTCACTGTTTGGATTTGCTGTCTCGTATCCTCTTTAAGGTTCCATTCCATCTGTCTAAGGTATTCCTTGAGATCTTTATATGACCATTTTTCTAATGACTCTAGATCCTCCTGAATATTTAGGCTGTCCTTCATTGTTTGTACTCCTTTTCTTCCTTGCTTTTTTATGCTGCTCATGTTACTTCTTGTTCTGTTTGACTGCTGAGTTACTGTTTACTCTTATAAATTTATTTGATGCTGTTGCGCTGGTTTCAATGAAGTTATCTCCTCCACCCATGACGTCAGTTCTCTGCCAAGGAGGTATCCCGTGCAAATGGTGACCGTTCGTTCCCTTTGCCGGGTGACCAATGCAACGGGTGAGTCCTGACTGACTTTCCCAAGCCCCGTTTGAGTCCTGTGGCCCCACCATGGCTGATTTTAGGACTGTCAGCAAAAGAGTCTCTGCAAAAGAGTCCAATGTAGATAAACTTCCTATTTTTGTGTCGCCCTATTCTCTTGGCCACTGGCCGGGAAGATACCAGCACTCCAGGTGCTGGACACCCCTTACTAGTTTTTCACAAACATGTATCCAGTATAGTAGTTTGTAGAAATGTGCGAACAAGGCCTCTGGCCTTGAGCTGGGCTTCACAGAGATGTCTACGTTTTTAAGATAAGTTACAATTGGGCTCCATGGTAACAGCTAGTAAGGGAGAAAAGAAAGGAGAGAAGAAGTTCTCTCCTTCTCAGATGTTGTCCTTGAAGGGTTAACATGCCCAAAACAGTGAAATAAAAAGCTGCTTCTATGTGAACTTCTGCAGACTTTGAACTTCTGAGCCCCTTCCCTTACATGCTGGGTATAAAACTCTGAAACTACCTAAACTTGGGGTTCAGGAGATTAATTGAATACAGCAAAAGCTGTGCCCACTGAACCTGGCTGCAGCCAAATAAAACTGTTTCCTGCTATTTTCAGTGCCTGGCCTTGTCTGTCCCTACACACAACTGAGAATGGTTTCTATAGATGAATATGTGAAATCTATCTGATGACTGGACACACTGACTCTGAAATAAAATTAGTAAAAATTCTATACCCCCCAAAAAACACTTTCTTCTCATTAATAGGCGAATGATCATAGATATCTTCACTTAGTTTTATATTTTAAATGTCTTCAATGCAAAAGAATGTTCATGGGAAGTATCTACATGACATCCTCAATTTTGCCTCTTGATCTGCGAAGCCTACAGGACACATGATCTGGCCCTTCGCAGGTGCTCTTTGTCCTTGCTTCCTGCATTCTTGATTGTGAGCAGCCAGATGCCTGTGGGACACATGCTCAGGTTCTGGAGATAACCGCCCAATGCCCTGGCAGTGACACACCCTGACAGATACATCGGGCAAGAAACCAGCAAACACTTCCTTTGTTCCTTGGTTAGTCTCTTCCTGTGGAAGAAAAGTACTTCTAGGAAATGCATTTGATGTCCATGCTCACACTCACACCTGGGGTGAAGATTCAGGGCCTGAGAGCTCAGAACAAGGACATCTCTCCTTGCTGATTAGATCTGATAACACCATGACATGGGCAAACATCCCCCATCCTCAATTCCCACCATTCTTTCTCTCTCCAACCTCTTGAACTCTTTCTAAACCCAAATCTCTACAGTGTCCTCATGGCATCACCTGATCTAATGTGTCCTCAAGCCAAGGCAGGCTGCACTCACTGGGCCTGGAAGCCCAGGCAGATGGCCTGCATTTGCTCACCCAGACTCTCTTTCCCCTGGCTCTCTGCATGCTCCCAAAGCTGGGGTCTTCCCAGTCCTCTAGCATGTGTCTTTCCAAGTACCAAGCTCCCTGCCACACCCCTGCTCAAGCTACCCCTTGAAAGTGATAATGAAATGTTGAAGTTCATATTCTTCTAATCAGGTATTTAGATTATAGATCTGTTGATCTGATATCCATGCAGCTAAAATGAGCATTTTCTTTACTGTTTTTCACATTAAAGATGCACACTTTGAAGAAAAATGAAAAAGTAGCTGGGTATGGTGGTACACACCTATAATCCCAACAGCTTGGGAGGCTAGGCAGGAGGATCACAAATTCAAAGCCAGCCTCAGCAACTTAGTGAGACTCTAAGCAACTTAGTGAGACCCTGTCTCAAAAAAATAATAAGGGCTGACAAGGGAGTGCGTTGTAGCTCAGTGGTAGAGCACTTGCCTAGCACGCATGAGGCACTGAGTTCCATCCTCAGCACCACATAAAAATAAATAAATAAAATAAAGGTACTGTGTCCATCTACAACTAAAAAAAAAATTTAAAAGAAAGGAAGGAAGGGCTGGAGATGTTGCCCAGTGGTAAAACACCCCTGGTTCAATCCCTAGTACCAAGGGAAAAAAAAGAGAGAAGAAAAGTGCAGGATCTATTGCTTGGAATTACTTCCCCTTTCCATCATTGTTATGATATAGAGCAAACTCAAAGCTGCAGAGAAAAGGTGTTATGGAAGGCTCTTCCAGAATAAGATGCTGCCCTCAATCAAAGATGTAGACTCTAAGACACAGAGATTTCAGAGATCTTCATGTGTTTAAAAAGCGGGGCTTCTGCATGAGACCAAAGCAAGTAAAGGGACCAGACTCAATTCTCCCCTCTGACAACAATGACAATCACGCAACATAGGATTTTGGTGGACTTACACAATCATGTTGGAAGTGTTAATCCGAGTGTGGTGGAATGCCCCAGCGACTGCAGCTCTACACAGGGTTCACACACACATTAGAAGGCACGGGCTCAGCCAATGCAAGTCCAAACAAATGAGGTGCGTAGGGAGCTCAGGACCGCACTAGTCTGGAACCACCGTGGAAGTGCCTGCAGGGAAGCCGAATGTCCTAGACAGAGGTACAGGCTGCATGAGTTCTGGTGCAGATGCAGAATGGCTACTCTGATTCACTGCGGAGTCCAGCAGTGAGTGCTTTGATAAATGGTTTTGCAGTGTGATTGCTGATTTTATGTTTCAACCTAAGTTGGCTGAAGAAGGCCCAGAGAGTCAACAGAACATGAATTCTGGGTATGTCTGTGAGGGTGTTTCCAGAGGAGAGTGAACTTTTGTGTGGGCTCTCTCTTGTCAGTGAGGAGGTCCACAGAATAGGGTAGAGGAGAGTGTGGCTGTGGAGTCATTAATCAAGACCTCCAGAGGCCAAGCAGGAAGCAGGTCTAATTTTATTGAGCAGTTACCATGTATGTATACTCAGGCAGTAGCTATGCGGATTACAAGCAGCCACCAGTACAATTACTGGCCAACTGTCCCTGTGGTGACCAATCGAGGAGTGGGCCATGGAGCAAGCACAGGGACTGCAACACATGGCCCCACACCCAGGGCTGTGCCTATGGGGTAAGCGGTTTTCCACTCACACGACTAGCATGGGGGAGTGGTTTGCCACTCAGACGCCCTCAACATATGCCACGTACACAGTACTCCATGCACTTGTCCCCACATCTCCCCGCTCTGACTGTGCTGCCAGGACTTCAGCCAGCATTGCTGTTTTTCATTCGGTGGTCTTTACATGGTTACATAAGCATCTCACAACACAAGAAAATACTATCACTATTATAAACAGTAAGGCCAGGGTAATGGCATTATAAGATTAGTAATTTGGCTATCAGGTTTTTTCAATGTTCAGTCAAGCCCTGGTAAAAGGAAGAGGTTGTCAAGATAGACCCTTAGTCTCATTGATTTTGACAATTGTCTTGGTAAGGTTATGCAGAGTCATAACATAGTTTGCATCCCAAGAACGCTTAATATACTGAGAAATATTGGAGAAGTGTAAGGTTACATTTTCAGATACAGCACATTGGGTGACCCAAATACTATAAAATTTAGGGACACAAGTGAGCCTTTGTAATATAAACAGAATATCTAGTTGTTCCTGGTGAAGGTCTAGTTCTTCCTGAATGGCTAAAATAGTGGCTTGGGACAGTTTATTTAAGTCATTTTGAACAGCAAAGGCTTCTGCCATGGCAGTACACAAATTGTTTACAGTCTGAGCAGTCTGGATACTCTGAATGAGCGAAGCAGCAGCAGTGGCTGTGGTGGCGATGGCAGCAGCTACCAGGACAATAATTCCAGCGATGATGAGGCTAATTGCTCACTTTGTCTAGTGTAGGGTCTCATTCAGAAGATTCTTCATCTCTATGTGGGGCATGGGGCTGATTGTTGCAGTCCCTGTGCTTGCTCCACTCTCTGGACAGGTTCACTGAAAGCCAGATTGCTGGGGATACTCTGAGGATAAATATACGTTTAGCTTTCACAGCAGGGGTTAGATAATTTGTGAGCCAGGAGGATGTATTGACTGCACAAGGGACCTCTGTACAATTGATATTTATGCCATCAGTATCATTGATTATTAGCATGGCAAAGGGTGGCATAACACAAGCCTGTACATAGCGGGTATGGGTATAATTTGGTACAAAGGCAAATCCATGGTCAGGGTCTGGACTCAATATCGACCCATTCATCCAGCCAGCTACTGCCCATTTGATGGGTCTAGCAGCCAGCAATATTGGCATGAAATCCCTCATGCCATACTGATTTCCTGCATACCAGTTGGTAACAGCTTGTCCCGTGTAGCAGGTACTACAGTAGCCCATATTGTTTGGGGGCACATTAGTTACATTCCAGGGAGCTGCGCCTGCCCAGGCACATAGATATTGTTCTTCCTTGGAGAAATTCCTCTTATCTAGGAGATAAGGTGTGGCAGTGACACATTGATTCCATGGGATGCTATCATTATCTGAGGGGGGGGCTTTCTAAAAGAATTGTTGGGCATGTTGGCAGCAAGGGTTTCTTGCATTTGCCATGGGGGAGTCTATGGGTATAGGTAACATTGAGTATAACTTTAAGGTCATTGAGAGATAGCCCAATATATGACTTATTATAGTTATCTACAATAGTTTTATTGGCAAGAGCAAAACAGAGAACTGCCTGGATTATAGGTTTTATTATATACTATGGAGAGACAAATGGGCAGAGTAGGTATGGAAAGGCTAGTGTTCCAGGGTACAGTTATCTCCTGGATGGATAACTCAGGATCAATAAGGTTGGAATTATTAGAGAAGAGCTTGGATAAAGCCCCTTCCCAATTAGCCACTGCTAAAGGTGGTGGCCTAGTGACCAAAGCTCAATTTAACTCATGGGAGGTTTCACTGTTAGCGGTGAGCATTGAACACACTAGGACCATTGTCATAGGCCCAGGGATGGGGTTGCCACCAGGCAGAGGGGCCAATCCACTGGCTCAGTCAACAAGACCTTCAATATCACCCCAGGTTACTTTATGTGAGGGCCGTTTGCATTGTTGAGGTCTTTTCTTGTGAGGTTTCTCCTCCAGAGTTGGTTCCTTCATCTTCTTGGTTGGTGGTTCTGGGGTCCAGGGCTTAACTTTCGGGCAGGCACCCAGATGGGATAAGGCTCTTGTTAACATATGCCCTCCACCCATGGTTAAGAGGGGCCCCAGACCATCGCATGCATTTTTTATGGGATTCTTTCATGAAACCATAGGTAGATGGGAGGGCCCCAAGAGGGGGGCCAATGCTTAGGGGCTGCTACTTATATAGAAATTTTTGAAAGTGAAAGAAAATTTAAAGCAAATAAGATTCTTTAAAGGCATCATGAGGGGACTTGGTATAGTTTCCCCCTCTGTTTTGCAGCATGATCTTTAATTCCTTGTGTGTTCTTTCTATGATGCCTTGAGTCTAAGGGTTATAGGGAATCCCAGTTAAGTGCTGTATATACTAACCATTGCAAATCACTTGAAATGTCTTGCTGGTATAGGCTGGCCCTTTGTCAATTTTAATAGACATGGGAGCATCCATAATTTCAAAACATTGAAGTAGATGGGAGATGATCTTTTTATGGTTTCTCCTGTGTAGGCTGTGGCCATTACACAGCCTGAATAGACATCAAAAATTACATGAATATATGTTAAATTTCCAAAAGGAGCAAAATGAGCAACATCCATTTGCCATAAAGAATTAGATTTTAACTCTTGGGGATTCACTCCGGCAGGTTTTAAAGGGCCAATGGAGAGAAAATGTGCACAGTTTTTGCAGTCTCTGACTAGCTGTCTGTAAGCCTCCTTAGTCCTGCTTTTATGTAATTGCCATGGCTATGGGCTACAGAGAGGCTTGAGCTGCTTGTGTCCCTCTATCCAGGGTGACCAAAATCCATTCATCCAGTTTTCCATTTCATACTGGCACCTCTTCTGCTTTATGTTCCTTATTTAGTCTGTCCCAGATCAATTTCTTGGCTGAGGTCACCCTAGCTCCTTCATGAGACACTTTTCTTCTACCACCTTGTTTACTCTGTCAATAAACTGTGGCAAGTCCTCAGTGACTTTCTTCCTTAAGCCCTATATGGAAACTGTACCTTCCCCAGCTGGTAACTTCCTCCAGGCTCTCAGAGCACAGAGCCACACCTGATCAAAATAATTTGGTGGGCCTGTGGCTTGTACAGCAGGAGAACTGTAGATTCTCATTCCCTGCAAGCATTCAGCTGGGAGGTTAACATTTGTGGTGTGGTTATGATCCCCCTGCTATTCACATTCATCATAGAAAAATGCCTTCCACTTCAAAAATGTTGCCAGCTCAAGAGCTACTTTGGCTAGGTCTTTCCAGTCTTGAGGGCAATTAAGTTCAAGACTGAGTGATTTGAGAATTTGCTCTGCAAATGGCCCCCAGGGCCCATCCTCTTTCACTGTCTTCTTTAACTCCTTCAGGGTACCCAATGTGTGTGGATACCAAATGGCAAGGCGCTGTGGTATGGGGGCTGTGTTGACTGGGAAGGCTTGTACTACCTTACCCCACTTCTCATCTCTTACATAGATCTTCTAAAGGATCTCTGGCCTCCTGGAATGGGTTTCTGGGAGACCATGGCTTAGGCCTGTCTGGCGGCCTAGTCATTTCCAAACTGTCATAGCCCTTTGCTGGCTTTGGCGTTGCCTCATAAGGAGGCAGTTACCATTGACTCAGGGAAGGATATAATCTTTGCCTGTCTGTAGAAGGCACACCTGCACCATTTGTGGTCACCTCTTCCTGCTCATGAAGGCTAGAGGTACCATTTCCTGTCTGTCTCCCTCCTGTAACTGTTGTGGTTGCTTGCTTTGAAGTAGATTCTCGCCCCTGCTTTCCTGTGCCTGCTGCAGTTGCTTGCTTTGAGGTAGATGGTCGCCCGCCTTTTTCCCCCTGTCTTTCACAGCCTCATCTTCCCTCAGGGCCATCATTATATGACAATAGTCTATGGCAGGGCCCCTTAAACTTTGCTGAATTGCTGTCACAATAGGAAAAAAATGTAGTGGTAAAATATTCCCCTGTTTCATTTTAGCTTGTCCCGCATTTGCCATTATCTTGTCCCATATAGTAGGATAAGAAACATCAGCAGCATCGATTAAGGGTTAGTGTTGATAACCCAGAACTTCTGGGCTTCTCTCTTATTCATGATTAAGCCTCTAGTGTCTAAGAGAGTGCGCAGCACTGGCAGCTGCAAGTCTGTGGTGGAACTCTGTAGGTTCCTCATTTCCCCTTTCTCACTGCTCTGTAAGGGGCCACACCCTGTCTTATAGGCTTACCTCAGACCCTTGCTCAGGTGCCAGCGGCGTGGGTTCTCTCATCCAGCAAGGAGGTCCATGGAACAGAGTAGAGGAGATTGTGGCTGCAGAGTCGTGGAGTCGCGGAGTCATGGAGTCTCAGAGTCTTTGTTTCTTCTGAGAATATCTGTCTAAGATTGGGTTTAATGCTGATACCAGTGAGCCTAAGACCAAGCAGGAAGCAGGTCTAACACAGCTACCATGTTACTCAGGCAGTAGCTAAGAAGATTACAAGCAGCCACCAATACAATTGCTGGCCAACTGTCCCTGCAGCAACCAATTGAGGAGTGGGCCATGGAGCAAGCACACGGACTGCAACACGTGGCCCCACACCCAGGGCTGTGCCTATGGGGTAAGCGGTTTTCCACTCACACACCTAGCATGGGGGAGTGGTTTGCCACTCAGACGCCCTTAGCATATGCCATGTATGCAGTACTCCATGCACTTGTCCCCACAACCTTTGAATTGGTAAACAAGGTCCCAGGTACTGGGGAGGTAATGACCTCCTGGGAGCATGTGGGCACCCCCACATGATGTGGGTCCTGAAGAGAGCAAGGTGGTGCAGGAGGAGGGAGCTGGGACATCCCCTCCCTGCCCCGGATCTTAGTGCTCTTGGTTCTCAGGCCTTCAGACTTGACATGAGTGAGGCTACAGGCTTGAAGACATCAGATCTCAGGACTGCTCAGCCTCCACACTTACATGAGCCAAACCTTTTAATAAATCTCCTCTCACAAACATCTCTACATGTACTATGGATTCTGTTTCTCTGGAGATCTCTGATTGACCCAAGCAGTTTCTTTTAAAGTTGAACATTTACCTACTTTATGATCCTGTCATTCTACAGAATTTACACAACAGAAATGAAAAAGTATGTCCTTACAAGACACATACAGGTGTTTTGTTTATTAGCCAAAAATTAGACACAATTCAACTTTCCATCAGTAGATGAATGGATAATGATGGTCTCTCCACATGACTGAATGCACTCACAAATACAAAAAAAAAAAAAAAAAACAAAAAAACAAACAAAAAAAAAACAAGCTCTTGATATTTGCAACATAAAGAAATAAGCCTCATTTCTGGTTTAAATTTTAAATAATTGTACTTAGTGAAATAAACCAGAACCCCCCCCCCCATACATACTGTGTGGATTCATTTATGTACAATTCTGGAAGTTGCAAATAAAGGAATGGTGATAGAAAGCAGGATCTGTGTTTCCCTGCAGGAGACAGGGACTGAAGAGACTTTGGAAGGGAAGAGGTAGTCATGTTTTTGTTTTGGGTTTTGCAGGTGTGTACACGTGTTAAATTATCAAATAATCCAATATATGTGCATATTATTGCGTTTCTTTTCATAAATCCAATAAAACTTATACAGTATCTTTTACTGAAGTTGATATATACACTGTATGGAGTCAGGGCCATTCTGTATGTAGACTGTCTACAAAGAGTTCTCTTCAGCAAGTTGTTTTAAGGTATCATAAAACATTTAAATCTCATGGGAAATGAAAAAGTTGAATTTAAAAACAGCTGTTTTCCACTTGACATCATAAACGCATCTCAGTTCTAATGATCACAGGAATCATCATTCCTTAATTACTCTTGAAATCTTAATTTTTCTGTTAAAAAAAAATCTTTGTTTCTTCTGAGAATATCAGTCTAAGATTGGGTTTAATGTTGATACCACTGAGCCTAAGAACATGAGGTTTCTATAACTTTTATTTCCTGGCCTCTACACCTTTGCATTCCCATGAACTCAACTCCAACCTTACTAGTGTCATCACCTGGCTATGGTTTATCCATGTATTCATCAACCATCCCTCTGTCCATTCACTCATCATTTCATCCATCCATCCATCCTTCTTCATCCATTCATCCTTTATTCATGAATCCATTCTTCATGCATCCATCCATATCCATCCTTTCTTCCTCCCTCATGCATCCCTCCATATATTCACTGATCATTCCATCCATCCTTCTTTCCTTCATCTACCCATCCATCCATCCTTCCTTCCTCCCACATGCATGCATCCATCCATTCACTGATCATTCCACCCATCCATCCTTCCTTCCTCATGCATCCATCCATCCATTCACTGATCATTCCATCCTTCCTTCCTTCATGTATCCATCCATCCTTCCATTCTTCCACCCATCCATTTATTATCCATTCACTCATTCATCCATGTATTCCTCCATTCTTCTGTTCATCCATTCATCCATAGAACCATTCACTAATTCACTCACGCATCCTACATTCATCCATTTGTCCACTCATTCATCCATCCATTCATTAATCCTTAACTCATCCATCCATCTTTTCTTCCATCCACTCACCATCACTCACCATCCATCTGTTAATTCACTGATCTGTCTACCTAACCAGCCAGCCAGCCAGCCAGCCAGCAGATGATGACTGAAGGTCAACTCCACACAAAGTGGCTTCAGGCTATGTGGAAAGAACTATGAATAAAAAAAATAAAATAAAAATCTCCATTGGCAGCAGCTTTACTATACTGCTGCTTCTCCTCTTCCTGCCCCCTCTGGGGACTGCACCTTCCTCACCAATGGCTCCTCAATGACAACCTCCAGAGAATGCTCCTGACTGGACCCTTTCCTGGGTGGCCAGAGAGCTCTGGGAGATGTTAAGGGACACCTGTGGCCTCAGGGCTCTCTGTTCACCACCTTGATCTCTCTCACTGGGCCAGACATTGCCCACAGCAGCTCCTGCTCTCAGAACAGTGGCAGAAGCCAGGACCAGCCAGCTGCAGCCCCAGTTCCACATTGTACCCTGGAAGCACCTGGTATCCAGCAGGCACTTCAGGCAGAAAGAGGCAGAAAACCCGACTCAGAGCTGCTCACAGGGACGGGAACTTGCTGGCTCCAGTAACTGAGCAGTTCAGGATGCAATAGCTGGGGTGAAGACTGACTCAGGCCACAAGCAGCAACTCCCAGATGGGGCTCTTGGTCCATTTCTGGGCTCCACATCCTTCCCCATGATTCACCACTTCCTGGCAATCAGTTAGCTGTCAGGGTCCAGGCTCACTCCCTCCCAGCTAAGTTCCATATTCACGGAATGAACAAACAGCCTGGATCAGGCAGAGGCAGCAGGTGGATCAACTCCCTGGGAGAATTCCCAGGGGACAGGAATGGAACAGGGAAGGAGGGAACATTCCTGGAAGTCAAGGTAGCTACACAGGGGGCTAAGGGGCCAGATGTCCAGAATCCAGGACTCAGCTCAACTGCATGTGGCTGGCTCCTTCCTGCTCTTGCACAGAACTACCAGCCTCTGGTACAGGCCCTGTTCCCTCAGGCAGTGTTGTGGGACAGATGAGGCTGGACATCAAGGAATTAGCAGGAACTAGGTTCATTGGCTGCAGCCAGGTTCAGAAGGGAGGCTTTTGCCACAGTTCATCAATCCCCCTGAAAACTGAGTTCAGAAAGTTTTTGAACTTTGTACCCAGCATGTAGAGGGAGGAACTCAGAGGCTCACAATCTGCAGAAGTCCACACAAAAGTGGCTTTTCCACTGTCCTGGGCATTGAACCCAGGCCTGGATACAGAAATGTAAACACCTCTGAGGAGGCCTTGAGTCAGTCTTTCTTATCACATACTGAGTGGGATGCCTGCTGCAAGGGCCCTGCTGCCGACACCAGCACACCAGGCCTCATGCACCCCAGCCAGGGTACACACGGCCACCTGCTGCCAGTGTCCACCAGCAGTCCCTGTGGTCCCCAGCAGGTCTGTGAGGCCACAGCTCCCAGGGCGGATGCCTTGTGTCTCCACCGGGTCACACCACAGGCAGCCTGGCCTCACACCCAGCCCAGGTCTGCAGACTGTGGCTGTTGGGGAGGGAGGATCCACAAAGACATTGCCATGTTTGGAACCAAAATAGCTTCTCACATGAGAGAATCTTCTCTCAGTGGCCAAAATGTGATGCTTTTACATTAACACAGAAGCCCAACAAGCCAAGTTATGGATGAGTGCTCTGTGGATGCACCTGCAGTGTACCAACTCAGCAGACAGCCCTGCTTCCCACTTAAAGAGACACTGCAGGATGAAGTTCCATGTGGCTGCTTCCTCAGGTCCAATCCCCTCCTGCTGGCCCTCTCTCTCATTTGACCCAATGTCCCCTCTTAAACCCAAGTGACCAGTGCAGGTAGGGCGGCCTTGACCCAAGTCCTAAGAACTCATGGGGCAGGCCCTCGCCTCCTGGGCATGAGTTATCATAGAAGTGGGTTTCCACCAACTCAGGCTGGCAGACGCACCCACAGACTCCATTCCACCAGAATAGCCTTCAGTGCCAAACAAGGTGGCCTTCAGGGACACAGTTCCCTAGGCACCATCGTGTGCCTGGGGCACGGTGCTCTTCAGAGCAGAGAAGGACTGCAGATGCAGATGCCTAAGTAAGCAGCATTTTACCCTCGTCCTCACCTCACCCCTCTGCTGGCATGTAACCCTTCCAGCCAAACAGTTCATGTGAACATATAATGTGGTTTAAAGTCACACATCACATCGGGGACATTTTAATGGTTGCTTTCTCTCTAGAATGCTCCATTAGTGTGTGCACAGTGCTGAGTAGCTTCAGAATGAATTTCTCTCTCTTCTTTCAAAAGAACTTTGACCAAATGATTTATTTCTGCCATTAAATTGGGCACCAGTGCCCAGGCCATATTGGCCAGGAGGTGCCGGCTCAGATGCAGCCTCCAGGTCCTTCCAGATGCTGCCAGCTGCAGCTGTGAGGCTCCGTGTTCACTCCAGCAGAAAACCCCTGGAGGAGGGACACTTGTCAGGGGCAGGGCACCCTGACACATGTGCTCAGTCTGTCCCCTGTGATTTCTTGGTCCCAAGGGCTTTTCCTTCCAAGGTCTGGTGCTAGCTTTCCTTGAGTCTCTGCTCTTATTTATCTCCCTGCTCCTCGTGAGCACAGGACTGAACAGCACTCTTTGTCCATTCACTGGGGGATCTGGCAGGGACAGCGAGGCTGGTCTGGTATGCATACAGGGCAGTGTATCGACTGGTGCAAAGCCAGGTCTTGGTGCAGAGAAGCACCAGTCATGTGCCCAGAGATATTCACTGAAATCAGAGGCCCTGCTGGGACCCCCAACCACTCTTGAGGGCAGAGCCTGCAGGACCCCTCTCCACTGCCAAGCAGGAGGAGGGCTACAACCTGAGGGCTTGTCCTCCCATAGCCTGGGCTAAGTAGCATCCAGGGCTCAGCCTGCTCAGAACAGTCCTATCAACAAGGTAGACCCTGAGAAATTGGCCCACCAGGACCCTGCTTGATCTTCTGTGGCCATCTGCCAGTAGAGCCAGACTCTGAGCCAGCACTTCAAGCAGCAAGTCTGCTGCTGAGAAAGACCCTGTGCCTCAGGAAGGGACCTCCTCCAACCTCAGACCTGCAGGTGAAGGTCTTGCTGTTCTCACCAAAATATGTCTTTATTGTGGTTCAATCATTAGGAACTATATCCACCCAAAATTGACATTGTAAGGTGATCCCCTGTTCCCTGCCTAATAGTGGAGGGCCTGTTCTCTGGGGAGAGTGCCACTCAGGAGCCTGAGGTGAACTTCCCCCTTCCCCTGCCCTGCAGAGTGGCCCTAAGGTTTGGGGATGGAGCTGAGGTGCCCACCTCTCCCAGTCAGGAGGACAAAGTGTCCTCCACAAGAAACCCAAGGACCTCTGGGGGTGAGTGCCACCTGGCTCCTGTGTCTCAGCACATCATCTTTCCCATCCCTCTGCAGATGGAGTAGGCTGGAACCCTCAGGGGCAACACTCATCCCAAAGCCAGTGAGGCATGTGGGGACATCTGTGGGAGACACATGGGCAATTTGAAGGCCCCAAGGTTCCCCAACGTGGCCTCTTAGAGGCTGACCCTGAGAGGGAGAGACTTTGAGGAATTCCCCAGAAGTAACCCTCTCATCACTTCCCTGACACCAAAAGTGAGTCAGCAACTTCTAAGGGATTTTTGTGCTGACAGTACCACCCTGAGGGGCTCAGGGACTCCAAAGATGCCTGGCTCTGTATGCAGGCATGAGACTGGGAGGGAGTTGTCTATATGCCGGGGAAAGCGGTGGGACCTTCTAACCAGCGTGAGGTGAATAGCATCAGAGCTGCCTGCAAGCACCTCCTAGAATCCCTGTCAGGCACTCAGACCTCCAGAAGGAATCTGTGCCATTCCTACATCACATCGCACTTCCATGGCTGCCCACAGGGTCCCTCAAAAGCCTCTGGCCTGGTGATTTCACTGCTGCAAAATGTTGCCATAAAGAGGGTTTAGTCAGTTTTTTTGCTGCTGTGACCAAAAGCCTGAAAAGAATAATTTAAGGAAAAAAAGTCTACTCTGGGGCTCACGATTTCAGAGGTCTCAGTCCATAGAAGGCTGGCTCTATTGGTCTGGGCCTGAGCTAAGGCAGCACATCATGGTGGAGGGTGTGGGGGAGGGAAGCAGCTCAGGACATCTCACCAGGAAGCAGAGATAAGATATACACCCCAAAGGACAAAATATACATCTCAAAGCCATGTCCCCAGGAGCCCAGCTCCTTCAACCACCCCCACCTGTCTACAGTCACCACTCAGTGAATCCCTGTCAGGGGATTAATGCAGAGATTAGTTTAAGGCTCTCATAACCCAATCACTTCACCTCTGAACTTTCTGTATGTCTCACACATGAGCTTTTGGGGGACATCTAATATTGAAACTATAGCATTCCACTCTTGGCCCCAAAAAGCTTATGCTCATCTCATAATGAAAAATACATTGAGTCCATTTCCAAGAGTTCTGTAATCTTAACAATTCCATCATTACCCAAAGTCCAAGTCAAAAATCTCTGGACCCAAGGCAAACTCTCAGCATGAGCTCTTGTAAAAATCAAAAGTTATGGAATGGGACTGTAGCTCAGTGGCAAAGCACTTGACTAGCACATGTGAGACACTGGGTTTGATTCTTAGCAACACATAAGGAGAAATAAATAAAGAAAGACATTCTATTCATCTACAACTGCAAAAAAAATTAAATCAAAACTTACATGTATTCAGTATATCCTGGCACAAAGTAAACAGAAGGGAGAAATAGGGGCATAGAAAGAAGGATGGAAACAAAACAAAACTGAAATCCAGTTGGGCAAACAACTCTTGTAGCTCTACCTCCAGCATCCATAGCACAATATAATGCAATATTATATAGCAATATAATGCTCTATCCACACCCCGTGGCCTTGCTGGCTGCAGCCCACATGGCCTCTCTGTTGGCTTATCTGCTTGATGCCTGAAGCTTCCTTTAGCAGACATTCCACATTAGTGGCATCTTTTAATCTCAGGGGTCTCCACTACAGCTTTGGTTTCCTTCTCACATCTCCATACATCTCCCTCTCAGGGCATTTCACAGGGACTCCAACCCTGCTGCACTATTTCTGGCCTCCCAGGTTTCTCTTTGAAATCTCAGTGGAAACTTCCATGACACCCTAATTCCAGCATCCTGCAATCCTGCAGAATTAGTACCACATAGTTGATGCCAACATATGCTGCCTTCTTGAGGCAGTAGCCAAGCCTCCAGGGACTACAGTTGCTGCAGCCCCTGAGTGCCCAGGTGGCTGAGCATGGTGAAACAACTTCTTAAACCCCCTGTGCAAGAAGTGTGCCTCACTGGTATCTTCCCAAAGTAACTTTTACTTTCAGTCTCTTGAGCCCTAGATGGGTGTGGTCTTACCAATTCCTGAGGTGTCCTCAAGTCATCTTTCTTATTGTCTCTGAGCAGAGTCTTTAGAATTTCTTTAATTGTGGTAATGTCTCTTTTTTTAATAACTTTATTTTATTTATTTATTTTTATGTGGTGCTGAGGATCGAACCCAGGGCCTCACATGTGCTAGGCGAGTGCTCTACCACTGAGCCACAATCCCAGCCCCAATAGTGGTAATGTCTTTAACAGCTGCAATTTTCTTAGCCCCAGTTTTACTCCCACCTTTCAAGTCCCAGTATTTCAAATCTTTCTGCTCTGCTTTCTGGTCCTGAATACCACAATAAGTTTGGCTAAGAGCTACCACTAGTACCCGTGCCACAGCCTGAATACTCTGCTGCTTAAATTTCTTCTACCAGATTAAGAAGTCCATTGCCTTTAAATTCAGTCTCACAGAAAGTCTCAGGACATGGGTAAAATGCAGTCAACTTCTAAACCAGAAATGACCTCTAGTCCGATTTTCACAAGAGTCCTCCTTTTCCTCTGAAACCTCTTTACTGTCCACAGTCCTATCCACATGCTGGTCTTCTGAACTCTCAGCAGAATCACCAGTTTGTACCTCTAAACTTTACAAAATTCCTCCCACAAATTCCAAAGCTTCAAAAACTTCTGAACCACCTGGTCAGGTGAGTCACAGCAACAGCCCCACTCCCAGTTCCAATTCTGTTTTAGTCAGCTTTTTAACTGCTGTGACAAAAAAAAAGGCCTGATAAGAACAATTTTAGGAGAAAATGTTTATTTGGGGGCTCATAGTTTCAGAGGTCTCAGTCCATATAATGCTGACTCCATTGCTCTTGGCCTCAGATGAGGTAGAACATTATGGCAGAAGTGTACAGTGCAGGAAAGCAGCTCAGAACATGATGATCAGGAAGCAGACAGAGAGCTAAACTCAGCTCACAGATATAAAACTCAATGGCATGCCTCCAGGGACCCACCCCTCCAACCACACCCAGTTAATCCTTATCAGGGGATTAATGCACTGACTAGGTTAAGGCTCTCAGAATCCTATCACTTCACCTCTGGACCTTCTTGCATAGATTCACACATGAGATTTTGGGGGAAGCCTCACATCCTAACCACAGCAGATGGGGTTTCTGTGTCACAGGGCAGATGCTATAATCCCCTGGGCCATAGAGCCTTCAAATAGGCCACCATAGCTGCAGTGTCCACCAGCTACAGCAGGCTGTCACTGTCACTGTCTTGAGGTCTGCCTGCTCCTTCCTTCCACTGGTGGCTGGATCTTGCCTTTTTCCTGTGTCCACACTCTGTGTCAAGTGCAGCTGCTCTGCCAGGCATTCCAAGCAGCTCAGTTGCCTGCCTATGCTTAGCCTGGCTCTTGCTTGTCTCTCATCTGAGTGAGACTGAATGTGTCTCACATCTTTATTTATTGTTGTTTAAATCCAAGAACAAAATGTGCAATGTCATGACATTCTGGTTTTCAGGTAAAGTGGTCAGAAGGGCAGGCTCACCTCACTGGACCTCAAGAATGTGCTAGCTGGCTCTTTTTGGCCTTACAACACTGACCCCCTTGACCTTCATTGAACGGAATTCCCCAGAATTTTTAGTTCCCCAATAAAAGCCCTCTCCCTAGTGTGCTCACTCTCTCTCACTAGCCTCTTTTGTAAAACCTCGCTGCCCACCTGGGGAGCTTGAGGCTGAGGGATCAAGGAGCCATCCCTGGAGCTGGTTTAAAGGTAAAACTGTGTGTCTGTGTCTTTAATTCAAACTCCCTGAAAATTTTCCTGTGTGACCGAACCATTCCCCTCTGCACTGGCCGCGGACTAAATGTGGCACCCAATGTGGGGCATGCAGGTTAAATTCTAGGTTGAGTGGAGAAGCACGCCATATAAATTTATTGGATTGTGACAAATTGTTGTAAGGAGGTAGCAGACAGTTTGGAGCCAAGGATGTTAAAGATTAATAATGGGAAATTCAGCTTCAACAGATAAGGACATGTATTTAACTATTTTGGAGACTGTAAATAATCAAATAGGAAAACAGGTCAAAAAGAGCCAGCTAGCACAGTTTTTAAAGATGGTTGGTGAGTTTTGTCCATGGTTTTGTGATCAAGATTTACGTACTTGGGAGAGAGATTAGGAAGAAAATTACATAAAGCTTGTCTGTCTACTGAATTACCCAACAGTACTATCAATAATATTCAGAGGATTTGGACTACATTAGAAATTTGCTTCTTTGATGACTTGGGCCAGAATCCATGGCCCCCAGAAGATCTATTGAAAGGGATTCAAAGAGCAATCAAATCTATAGAAATGAAAAAACTGCCTGAGGCTAAAATAATCTATCTTCCTTTATCGAATTTGAGAGCAGAATCAAATTCCTTTCAAATTACCCATCAGGGGAATAACCTTGGAGCCAGACCCAAAACTGAGAGGTTAGCTCCACTTGAGCTAGACCCGATTAGTCACTTAGGAAAACATCTTTCCTGAAATCCCAGAGGAAAACCATATAGAAAAGCCTCCAGAGGGATAGATAATCCTCCTCAGAGGGAAGAGAACCACCAAGAGAGAATTTCTAGAGAGGTGGAGAATCCTCCTCCTCAGAGCTTTGGGAAACAAAGCCAAGATGGTGGAGAGGAAGGAGACACGGATGAGTCTCAGACCAAAGGAGATAAGTCAGACAGTGAAATCCAGGAATTACCAGGAAATTTTAACAGATTACATCTAGCAGGGCCTGCTCCAGCCATTTAGATTCAGCTGCTTCCAGTTAGGACAAATTTTAATAGGTACTCTGAGCTAGCAATGACCTTCCTTACACCGTTACAACATGGATTCAGGAGAGCTCAGGAGGCTGGTGAGGACTTTAGTGGATTTCAATTTTTCCCAGTTTTTGAACAGGTTATCAATCAAGACCAGTGAGTCCGCGTTCATGCTGTAATACCATTTAAAACTATCAAGGAGTTAAAAAATGCTTGTGATGTATATGGTCCTAATTCGCCATTTATGCAAAGCTTGCTTGAGACAATTTGTCATCAGCCACTCCCTCCAAGTGACTGATTCTCTATTGCATGATCTTGTTTTAGCGGTGGAGATTTTTTGCTTTGGAGGTCATATTGGTCCGATTATTGTTCGGAGCAAGCAGAGAGAAATAGAAGGCAAAATATTGAAACCCCCTTAGAAATGCTTTTGGGGACGGGTAAATTTGTAGACTTGGAAAGATAGTTGAATTACGCATTTGCAGTTTATGATCAGATAACCACATGTGCTAAACACTCTTGATGACAAATTAACTCCCAGGACCAGTCTAGTTTGGTTTTAACTAAGGTAAAACACAGATAAACTTTACTCAGACATTGTGGCCCACCTGTATCAGACGACTAACAGGTCAATCGGAGACCCAGGTGCTTGTGAATTTATCATCAAGCAGTTAGCATTTGAAAATGCAAATAAACTTTGTCAGATGTTCTCAGACCCCATAGGAAGAAAGGAACAGTTTCAGAATTCATTCGCTTGTGCTCAGATATTGGCCCAGCTCAATTACAAAGCTTTACCCTTGCAGCCACCTTGAAACAAGCATTTCAACCTCAGTAGACAGTACACCAGTCCCGCAGACAATATTTTAATTGTGGGAGAAATGGTCATTTTATGTGAGCCTGTGAAATTCAGTGCCATAAGGCCAGGGCTCTTCCTGTTTCATCAGCGCCATTGCGAGAGACCACATGGCGGGGGAGAAAATCAACCAATATGGCGTCAGTCCACCTCCATTTTGGCCTTCACTTCTTCCTAATAGGGAGTCAAAAAACTTCCCATTGGCCCCTCCTGGGGCTGAAAAAACAGGGGAAACAAAAGAGAGGTTGCAGGGCCTGACGTTATCCCAGCCGCATTTTTACTGGCACGAACCACCCAGACAATCCTTTTATGACCAGCAATGGTAAACTGACTTAGTGCCTAAAATGGGACCACAACAAATTCCTACCGGAGTTTTTGAGCCATTTCCTGCAGGAAATATAGGGTTAATCTTGGGACATAGCAACTTAAAACAGGCAATCCAGGTGCTACCAGGAGTTGTGGACTCTTATTTTAGTGGTGAGATAACAGTTACTGTAAAATCAGACCATGCCATCCGGCTTTCTACTGAGAATACAATAGCTCAATTGATTCTTTTGCCCTGTTATTCCGTCGATTGTCTGGATAGAACCTCAATTCCCAAATTGCTGGACAGAGTGTACTGGGCTTAATTAGTATGACAGGAGTGCCCCCTGATGGAACTCAAAATTAATCATAAAAAATTCAAAGGGGAGTTAAACACTGGAGTGGACAGTTCCGTCTTGTCTCACGAATTCTGGCCTAAAACGTGGCCCTTACTGCTGGGTTTCTGTTCATGACTAAAAGGCTCAGGGGTCACTCCAGTTGAACTGGGCTAACTGGGCTGCACAAAATAACCACACAAGAGACATAAACACCTTTTTCTTTGGGGTAGCTATGACGGTTCCTCTGACCTTAAGGGTTCCCAGGAAGAGAGAGCGAGAGCACATGCTGACCCCTTTTATTGAGGAGAAGCTATTCAAATGAGGCAAGGGGTCAGGTTTTAGGGGGCTGAGTCTATCTTCATGATGTCCACTGTCAGCAGGTTGACTGACACCTGGGTAGGTCACACACAAGGGCACAGTAAGAGAAGGGGACACACACACAAGGCACTTCCAGGAACATTCTATCCTAAACAGGGCAAGGGGTAATATTAGAAAGGAACAGGTGAGCGTAGCTTCACTCATGGGGCGGTAGCAAGACACACATGCACGAGACACTGACCCTTGAACCCAAGAAGGGTGGGGAAAGCTCTGCCATATTTCTGTGACTGAGTGCCTCAGCACCCAGCCAGAGAGTATAACTCAGTCATGTGTAAGGTTGGTCTCCCACACCCTACATATAGCGCCAGCCAATTAAGAAGGATTAGGACAGATTTCACAGCCTGCCCAGAGTGCCCTCGCTGGGAGTACCAAGATGGAAATAGTAGAGTTTTTAAGCCATATGTGTTAGATGCTTTAAGGGGATTTATGGGGAAGGGATATACTAAGCAAATTAGGATTATTATTGATAACTCCAAATTCTATGAGGTCATTTGAGGAATTTAATCAAGGGTTTCTTCCTAGGGATAGTGAAAGAAATTTTCAGGACGAATATCTGCTTACAAACCAGTCTTCTAGACAGGGATTAATAAATGCTTCAGACCAAAATTTTTATTAGGGGCCCTGAGTGTCTCCCTGATCCAGAAGACAGCAGAAAATATCACCTGGATCACAGAAGAACCGATATGTATTTCTCAGTGGCCTATCCCAGGGGAGAAACTTAAGATAATTCATATGTTTGTTAAGGAACAACTTCAAGCTGGTCATATAGAATCAATGCTTAGCCCTTGGAACACCCCCATTTTTGTTATTAAGAAAAAATCAGGTAGTTGGAGGTTATTACAGGATCTAAGGGCCATAAATCATGCAATTCAGCCCATGGGATCATTACAGTCTGGACTTCCTTCCCCTACAGCTATTCCTTTGGATTATAGCTTAATGGTAATAGACCTGAAAGATTGTTTCTTTTCAATAAAATTACATCCTGAGGATTATGAAGAATTTGCTTTCAGTGTCCCAGCAATTAATTTTAAAGAACCAGTTATGAATATTGCTGGAAGGCTTTGCCTCTAACTGCTCCTGCTCCCACAGGAGCTATATGGCAAATATCAGGAGTTGTTAAGTGGATTCATTTAGCCCACTCTCCCCAAAAGAGATTAATTCCTTTTCATGACTCTATTGCTCAATCAGTAATAAAAGGCAGAACAAGAGTTTTACAACTAGTTGGATCAGAACCTGATATTATAATCATTCCATTTTCTGTTCAACAGAATAATTGGCTTTTTCAAGCTTCTAATTTATGGCAAATAGCTTTTGCTTATTTTCCTGGTCAGATAGAAAGCCATTATCCTCATGATAAAATTATTCAATTTGCATTAATAACGCCGTTTACTTTTCCAAAGATTGTATGTGCACAACCAATAGACCCTAACCCTAACCCTAACAGTGTTCACTGATGGCTCAAGTTCAGGTAAAGCAGGTTTTTAAGTTGTGTTCATATGATACAAACCTCATATGCTTCTGCCCAAAGAGCAGAGCTACAAGCTCTCATTTGTGCCTTAGATTACTTTGCAAATTAGCCTATTAACATTTATTCTGACAGCTTATATGCAGTCATTATAAAAATGCAGTCATTTCAATATAAAAATATTGAAACTTCAGTTTTGGGGTACACATCATCACAAGAGCTATTTAAATTATTTCATAACCTACAAAGGGTGGTGCAAATGCAAAAGCACCATGTTTTATAAACCTCATACAGGCTTATACTAATTTTCCAGGACCTCTGACTTCAGGTAATGAAAAAATTGATAAATTGGTAGCTGTTTGTCAGCAAATGTCTTTTTATGATAGTGCACAAGCTTCACATTCTTTAAATCATCAAAATGCTTCTAGTTCACATAAAAAATTTAACATTACCAGAGAACAAGCTCATCAAATTGTAAGTCATTGCCCCAAGTGTGTTATTCACACTCCATCTCTGCCATCAGGGGTAAATCCCTGTGGATTAAAATCAAATCAATTATGGCAAATGGATGTAACTCATGTTCCTCAATTTGGTAAGCAGTGTTTTGTCCGTGTAACAGATTTATTTTTGCTACAGCCCATGCAAAGAAAAATGCTCAACATGTCATTTCTCACTGCCTAGCTGCCTTTGCAGTATTAGGATGTCCTTTACAGATTAAAACAGATAATGCAACAGCTTATGTAAGTTCTTCTTTTCAACAATTTTGCCAAGAATTTCAGATTGACCATAAAACAGGTATTCCTTATAACCCCCAAAGTCAAGCCATTATAGAATGAGCTAATTTATCTATTAAGCTGCAATTACAGAAATTAAAAGGGGGGATAGGACTATGACCCCCCCCAAAAAAATAACCTCAATCATGCACTGTTTGTTTTAATTTTTTTTAAATTGTGACGTGGAAGATTACACAGCAGCTGAGAGACATGTCTTCCACAGCAACAGGCCCTTTAGGCTGAGTTTTGTGGAAAGACTTATGGACTGGTCAATGAAAAGGACCATATCCAGTGATTATGTGGGGCAGAGGTCATGCTTGTATTTTTCCAGAAAGTGCTTTTCATCCTATTTGAGTGCCTGAATGCACAATCAGTCATGGAGGAAATAGAACCAAGATTCAAATGACTGAAGATCGACTCAGAGAAGCCTTCCCTCAAAAGAAAGAGATTTTGAAAAAAGAAGATGATCCAGCAAGATTCAGCAGAAAAGCTGTTCTCATGGGAAGACCTGAAGAAACTGACAACACACGCTTTGTGAATGATTCGGCTCTTAGGGAGAAATAAGACTCCAATGATGATGCTTGCCATGGTAATAGCATTACTTGGCTGTCAGGTAAAAGGGAGTCAAGCAAACACTTATTGGACCTATTTCTAAGATCCACCTTTAGTACACCCAGCCTTGATGACTGGAGAATCCATCCCAGTGTTTACTAATGACTCATTCATGATGGGAGGATTTACAGATACTCATATTACTCCCAATCATGTGACTAGATTTAATTATTCTGCCTATAGTGCCCAATTACCTTTGTGTTGGTCCCACGATAAACATGCTGGATGTCTAAGAGTATCATCTGAGGAAAAGATAGCAGTTGGGAAACCTAGACTAATTAATTGTACTATTAATGGAGACTTAAAACCTTATACTAGATCAGTTATTAAAATGGGACTTTCTCATAACAAACCAGTCATTTCTGCAGAACCTCCATGAGGTTCCTAATTGTCCTAATAGTTCTGCAATAGAAATTGGCACCTTTCCTAGATGGATAGATTGTGTAAATACCTTTCCAGTACAACATAAGGTGTCTAAAGATAGTGGGTATATTTTAGAATGGTCTCCAAAAGTTGATAAAAGAAAATTATGAAAAAGTTTTGCTATGACACCTGCAGGATTTGTTAGCAATATTTTGACCTGGAGTGAAGGTGGTATTCAAAAGGATGTTTGGCACTTAATTGCTGCCTGAGAATTTTTACATTTTACAGATAAGCCTTTACCAGAATTTGTGGGCAAGAGTTGTAAGGAAGGTTCTTGCTATGGCTTATGAGCCTGTGTTCAATCTCCTTATGTTTTAATTATTGGAAATGTGAAAGTTAAATGGGTAGATAATAGATATATTGTAACATGTAACAAATATAATCTAAATAATTGCATTACCAGATATAAAAGAGGAAAAGGAGTGCTGATACTTCATCAGCCCTCCTTTGTCTTATTGCCAGCTAATATTTCAGAGCCATGGTATGCTGATGGCATGTATTACAACAAATACATGCCCAACTAGTGAGACCTAAACATGCCATTAGAATTATAATAGTGAGAGTTGTTGCCTTGGTTTCCTTTATTGCCTTGACAGTCACAGCTTCAGTGGTGGCTATATCTCAAAATAGTCAACATGCAAATTTTCTTAATAATTTGGCTCAGAATACTTCCAAGGCTCTTCACAATCAAATAAACATTGATGAAAGGATTGAGACTAAGTTATATACCTTACAGGCAACTGTCATAAATATAGGTAATGAGCTTTCAGCTTTAAAGTTTAAAGAAAGACTCAAATGTCACGCAAGTTATAAATATGTGTGTGTTACAGCCGCCAAGTACAATACCTCCCTGTGGGATTGGGAGGAGTTTAAAAACCATATATTGGGTATTTGGCAAAATAATAATAACAGCTTGGATCTTTTGGAGCTCCATCATCATATTCAGGATATTCAAAATAATAGAGCTGATTTTTCAGATCCTTCTTCCTTAGCTAATCAAATATTAAAAGAATTAAATGGCTTTAACCTCAGAAACATTCTTAAAAACTCTGCCTGATATATTTTTGCATTGTTCTCTTTGCTCTTAATTCTCTTTTGTGTTGTAATTATAGGATGGCAAGTCTTCAAAGCAAGAATTTTGGGACTCAAGAGAGTAAATCATCACCTGCTTTTTCAAAGAAAGAAGGGGGAATATGTGGAAGACCATCCTTGCACATGACTGAGTTGCCTCCCAGGCTGGGTGTGAGGCAGTCAGTTGCAGAAATGTGGCAGAGCTTTCCTCACCCTTCTTGGTTTTGAGAACATATCCCTGTGGAGGCATGCCTTACCACTATTCCAGGGATTCAATCACTTCATCTGACATTGCAACACTGACCCCTTTGGCCTTCAATGGATAGGATTTTCCCCAGAGTTTTTAGTTCCCCAATAAAAGCCCTCTCCCTAGATGCTTGCTCTCTTGCTAACCTCTTTGTAAAACCTCCCTGACCGCAGGGGAACTTAGGGCTGAGAGCTCAAGGAGCCATCCCAGAGCTGGTTTAAAGGTAAAACTGTGTGTCTGTGTCTTTAATTCAAACTCCCTGAGAATTTTCCCACATGACCAAATTGTTCACATCCATGCTGGCTGCAGATTAAAGAGGCCTCTCACTTCAGTGCAAAAAAATGAGCACAGGACAGGGGGCCTCTCACTTCAGTGAAGGGACTGAGCACAGGAGAGAGGGCCTCTCACTTCAGTGAAGGGACTGAGCACAGGAGAGAGGGCCTCTCACTTCAGTGAAGGGACTGAGTACAGGAGAGAGGGCCTCTCACTTCAGTGCAGGGACTGAGTACAGGAGAGAGCCTCTCACTTCAGTACAGGGACTGAGCTCAGGAGAGAGGGCCTCTCACTAGGAAATAACATTAGCAAAGGAAAAGCCTGAAATCCACAGTCTGGGATGCTGCCTGGGACCAGAGGGGCCCAGCAAGACTAGGAGTGTTTGGATGAGACCCGCTGTGAGGACTTCTCACAGTGCTGGCATGCCATGGCAGTGTTCACAGTGTCCAAGTGCACTCAGCATCTGGATGTGTCTCAACCCTGAATGATTTTTCCTGGGAGTCCCTGTGGGTCTACCAAGCTACGGCAGAGCAATCCCTGCTCTGCCTCTTGGCCAGGGGTCTTCTCTGAGTCAGGTGGGCCCTCCAGCTGCTCTCCTGGGTTGGGGTTCTCTGGCCATTTTTTATCACTATCCCCTTAGGGGCAGCCACCATGGGCACCATGAATCAGCATCATGTCATGGCTCAAGACAAACACTAACACCAAGGACAGGAATCCCCGAAAGATGAGTCAATCTTCAGGACTTGATGGAGAAAGCAGAGAATATGGCCTGAGAGTGGAACTACAAATCCAAGAGGTTTAAAGAGAAAAGTTCATCTAGCATATGGTTTAGGAGATTAAGAGCCCAAGACAGGGGCCAATTTGCTTGGTGTCTGGTGAGAACAGCCACTTGGAGCCAGTGTGTGGAACACTTCCCTCTCACTTCAAAGAGAGACAGGTTCTATGGTCCCCTTCAGGGCATGCAGCATGGCCCAAGGATCTCCTTCCTGCCCCACCTTCAGTCACAGGGACACCTGGGTTCATTCACATCCACCAACCCGGGCACCCACACCACACAGGACCACACTGGAAGCATCAGGGTCAGAGGGAAGCAGAAGGAGTTGGGAAAGTGGGCAGCACCCTATCATGGCTCAGGGGGTCAGGAACGAGCGAGGCAGAGTACCCAGCCTGGGATGGGCCAGCTGGAACAGTGTCTGCCACTCTGGAACACAGGCTGTGTCTGGTTTTCTGCACCAGGCCCTAGGGCGATGGGCAGGTGGATGGTGGCCCAGGCCAAGAGGGCCCACAGAGGAGATGGGAGTGGGCTGCGGTGGGCAAGAAGAGGCAGGGGCCAGGCACGTTGACCCCATATGTCACTGGGGTCATGTGTGGGGGCAGACATCAGGCAGCATTCTCCCGCAGCAGGCAGGAGCCTACCACAGCAGCCCTTGAGGCTCCCTCCTGGAGGCTGGACTCCAGAGGCCCCTCCATAGCTGCAGGCCACTGTTTTCCCATCCTCAGTGGTCTTCCTCTACTTGTTACTCAGTGTTCCACTTTCCCCCTGCAGAGGACACCAGGCACGCTGGGGGAGGGCCACATTCAACCTTCAGCACTGGCTGAGACCCCCATCTCCAAATACGTCGCTGTCCCAAGGCACCAGGAGTTTGAGCTCCAATTCCTAATGGGAAGAAGCACCAAGAAGGGGCGGGGCTCCATTGTGAGAAAATCAGAAGTCATGTAAAAGACAATGATCATGCTTAACTTGAGAGGCCACAGGCCCAAACACGGCCAGCCACCAGACACACCTACCCAGAAAATTCCTGAAGGCAGAGCACAGGCCCTGAGCAACGAACTTCCCTCTCACAGACACCACAGCCTCCCCATGGTGCTGGGAATGACAGGGATTGCCACGTGAGGGACAGAGCCAGTTCCAGGCTGTCCAAGGAAGGTCCATGCACTGTCCGGGGCACGACCCTGTGAGGGACAGAGCCAAGCTCCTGCATACCAGTGCTGGTCCTGCACTGTCCTAGCAGAAGTTTACAGAGTAACTGAGCTCTTTCCACTATTTCTCTTCCAGAAGGTGAGTAAGACCACACGTTGAAGAACCCGGGATGAGTGACATGTGACAAGGATGTTTTGAAAGAAAAAAAAAAGTATCATGAAAAACAACCACGAAGTGCAGCCATGAGGGGCCACAGCACTGCCCAGAGCAAGTGAGTGGCTACAGCAGTGAGTCCCAGGTGCCCAGCTGCAACAGGCCCACACCACAAGCAGGCACAGGTCCCTGAGTCTCCATAGTCCAGCCTGATCCTGATCATAGCATGGTAAGAAGAAGCAGAGCACCAGTCACAGCAGACAAAAGCACCCTTTCACCTCACTCACAGTGTGAACCAGTCAGTCAGAAGGAACACACATCACTGCCGAAGTCCACACCCAGGAAACTCACATCCCACACAGCCAGTACCAACACATCCACCCTGCATCCCACACCCCAGCACCTCCACCCATCTATCTATCCCTATACCTCCATCCCCCACCCCAAAACTTACATACACATCTATCCCTCATCCCACATGCTGCAACTTTATCCCTCATCCCAACCCTACAAAACAATTCTGTCCCTCATCCCCCACCCCCTGCATCCACATCCTACATACTCCTGTGTCCCTCATCCCACAACCTACACCTGCACACCTTATCCCATTCCTAACTCTAACCATAACCTCTGTCCCTCATCCCACAACCTACACCTCCAACCCTCATCTCACACCCTACATACATCTCCATCCCTCATCCAACATCCTACATACTCCTCTGTCCCTCACCCCCAAAACCTACATGTACACCCCTCATCCCATTCCTAACTCTAACCCTAAGCTCTGTCCCTCATCCCACACCCTACTTACACATCCATCCCTCATCCCACACCCTACATACACGTCTAACCCTCAACCTACACCCTACATACTCCTCCAACCCTCATCCCACACCTTGTGCACACCTCCATCCCTCATCCCACACCTGACATACACCTCCAACCCTCATCCCACACCCTACATACTCCTCCAACCCTCATCCCACATATTACATACTCCTTCATCCCTCATCCCACACCCTACGTACTCCTCCATCTCACATTCCACACCCTACATACCCCTCCATCCCTCATCCCACATTTTACATACTCCACCATCCCTCATCCCACACCCTATATACTCCTCCATCCCTCATCCCACATATTACATACTCCTTCATCCCTCATCCCAAAATCTACATACACCTCCATCCCTCATCCTACACCCTACATACACCTCCATCCCTCATCCCACACCCTACATACACCTCCATTCCTCATCTCACACCCTACATACACTTCCATCCCTCATCTCACACCCTACATATTCCTCCATCCCCCATCCCACACCCTATGTACACCTCCATCCCTCATCCCACACCCTACATACTCCTCCATCCCTCATCCCACATATTATATACACTTTCATCCTTCATCCCACACCCTACATACACCTCCATCCCCCATCCCACACCCTACATACTCCTCCATCCCCCATTCCACACCCTAAATATTCCTCCATTCCTCATCCCACACCCTACATATTCTTCCATCCCTCATCCCACACCTACATACTCCTCCATTACTCATCCCACACCCTACATACACCTCCATTCCTCATTCCACATATTACATACTCTTCCATCCCCCATCCCACACCCTACATACTCCTCCATCTCACATTCCACACCCTACATACTCCTCCATCCCTCATCCCATACCCTAAATACTCCTCCATTCCTCATCCCACACCCTACATACTCTTCTATCCCTCATCCCACACCTACATACTCCTCCATTCCTCATCCCACACCCTATGTACTCCTCCATCCCTCATCCCACATATTACATACTCCTCCATTCCTCATCCCAGACCCTACATACTCTTCCATCTCTTATCCCACACCATACATACTCCTCTATTCCTCATCCCACACCCTACTTATTCCTTTTTCCCTCATTCCACATATTATATACTCCTCCATTCCTCATCCCACACCCTATGTACTCCTCCATCACTCATCCCACACCCTTCATACACCTCCATCCCTTATCCCACATATTACATACTCTTTCATCCCCCATCCCACATCCTATATACACCTCCATCCCTTATCCCATACCCTACATACACCTCCATCCCTCATCCCACACCCTACATACTCCTCCATCCCCCATCCCACATTCTACATACACCTCCATCCCTCATCCCACATATTACATACTCCTCCATTCCTCATCCCACACCCTACATACACCTCCAACTCTCATCCCACACCCTAAATACTCCTCCAACCCTCATCCCACATATTACATACTCTTCCATCCCTCATCCCATACCCTACATACACCTCCAACCCTCATTCCACACCCTGTGTAAACCTCCATCCCTCATCCCACACCCTACTTACTCCTCCATCCCTCATCCCACATCCTTTAGTACACCTCCATCCCTAATCCCACATCCTATAGTACACCTCCATCCCTCATCCCACATATTATATACTCCTCCATTTCTCATCCTACACTCTACATACTCCTCCATCCTTCATCCCCCACTCTACATACACCTCCATTCCTCATCCCACACCCTACATACACCTCCATTCCTCATCCCACACCCTACAACTCCTTCCCTCATACCACACCCTACAACCTCTTCCCTCATCCCACACCCCAACACCTGCAACCATTCATTCACCCTTTCCTCCTTTGCTCTTAAGGGTTGTTAGAAGTTGTCCAGGGAGGAGTACTGACTTAGGTCTGTTTCACATTTGCTATTGCTAAGCTAAACGCATACATTTCTGTTCACTGTTTTCTTTGGTAGACATTTCTATGAGAAGTGGATTCTATCCTGGACAAGGTCAGTGGTCTGTCAATTTTCCTGGGTGGACCTGACAGGCCTAGAGAGAAGCTGCTGTTCAGGAGACAGTAGGTGGGCAATTTAGCACACCATTTGCACCAAGACACCAACTCCAAAATCACCAGAAAGTTCTGGGATGGGGCAGACTTTACAACCTTAATCTCTAAGTAACAGAAGCAGCTGCTGCCTAGCAACAGGGATCCCTGGGGGCCAGAGTGGGACCACTCTCAGAACTTGCCAGCCACCAAGGCTGGCAGCCTCGCTGCCTCTACTGGTGTCCCCTGCCTCAGGACCCACACTGTCTTCAGGCTACCACCAGCAGAGGCCTGAGACACGGCCGTGGCACTCTTCCTCAGCAAGGAGAGACCCCACAGGGCTCTGGCCTCTGCCCTCCCCACCCACCAGCACCCCTGCCCTCCCCACCCACCAGCACCCCTGAGCCTCTTGTATGGGCCTTAAACTGACATGGTAGGGCCCCTCTCTCCTCCCTGCACTGCCAGGTTCTGTTCTTGCTGGGTTCCCTAACACCTGTGTCTGGCAGCCTGAAGCATAAGCCCTGGAGTCTCTGGCTCCTTCACCAGGATGCCAGTCCCAGGGGAATGGACCCAGGAACCAGGGAGGCTGTGCTCAGTGCAGCTCCTCTGCCCCATGAGGTGGGGGTAAGGTAGGTGAAGGCAGAGGATGTCCTCTTAAGGCCACCAAGGCTTTGCTAATGTAAGTCATGACTCCCACCACAGAGTCCTTCTCCCCACCTGGAGAGGGCACCATGATTCACATCTCATGCTCCTAACAGGGTAAATTTTAGGGTTCTCACTGAGGAGAGGGGCCTCATTTTCCTCCCCAGAGAAACCTTGAGTTAAGAGAGAAGGACTGTGGGAGCACAGGGGAACCAGTGAGAAGCAGCCCCTTAGCAGGACACCTCCCTACAAAGGAGAGTCCACAGCCTCCTCACCCTGGAGGGCCCCACTGGCCAACCCCCAAGAACACTCCCGGTCCTGGGCTGCCCCAGGGTCATAACGCTGGCAGGTAGACCAAGGACTCCACTGTCCACAGGGGAAGAGCAGCTCCTGCTAATTTCCATAGCCAACCTGGTGCCCAAGGGGCCACCTCCTTAATGTCCAGCTGTGGAGAGCGGTGACAGAGAACAGGAGAGCAGGGTCTGACATCGGGGTCCCTGATGGCCTCATGGCTGTGGCATGCCTGGTGCCTGGGAAAGTTTCTGTGCAAACATGTGGGATGCCTAATTGCTATGGTAACACCCTCCATGAGGAGGCTCTGTGCTGGAGTCTTATCAGCTTCGACCTTGACCTCAGGCACACAGCTCCTGGGGATAGAGGAACCTTCTTGCTAGACAACCACAATGTTTCACCAGCTCGCTGCTCCTGAACCTGCCTGCCTAACAGTAACTTTGAACAATGGACTTTCTGGAGAGCTGCACCATTCTCCTAACATTGCACATCGCAACTGTAGAATGCAGCTGCAGAAAAGCTGCATAATGTTGCAGCCCTGTAACTTTCTGGGTACAAAGAATAACACTTGCATAGTCTTTAATCTGATTAATGAGACACATATAATAAAGATTGCTGGTGTGATTCTTTAGACCTGCTTCTCCATCAGAGAGCAGTGCTTCCCCCAATACCAGTTGTTATCTTCAAAATCTGTGCATATGAGTCTTTATTCTTCTAATCTCCCATCGCCCCTCGCCAGAACCTGCTAGTTTAGACGTGCTGGCCATGGTATCCAGCCATCCTGGGACAAGGCCAACCAGAAGCTGGGCCTGGGGAAGAGGAATAAGACTGCCAGTAATGGGGCTGTCCCATGGGGCCAGCGGCCTGGTCCTATGCCCCCTGCTGCTCAGAAATGGGGTCTCTGGGGATCTGGTCCAAGTGTCTAGTGGACGTAGTTACCAATTCATCCACCAACCTCACAGGCTGCACTACAGCTGGACACCCATCTCACTCGCAAGGTCCAGAGCCCATCCACACAGAACTGACAAGAACCACATTGGCAGCCATAGCATGTGAGGCCCCAGGGAGCTCAGGCCACCTTGACTAGCCAGGCCGCATCACCTCAGGCCACCAGTGTGCCGGGGCATGGTCACCACACTTACCACCAGGGTGGCCAGGCTGGGCAGGCCCATGAGGAGGCTCTGCATCACCCTGTGTGTCTTGCTCCCATGAAGTGAAACAAGGAGCTCAGGCTCTGTCTAGCCTCTCTGGGGTTCAGAAGTTTCCTGAAGCATGCCCCAGGCTGCTTCCCTGGCAGAACATCTCCCTCTCCAGTCATGAGGGTCCTGAATAAGAACCCCAGCTGATGGGCAGTGAAACCAAGCAAAGCCCTACATCCCTCTGGACCCAACAAATTCTCCAGCAGAGAGCTGGGCAGCAAGCAGACCCAGGCTCCTACATGTGCAGAGGTGCTGAGAGAGACAGCTCAGCTGTCACTCAGATCCTGTGACTCACAATGCTGAAATTATCACCCCATCCTTAGGCTCCACAGTTAGTGGACTCACAGGCTAGAGGAAAGAAACAAAATGCTGCAGAGCCCCCAAAAGTTGCCAGGGAAGTCATCTTTGCTGACTATTGAGCCTTTGCGCGCCCAGGACAAGATAGCTGCCTGAGGCCCTGCTGAGTCTACAGAGAGGCTCAGCTTTAATGGATCCTCAATAAAGAGCATGAGGTTCTGAGTGCATCTGGCCAGGTTCACACCAGCTGCCTGCAAAACTGACAGAGTGCAGGCTGCTGGGTTCCAGATGCTCAGAACCCAAGGACCTTGGCCTTTCTGGCACACGGAAGGTGCTCAGTGAAATCTATGTCACCTGGATTGAGGATTTTCTGTTACATATTCTTCTAATCTATAAAATGTTCACAGAATAAATATTTATGATCAACTGCATTTCAAGAAACTGTTAAGCCTTCTGACCACCTCCTACTTCACCTTGATCAAAATATGTACATAAAGCTCAGCCTCACCACAACAGTTACACTATACAGAGATTCGTGCTTTTTCCAAACTCCTGCAAAAATTTCATTGAGTACACAAAACATCTCAGAAAATTTAGAGATGCTTATTTTTATAGTTGGAAAAGTTGAGGTTTGGAGAGGTACTCATTTTCCAAGGTCACAAAGGCCATGAGAGTCAGGAGACTTTGCACTGTGCTCAGGGACATATCTGTGAGTGTCTGGCTATGGGCTGTGTCCCTGTGTGGTGGGCAGGAGGCTGGGAAGAGCAATCCTGAGCCATGCCAGACAGACTTAGGCCTACTCCCCTGCAGAGGAGCATAACTGCAGCACTCAGCAACACTCCTGATGTTGGTCCCAAAGCACCAGAACATACATCTCTACTCAAGGGTTCCCTGCGTGCCCTGGGTTGTCATGTTCCTCACAACTTAAACACTCAGGGTCACTCCAGGTGAACTGGGCTGCACAAAATAATCACACAGAAACAGAGAAATGCCTTGTTCTTTGGGTCCTGTGACAGCTCCTCTGACCTTAGAGGTCCATGGAAAAAGAGAGGGCACTTGCCGAACCCTTTTACTGAGGCAAAGCCATTCAAATGAGGCAAGGGGTCAGGTTTCGGGGGACTGAGTCTAGCTTCATGATGTCTGCTGTCAGCAGGTTGACTGACATCTAGGGAGGCCACACCCAAGGGCAGAGCAAGAGAAGGGGACGCACAAAGGGTATTTCCATGGAACTTTCTATCCCAAACAGGGCAAAGGGGTAGGATTACAAAGAAATAGGTGAGCATAGCTCCTGGACACGCCTTCTACTTCCTGGGCTGGGACAACAATCAAGCATCACAAAATGTAGTGATCCTCAGAGCCTCTTGCTTCAGGATGGAAGGCATGGGTCATTCAGCCCCACACTGGGTCCAGTCCTTGGGGATAGAAACTGGGGCTGGGGATGCTGCTGGGCTGCTCCTGGGGTCTCCCACTGTCCCTGCAGTCTTAAAGGCTTCTGGTCATGTTGACAAAGAAAAAAAAATGAGACACAACTCCCCAAATGAACTCCCCAAAGAATTACCTGGAGAAAAATGTCAGCACCAATAACCAAGTACCCTCTGTTCCACGTGAGATCCGGGCAGGCCATGCTGTCTCCAGTGGGTGTTTGTAGAACTGACCATGATGTCCCAGATGGACAAGCATGGATGTCCAGAAAGGTGGGTGTGGAATCCGGCTCCAGACTCAGGTACTTGACAAGCCAGGTGAGAGGAGAGAAACCTGGTGAAACCAATGGGGAGGACCGTGGGGAAGTCCAAGATCAGGATCCCAGGTCTCCGCAGCCATCTTGACAGGCACATGAGGAAATGAGGCAGATGATAGCCCCAAAGTCAGCTCACAGTGGAAGTCATAGACCCTGCAGAGCCAGCTGCCACCTGAAGTACTCCGAGCACCACTGCTGCTGGCACCAACTCCGGAGTCAGGCTGGACTTCTCCTGGTGAAGACAGACTCTTGCAGCAGTCCTTGTTATTAGGCTGTGGGAATCTTCCAGAACAGCCACACCCTGACTGTCCCTCATGGTCATGTTCCTCTCTGATTGCACAAACACCTTTGCCTTGATGGCAGAAGTCCAAATCCCAGGAGCACTAGATGGTTCCTCGCATCCTCCTGCTGAAAGTCCTTGGGAAGCCCAGCAGGTGCCCTGGCTGCTCATGAAGAAGAGAGATCAGTGAAGGAGACCAGAGGCAGGGGGTGGACGGGACACCTCAGGGAGGGAGTGAAGAGAGAGAAACCCTAGGCCAAGTGTGGGGCAGGGCCAAGCCCAGAGTCTCCTTCCTCCTGGCCTGTGTGATTCACCACAGGTGAGAAGGGTGTTCTGAAGGCTCCAGATATGAGCTGGGTGACATTTCCATTCCTCCTCCTACCACCTGTGTGACAGGCAAGCAGGAGACCCAGGAAGGGAAGGGAACCATGGCTTCGGACCCACAAGCCCCTCGAACACTACGTCTGTTCCCAGCTCATCCCCTCCAGGGCTGAGCTCCTGAGAGCCCGTGAAAGACCTAAGCATCCTCATTCTACTTGGGTCCTCATTTTGCTCTGAAACTTAACCCCTGACTTACTGCAGTCCTAAAGTCAGGAAAATACCACAGAAAAGCTCTGTGGAAAGAGTTCTCGGGAAAGCCGCAGATGGTGATCACCTAAGACAAGCAAGATATCGAAATATCTGAAATTCCAGATGGCCCCACCTAGGTGTGGTGACCAATATCTAAACTAGAAGCCCTGCAGCTTGGCACTACCCCCCTTGTGACACCCTCATGGTTTAAACCAATCATTTTTAAGTGCGTCAACCCCTTGAACTAACCAATAATCCTTTCCAGATTCTTTCCCGCCACTTGATACACTAATCATGTTTTAGAGTTGTTATTTGATTTTCCTGTGGTGTGTGATGATTTGCTAAGAGATGCTATGATGTATGTGGGGGTCCCTGCCTTCCCCCAAAGAATGTATAAAACTGCTGCAAACCCTGGGCTCGGGGCCTCTCAGAGTCACCAGTTGCTGTGTGCGAATGGAGGACCGAGCTAGCTTGCAATAAACACCTCTTTGCTGCTTACATCGATCTTGGTCTCTGGTGGTCTTTTGGGGGTCCCAAATTCGAGCATAACACCCAGAGGCCAGGAGCAAACAAGCTCGGTGGCCAACCCTGAGCAATGCAGCTCACCTGGAGTCTCCGTTAGATGACAGAGCAGAGGCAGGTGTCCTTAGAGACTGGGATGGGCTGTGCTCCAAACACAGGCAGTGTTGGACAACAAGGATTACGAGGACTGGGTGACCCTGACCTAGAGACCCTGAAAGAGCCAGACCACCATGACCCCACATGACTCCTGTGATTAGCAGAGTGAAACTCCCCAGCCAATGTCTCCCCAGCACTTCTCATGACCTGGGCCCCAAAAGCACACCTCCCTCTGGGGGGCCTGCAGGTCTCCCTCTGCACATGTCCTGCTTGGTCCTGCTGTTTGTGCCTCTCTGACAGGTCCTGATGTTTCCTTCTGTGGTGAAAGCCAGGACTATCAGGGTCAAGTCAAGGTCTCCTTCTCCCTCTGAACTTTTGTGGACCTTATCCAGTGATAACAGGAGGGCAGCAAGGCACAGAGAAAGGCAGTCCTGGTCTCGGAGATGGTGAAGCCAGACTTACAGATAGGGAGCTAGTGTAGTTAGGTAAATCGGGTCTAATATGGAGTAAAATCAGGAATGAAGGCCATGTTGAGAATGGAGTCCAGGAAAGGGGGAGTTGAAAAAGTCCCCAAGGCCCAGAGCCTATCCCAAGGAAATGTTAATGAAGCAGCTCCCAGCAAACAGGGAGATGCAACCCAAAAGCCCTCCCTGCCCAGATTACTCCTTCCCACCTACATTCCATCACTGCAAGATGACAGAACAAAGGACAGGAGTGTGACAGGAATGCAGGAAGCTGAAAGAAGACCTTAGCTATAAAAAAAGGGAAGACCTCCCCCTTCCACGGATTCCACCTCTTGGTCCCCTTCTTCCTCCGGGGAGAAAAATTTTCTGCTGCCCTTTAATAAAGCTTTACTTTCCACTCTGACCTTGCCTCGGCTTGCTTCTCTGGTGTTATCTTCAGCATTGGGGAAGCAAGAACTCGTCACCGGTAAACAGCAGTAACACTGGTGAGGACAGAAAGACCAGAGAGGACGTCTCTGTCTGAGGAAGCTGCTCATAGTAGCTGAAGCTTTCAGGACCAGCAGAGGCAAGAAGGAGGGAGGAGACGAGTGGGGTCCCCCGGGCACTGCTGGGTGGGAACTCCTATGGGGACTGGGACAGAGCTTGGAGGAGACAGGGCTCTCCCCTCTGTTTTGTGGCATTCTTGCCCCTCGCTCATTGGTCACTATGTTCTTGCCCCAGTTCTCCCTCAGGGCACTGGCTCCAAGCTGCCACACACAGCAGAGGACACTGGTGGTTACGCAGGACTACAGGGGCCCCCACTACCCCCCACCCAGTCCTGCTCATGCTTTTCTAAACTAGACATCACTTTTCATGCCTCCTGTTTAGTTTTGAACCACAGGACCACGGTAGCCTGCTCCTGATTTCCTTCTGATAAATCTTTCAGAGGATTTCCGTAACTTCCACTAAACTTTGCCAAATTCAATACCGTTGGTATTTAAATATAACCTAGAATCCTGCACTGGACCAGGTGGGGATGAGAGGACAGACTCTCAAGGGCAACTGCCCTGGGGCTGGCCACATCCTCCACTCTGGACCTCAGCATCCACCTTTTTGAGAAGAAAGGGGCACCATAGTCCCTTGCCCAACATGTGCCAGGGCTCAGAGCACTCCCAGTTCTAGAAAATACCACAGCACAGTCCAAAAGTGGTATCTGGCAGACAGCCTGAGGTGCTGCAAGACACATGTGCACCAGGGGTCCACTTCCCTGCTCCCACTCACCCCCAGAGAGACCTCTGGAAACAGAGGGCCCACACCCAGGGGAGCAGGCCCAGACAGGATGGCCCACACACCAGGCCACCCAGAACATGCTGCCATTTGCCCAGAATGAAGGACACGGATGTGAGACAAGGCCAGTGAGGGGCAGTGAGGAAGTGGCCTGCCTGAGCCAACAGGACCTGGAAGGGCACAGCAGGGCCAGCCTCCAGCCCAGCAGCCACACAGCCCAGAGCAGAAGCCCCTCCCCTGGGGAGCAGAGCCAGGGGTCCCCCATAGCTCTCTAAAGCTAGGCCATCTATCATGAGCACCCAGAAGGTTAAATGGTGGTCCCCAGAAGAGAGGCTGTGTCCATGGGGAGCCCATGAACATGGCCTTATTTGGAGTGAGGGCCTTTGTGATGTAATGACAGTTCTCAAGAAGACAGTGTTCTGGATTGGGTTGGACCCTAGATGCAATGACAGGTGATGATAAGGGCCGTAGGCAGGGCAGACTTCAAGAGGCAAGTCTACCTGCCAATCACTGGTGTCCCCACTAGTGGCACCTCCTTAGGGAGCAGAGCCTGGGCAGGTTCTCCTTGGACCTGGAAGGAGCTAGCCCTACCAGCACCCCGAGAGTAGGCTTCTGGTCTCCAGGGAAGTAAGAATAGCCATTATTGAGAGTCACCCAGGTGTGCGGCCCCGGGATGCGCTCGAGATTTCAGGAAGAGAGCTGGAAGAGTCAGGAAGCAGAGGGAGGGCAAGGTGCTCTGAGGAGGGGGTGCTGAGGCTGAACTTGCACAGGAGGGCACAGCGGGTTAGTGGGGGCACTGAAGAAGCAGGGGCACCTGTGGTGGGGTAGGGGATGCAGCCATATCCCCACGCCTCTCTTCTTCCCCAGCTTGCACTCCAGCCTCCATAGCAGAGAATGGAGCCACACCAACCCCCTGGCTGGCAAAGGAACATGAGGGAGGTGACCAGGCCTACAGGGTCCATATGAAAAACAAGAACTGGAACCAAGTTAGGTGGAGATCTTGAGGTCCCACAGCACTGAGAACACTAGACGCACTGCACAGGGGGCTGAGGGGTGAATATTTAGGGAGGACTTTGGAGTTTCTCAAGCCAGACTGGTGGCAGGGGATTCTGTGGCACTGCCCTGTGAAGAGCAGACAACAGAGCTCCGTCCTCCTCCTTCCTCAGGCCAACTCTGAGTCAACAGGGCTTGGCCTCCAATTCGGGACCTGTCATGAGCTTTACATGAGGACACCCCTGGGAGGGGAGGATACTACACCCTTCTTGGAGCAGCCAGATCTATGGGACAAGAGGTCAAGCACGTCATATGTACAGCAGGACATAGGCGACCCAAAGCCAAGACCCCCAGGGAATGCTGGAGAAGTCCTGGCATGGAGATTGCTCTTGACCATATAGAGGGTACTCTGCCCAGCCTCTCTGAAGGTCTATTCATCGAAGACCAGCCCTTCCTCCACACACCCCAACAGCTTGCGCCTGCAGTTGGAACATGCTAAATCACCAACCCTCATCTGCTTGATCATTAGGTCTGTACTGCTTAGGATGCAGCTATGAAGGACATGCTCAGAATCATTGCCCAGGAGCAGAGCTGGCTGGGAAAGCCACACAAAGGGATATGCTGAATGCACTGTGGGAAGAACACAGAGAAGCAGTGTGCATTCCTCTCCCAGCGGCTCTTGAATCAGCAGTAATGTGGGGGCCTGAGCCGCATGCCCACCCCGATGGCGGAAGCTGGATTACTCTGTGCCTCTGCGCAGAAGCCACGTGTGCTTGGTCTACAGCATTTCCACGTGTATACTCATGGCCATTTTTCTGCTGTCAGGGCACTAGCAAGCTGCCGGCTTTTACCATCACAGCCTGGGAGCAAGCACGTCCACTCGGCTGGCTGCCAAATGGGGGCAGTGGGGGAGAGGAGCTCAGATGCAGGGGCAGTGGTTCTTGGCCACTGGTGATGACGGGGCCTGTGAGCCACATCCCAGCTTTCTGCTGCTCCTGCATACGGCACCCCAAGGGGCGGGAGAGCATCACAAGCGTCTGCCAAGATGCTGGTTCTTAGGACAGTAGCGAGCCTGCAAAGCAGCAGCAGAGACTGCCCTGAAAGCCACGCCCGAGGAAGCAACCCCCATGTGCCCTGCAGGTCCAGGTAAGGCCTTGTGTGGGGACCCACCTTGCATGGGACTGAGTCACTCCCCGGCTGGGTGATTGAGGCCTCAGGCAGCAGCACACCTCTAGATGCCCCGTCCTTCTTGGGTTTGAGGGACCAGTGTCTTGTACATGGGTGTGCCTTCTTACCGCCCCATGGGTGGAGCTATGCTCACCTGTTCCTTTGTAATATTACCCCTTGCCCGTGTTTGGGATAGAATGTTCCATGGAAGTGCCTTTTGTGTGTCCCTTTATCTTACTGTGCCCTTGAGTGTGGCCTACCTAAATGTCAGTCAACCTGCTGACAGTGGACATCATGAAGATAGACTCAGCCCCCTGAAACCTGACCCCTTGCCTAATTTGAATAGCATCTCCTCAATAAAAGGGGTCAGCATGTGTGGGTGCTCTCTCTCTCTCTCTCTCTCTCTGCAGACCCTTAAGGTCAGAGGAGCCATCACAGCAACCCCAAAGAAAAAGGTATTTGTGTCTCTTGTGTGGTTATTTTACGCAGCCCAGCTCCCCTGAAGTGAGCCCTGGGTGTTTTAGTCCCAAACAAAACCTGGCAGCCTTGTAGAGCTACAAGGACTTGCCTAGCAGCCTCCAGTTCCAAGCGTCTGGCCACGCCCACACAAGGGCCACGCCCACGGAAGCCGGCCATTCAGGTCCTGGGTTCCGAGGGACCTCCCAGCGCATAGGACCCAAAATGGAAACTGGAGGAACCCCGTGGACTTCTGGAACCTAAGGGCACAATGCCTAGGAGCGAGAGGAAATGGCTAGCGAACACGGCAGATGGACAGGAAGTTTCCAACCCAAAGAAGAGAAATATGGTGAAGGAGCCAAGGAAGCCTAGGGAAGCAGGGCGAGGCGCCCTGGCTCCCGCTGCAGGGGAGGGGCCACCCCCAGCCTGCCTCTTCTGCTGGCTTCCCTGGCCTTGTCACCAAGAAAACATGTACACTGGCGACGTCCCAGCTTAAGGACCCAAGGCAACCCCTGGCTTCTGTAAAAGGCAAGGGGAGTGTTTAAGTAAAAGTGGAGTTCACAGGCTCTGGGGAGTCAGAGGGCAACAGCAAAGGGGGCAGTGCAAGTGTCCTGTGGAAAGTCCCCACATCTTCTACAAAGTCGTGGATCCAGATGCATGTGTAGCCCTAGAAAAACTTCCCAGAAGGGTAACACCAAGAAGTTTAAGTAAAAGGCCAATAGAGGAGTAAATGAGGTACACGGTGATTAGGACCAGAAATAGTGTGGACTGAAAGCTTTTTCAGATTTTGGAATCTTCACACACATGATGAGAGGTCTTGTGGTTGGGATCCAAGTCAAAACAAGATGGCTTTGTGTTTCATATACTTTATGGGCTCAGGTGACCTTGCTCCACATTGGTAGTCGTCTTGTGCAGGAAACAGATCCGCGTGGTGGCCTCTTCCACTTGGTGTCACATCAGCACTAGAAGGCTTCGGAATTCAGATTTCAAGATCAGCAATGCTCAACAGTCTAAAAAACAGTCAGCTGACCCAGAAAAGGCAGGGATGGAGGAACACAGGAACAAAGAACCAAGACAAATAAAGACAAATCAGGGTTCAAAGTGAACTGTGTCCATAACTACGTGAAATGGAAGTAGACACATCTCAAACAAAAGGCAGGAAAAGCCAGCTGCCTGCATCTCCAGGATCTCACTCAGAAGGCCGCGCACCAGGGCTGTGTAAGCCAGGGAGGCCGCACAGGCACCAGCGGAGGAGCACTGACATCCAGCCAGGGCACATTCCCAGAGACAGAGAGGCCCTTCCACCGTGGCAAAGGGCCAGCTTGTCAGGAAAACACAGAACTCTCAGTACTGAAGAATCTCATAACAGCTGCAAAATGTATGAAGTAAAAATAGAACTGAACAGAAATGAAAACTAGACTCAGTCACAGTCGGTGGTCACCACCTCTCGGTTACTGGCTAGACAAGCACATGAGACTCAGCAAGTCAGAAGATCTGGAAAGCACTTCCTCCAGCTTCAGAGAATGCAGATCTTAAGTGCATGAGGAACATGCATCAGGCAGGACACAGCCTGTGTCAGGCCAGAAGAGCACATCTCCATTTCGGGAGCGAGATGCTGCACTCATTCCCTGGGCAAAGTGGAATTAACGACAGGTCATTCACAGAATCTCCAGATCAACAAGATGATGCTAGATAGGCATCATGGGTCAAAGAAGAAATCACAAGGAAATCAGAAAACATGCCAAACAGTAATCAAAATGTCAGCCAAAATGTGTGAGATGCAGCTAACAAGGTCTGAGGGGAGGAGGCTGAACAGTGGCCAGTGGGCCCTGAAAGGGTCTTTGACTCCCTAGCTGTCAAGGACATGCAGAGGAAAACATCACCAGACCTCCCCACACACCCTGCTAGATCCCCAGCACAGTGTGGAGGCCCCGAGGGTGAGGGCTGTTTGTCACCCAGTGTTAGCCCTCACAGAGTAACCGCTTCAGATGCAGCTTAAAGAAAAATAGAAAAGGCTTTCTGGGCTGGGCCACCTTTGCCTCCAGTGTTACCCAGTGAGTGGTTCCCAGCTGTGGAGGACAGAGGGATGGAGGGACAAGCAGGACATTGGGAGGGTGGACCAAAGGGTGAGTGCCTAGCTGTCCCTGGGCCTCAGGTGAACCCAGAGGTGGCAGGCACCCTCCACGTGGGGCTCCCTAGATGCTGCCTCTGGAGGTAGAAGCAGCCCTCCTAGATTGTGCATCTGCCCAAGGCCAGACCTGAGTGTTGGGAGAGCAGAAGAAGGCACCTGCGCCCACCTGCTGCAGGTGTGCAGTGGAGAGAGACAGCCTGCTTGGGACAGGTCTGGATCTCTTCCCCGACCCCTGTAACCAGGGATCAGAATTCCTGGCACCCACAACCCTGGGCCTATGGGATACAAGTCATTGAGCTACCTGGCACCCTGTGGGTCTGTCCTGCAACCTCAGTTCAGACTGACGCACTCCCCTCCCTTACTCCCTTCCCTTCCCGTGTACCATCCACTGGAGAACCAGAGGACTCCATCCTTCACCTCCCCTGCAGAACAGCCACTCACAGCCCTGCCTGGCCAAGAGGCCTGCAGTCAATGTTGCTGCTGCTGCCGCTGGACATATGCTGGGAGGGACAGTAGCCAGCAGATGCTCCCCATGCTGCTGCATAGCAGAAATGCAGAGCTGGAGGCAGCTGTGAAAAATCACCCCTTATTCCAGTTGCTCCTACCTGTCGCAGACTCCCTTCCTTACCTTCATGCAAGGTGGCAGCAGAGCAGGCCACTCCAGACCCCACCAGAAGGACATATCCATGGCCATCTGCCTTGTCTCAGACTCCCTCCCCACCCTTCTCAGGAGGGCCCCCATGGAACTTTTCAGAAGGCAATTTCAGGCCACTCTTGCAGATGGGGACTGGGCTAGCATGCAGACAAATTCTGCAACAGCAGTGAGTAAGCTGTCCTCTGGATTTTCAACTAAGAGAAAAGCAGCGAACACATTTTGTATGGAACACTTCCACAAAGGGCATCTGAGCCTGGCTGTGCTGCAGAGGGTCATCCAGCTTCCTCGCCAAGTGCCCAGGCGGGGGCCAGCTTCAGTCCTGGGATGAGGAATGGAGGTTTCCATCAGCTATCTAGTTCTGGAACTGGGTTTAAGTCATTTTCTTCTTGATCCATGGAGGCTCCCTGCACTCCCCCAGTTTCTCGCTCCAGTGACCGGGAGAGCCCCAGGCCAGCTGTAGCTGTGGAGGCTGGGCAGGCCTCCCCCATGGGCAGGTGCTGTGCTGATCCCACTGACAGAACATTTCTGAGAGTTTTGGTCCCATGTGAGGGCACTTGTGACCTGTGTCCAGGGTCCTGAGTGCTCAGGCTGCCCACAGGAGTAGCCACAGGGGCTCAGACCATCACCTGCAGATGTCCATCATCGGGTGCCCTAGGAGGCCCCGCTCGGGCAACAAGGGAAAGGTAAGGATGTAGCCAAGTGGCTGGGCTCTGTGTGCTGGAGAAACCGCAGCACACCCCCATTTTAGCACAGATCCCAGCAGACAGGCACAGCTGCCTCAACAGGAGGCATCCCAAAGACAGAGTCCAATGTAGGAAGTGCCCCAGGGTCCAGCCCCTCCCTGCCTCCTCTGCACAGGGATGCAAGACTCCAGGCCCCCAAAAGGGAAGGGAGGCTGGGCACGGGAGGCCTGTAAGCCCAGTGATGTGGAAGGCTGAGGCAGGAGGATTGCAAGTTCAGCAACTTAGCAAGGCCCTGTCTCAATATAAAAAAAGAAACTTGGGCTGGGGATGTGGCTCAAGCGGTAACACGCTCGCCTGGTATGCGCGGGACGCTGGGTTCGATCCTCAGCACCACATTAAAAAAAATAAAATAAAGATGTTGTGTCCACCGAAACCTGAAAAATAAATATTAAAAAAGAACTCTCTCTCTCCTCTCTTCTCTCTTTCCTCCCTCTCTCTCTCTCTCTCTCTCTCTCTCTCTCTCTCTCTCTTCTCTCTCTCAAAAAAAAATTACTGGGAGTGTAGAGTGCTTGACTAGCATTTGCAATGCCCTGGGTTCAATCCTCAGTACTGAAAAACAAAGTTTAAAACAGCTGGGGCTGTAGCATAGTGGTTAAGTGCCCCTGTTCAATCCTCAGTACAATAAAAGTAGAACAAAGAAGAGACGGAATCCCCAGCCTCCCCTCCAGCCAGGACCTCTCATGAGAGTCCAGGGTGGGTTTGTCCTCTTTTCTGTCAGGGCCACCAGCTACCTGAGGCCACTCAAGACCAAAGCTCAACCCACTATGATCCTTCTAGGGACTTCCATGGCCTCACCCCAGTCCAAGACCTGCCCGTCCACCTGTATGACAAACCTGGCCCTACACCAGCCCTGCAGTGAGAAGTTACAGACCTCTGCAGGTGAGTCAACCCTCACACAGGTGCATAAAACCACATTCCCTCTGTCCGCCACAGCGTGATGGGAAGTGCACCAGACCCTTCCAGTGGAAGTGCACCAGACCCTTCCAGTGGAAGTGCATCTGCTCTCACAAGTGCCAGGGGCCTGGTGGCAGGGAGCCCCGTCTCTAGGAAACTCATTTGCCCAGAAGGTTGTTCTCATTGTGAGTGTCTTCCGTTCTAGGCCTATGGCTGCTGATGTCTCTATATCAGTTTGGTCACCCAGTGTGATTATTGCTGCACCATATTTAAGCTCCTGTGAAGGCTCCAGTGGGGACTGGGGTGGAGGCTCAGATGCCTACAGAACTTGAGTCCCAGGCCTGCAGTGGCTTGTTACTGCCCTCTGCCTCAACTCCCATTGTGAGGTAGGTATGTGCAGTATTCAAAACAGCTGAAATACTGAGTAAGCTCTGCCAGAATCCGTGTGCCTGCCTCAGGAGCTCTCGTTTTCATTAGTGAAATCTAATTAATATTAATTATTAGTATAATGAAAACTAATAGTGATACTGAGGGTGCGTACAAGCTTGTTTGGTTTTAAGGAAATCAACCGAGTAAACCCAGAAGCACCTTCACAACATCAGTGACCAGAGGTCCATCCTGCGACCGCCGAGCAGGCTGCCATGCGGCAAAGAGGCCACACGGGGGCGCCACAGGAAAGCACGAGGTGCAGTGGGGCCTGGGGCGAGGGTGCTGCCGGGAGTGGGGGCGGTGCGGGAGGGGCCCAAGGTGGGGTCAGGGGGCGGGGACACACCCGGGTCCTGAGCCAGGGGGTCCCCGGGAGAGGCCCGAGTCTGGAGTGAGGGACTTACCCGCTGCCCAGAACTGGAGGAGGTCCTCCCAAGAGGCCCGCGACAGGTCCCGGGTCCGGGCTGGTCGGGTTCGGGGGACTTGGCGGCCGCGGGGTGGGACTAGAGCTTGTGGCCCCGGTGTGCGCCGGCAGCGCCCTCCCCTCATCTGTCCTGGAGCCCCCCGCAGGCAAGGTGGGCCCGATCCTGGGCCATGCGGAGGGATCACAGGCTGGAGTCCCTGCCCTGCCCAGATGATAGCCCTTTGGGGACAGGTTGCGCGGAGGGGTGTGCGGGCCTCATTACCCGGCCCTGCGGGGTCGTCCCGAAGGACTGCAGGGAGAAAGGACGGGGCAGAGGGTGCGCTGGTTGGGTGGGGGTCTCAGAGGGGAGGCTCCGGGTCGGTCGTCAGCCCGGCTGCACAGCTGGGGACGGGAGCCGAGCCTGCTGCAAGTCCGCGCACCGGACCAGGGACCAGGGCCCGCAGTGCGGGGAAGGGAACTGGGTTTCAGGAGGTGTGCCCCCGCTGACGTCATCTGAAGGTGCGGGCATGACCCTCCTGCGTGGCCACTCCCCACACCTCTTCCCAGGTTCCTGTCCCAATGCAAAATATGCACACAGTCAGGAGCTCGCGGGGCCTCCGGAAAAAGGAAGCAAGGTGGGGTGCAGTGCAGGAGGTCCCTAAAGGGAGGAGGGAGAGATGGAGGAGAGCCCCTCCCCAGGCACGGGAATCCACCTGCTTACCCCTCAGTCCTATTGGGGGAGCAGAGTGACCGTTTTTTGTTTTGGGGTTTTTTTTCCTTTCGTTTTATTGGAGTTTGACACAAATAAACTCCGGAACAAACAAGCACAGGTCAGATCACTCACAATAGACACCCTAAACCAGCACTGGAGTCAAAAAAGAGAACAGATGGGGGAGATCAGTGGGCACTGGCTGGCAGCCGGGTGGTCTCAGAGGAGGGTAGCCAGCCATGCCTGCTAGCGCAGCCACATAGACGCCAGAGGGAGCGGTCCGGCTTAGAGGCCTCCGAGGTTCAGCCTGTACATGCACAGAAGCCACAAGATGCAGATGGTCAAGGAGATGCAGATCCAGAAGTCCTCCGAGGGCTTAGTGCGCTGCCTTCGAGGGCACCTGTGGGAGCAGAAGTCCTCCTCCTGGTGGGTGCCACACCTGGACTTGACAGGCCTGGACCTCAGCCGTCTCTTCTGATAGTAGCTGTAGGTGACCAAGCCATTGCTTTGGAGACCGCTGACCATATAGCTGGGGCCCTTGTGCTTTATGATACCAAAGACTGAGAAGGGGATGGTGAGGGAGCCCTGGCTGATGGGGACAGAACCAGCTGCTCCACTCTCCAGAAGTAGGGTGTGGCCAGCAGTGACCAGGTCCTGGCCCTGTTGCTCTTCTTCAGCCTCAACCATGTTAATAAGAGGGTCTTCATCGCTGGTATCACCAGTAACAATGAAGGGGAAGGTGACAGAGCCCTCTGCGCTGACAGTGGGGTCCTCAATGTGGTTTTCCCCGTGAGTGACAGAGCTCTGCCTGCCTTCCTGCCCTTTGCCCTGGGTGAAGTCAGTGACCATGTCCTGGCCTCTGATGACACTGGCCAAGGACAAGGGGAAAGTGATGGAGCCCTCCCCATTAGCCATGAGGCCAATGATATAGGACACTAGGGGTGGGTCTCTCCCAGGAGTGACAGGGCCATGGCTGAAGGCCCTGCTACTGGGGATCAGGACAAAGCCCTGGCCCTTGAAGAGGAAGCCTCTCAATGCAAAGGCCCTCTGGATACTGCCCGGCAGCCCTCGGCGGTGGAAGATGGGGGCACTGAGGTTCACAGGGGTGCCTTTGTGCTCAGACCCGGCCACAGAGCTTCCAGAGAGGCAGATGGAGCCCTGGCCAATTATGGGTGGCTGGTGGCCACCAGCTGTTGGAAGGGAGCCCTTCCAGTGGCCACCTCCAAGGGAGAAAGAGATGGTTATAGTGCCCTCACCCCCACTGAGGAAGCCATCACTCTCGGGAGACAGGTCCTCACTGAAGTCAACAACCAGAAGGGGGACGGTGGCAGGTGTGGGGCCATCGCTGTGGATGAACAGCTGCTGACCACTGGCCTCTGTGGCAGAGCCACAGCCCTTCACAGCGTGCCTGCCCTTCCTGGCACTGATGCTCTTGACCACAGGCCCCTTGGCAGGGTCGGGCACTGGCTGCAGGAAACAGAGCCCTAGATCACAAGCCTCACAGCAGTCCCCGAGGCCGATCTCAGGGCACTGCCCTGGGTCGCTGCTGTCCCCATAGCATTTCCATAGGATGAACAAGACCAGCTTGCTGAGGAAGATGTGGACACTGGCAGGGCTCACCTGGCACTCTGCCAGGGTGTCCAAGGGGCACAGCCTGCACCGCTGGCCCCACACACGCATCCTCACCAGCCCCTGGCCACTGTCCCCGTCCCAGCACAGGTGGAAGAGGGTGTGCACGTGGGCAGAGCCCCAGGTCCACAGGCAGCGGCTGCACTGGAGCCTGTGGGGGAAGAGGGACAGGTGAGAAAGGGGAGGGCAGGCGGGCTGCCCAGGCCCCACAGCTGGGCCTCTCGGTGCTCTGCCGGGACCCAGACTGCTCATCTGCCCGGCGCCCCACAGCCCTTGGCCTCACATCCCACTCAAACCTCAAACCTCAGCCCTCCCCCACCAGCCAGCCAGGCCTGCGGCTAAGGCAGGCCCACACCTCCTCTGCTGCGCATGAGCTCCATGAGGCTCGAGCCTCTGTCCACAGGGGGGCCTTTGCCTGCAGCCCCAGATTCTGAAATCCCAGAAAGCACACAGTGTCACCAGCATGGCACCGGGACTCTATGCCTGTTCCTGAGAGGCCTGGAACTCCTGCCGCTGGCTGAGCCCTGCCTGTGGAGCCTGGCGCTGTTGGAGGCAGCCATGTGGACAGGCAGGCGGCAGCAAGAAGATGTGGGGAGCTGGGAGCTGAGCCCTGGCAGGTCCACATCCCAAAAGAGACCTGTCAGCTGACGGGAGAAATCAGGCAGGAGGAGGCTCTGTCCTCCCCTGAATGGTGATGGAAACTGGGGGGACTGCTGGAGGGGTTGTCCCAGGGCAGACATGCAAGGTGGCTGAGGCACAGTGACTTGGAACAGTGTGACTGACCTGCTGGAAGAGCAGTGTGCTGCTTCCAGGTGCATCTCAAGAGGAACCACTCACCCACACCTGGACAGGCCAGGACCCGACACATGGTGCAGGAAGCTGTGGCGTTCACGTCAAAGGGCAGAATGACCCCCTCCCTGCCTGGTAATCCCAGAGTGACCAGATAGCATCACCCTGGATACAGATGGCTCCCCTGCCCCAGGGCAGCACAAGCCAGGGGCCCGAGTGAGCGGAACAGACCGCAGGTTGCCCCAACAGGGCCCTGGCCTCCCAGCCCTGAGGTCTCACTGCACCTAGAACTCCTGGCCCCACCCACCTGCTGGGGACAAGACCAGGTGACGACACCTAGGCTACACGCAGCCTGGCCGCAGCCTGTCCTCAGGAACCAAGCGTGACCCAGAACTGGTGGGGAGGCACCTTCAGCCTCTCCCCTTCCCAGGACCCCACCCGAGGCCTCCCTGCCCTCAGCCGCACCTTGAAAGCCCTTTCAGCTGGAACTGGAGACCGCCACCCTCCAGGTCCCCAGCGACCAGGCTCTCCTCAGGGTGCAGAACCCAGAGGTCCTGGGGCTTCTTCTGGGCCATCAGCTGGGTGAAGGTGTCCGCCCACACATCTGCCCCAGCCTTGTCCATGCTGCTGCTGGCTCCGCAGTGCCAGCTGACAATGCCACTGGACCCCAAGGAAGCCTCCACACCCCAGGCGCTGGCCAATCCGCTGCCTTGGCAACAGCAGTCTCCATGGCAACTGGGTTTGTTCCAGAGAATGGGGAGGCAGAAAGGAAAAACAAAACAGGATGAAATTCCCAGGGTCCCCCCACCAGAGCCAGGCCAGGAGCCTCCCGGGGGGTGTCCAGTGTTCCAGCAGGCAAGCCCACTGCCCAGGGAGGCCTGCACAGCACCAGCCGCAGGCCCCACTCACCCCCCCCCCCCGCTCACCCCCCAGCACTTTCCAGCTTGCGCAGAGCTAATCACTGTCCTGGGGTCACCCAGCCATGGAAGAAGTGCTGCAAATTCCCCACCCCAGGCGCTTTTTCTGGACACTTAGTGAGAGGCAGAGGGTTTGCATAGCTATGTAAAGGCACCTTCTCCCATTATCACCAGGCCCAGAGCTCCTTCCCAACCTCCACCCCTCCCTACATGTGCCAGGTCCTCAGCCTGGCTGCCCACCTCCCAAGCTCTGCTCACACCTCTCCACAGAGCAGTACCCTAAGCCCCACGGCTTCTCTGCACGCTCACGGGGAGTTCCACCACAGGGGCAGTTTGTGCTTGTGTGCCTGACTTCTTTCTGAGATTCGGTCTGCACCATTGCCAAGGCACAAGGAAAAGCAAGTTGACAAGAGAGCAGGCCTCCTACTGGATGCAGTGGGAAGGGCCAGGACAGTTGGGCAGCCCAGCAGGGAGAGGATGTGGGGTGACTTTTGCTGACAAAGGCCTCCCACATCCAGGTGCCCACTCCACCTTCTGCAGCATATCCCAGGAGCCCTGGGTGCTGGCTAGGGGAGGGTGCCATGTAGAGGCGCCCCCAGGATGGCACTCAGAGCTGCGTCCCTTGGTAGCTGTGGACAGGCAGGTCACTGTCTGGAGGCCTTGAGCCTCTGGATTCCCTGACACCTACCAGCAAGGTGGGAAAGGGCAGATCCCCAGGGCGACTCCAGAGACTCCCTCCAGGGGAGAACAGACCCCACCCCTCAGCAGGCTGCAAACACGGTTCTGGCAAGGTCTGTGCCATCCACAGGATCCCACTGTCCATGACCCAGGGGCGTCCTCTTGGCAGAGTGAGCTTAGCATCACGAGCTCTTCCTTGTGCACAGGTCCTGCAGTGGCCTCTCTGGACCCCAGCTGAGGGTCCCCGGCCTCAGCACCAACTCCTAGTCCCAGCCGATCCCTTGCCTGGACGGCTGCAACTGAGGATATGATCCTCCCACTGCAGGGACCTGTGCCCCTCTCAGCCATCAGCACCCCAAGGGACACCAGGAGCTCAGCCACCCTCCCTTCCCCGGGAACTCGAGAAAACACCCTGTGGCCAGCTCACCTCCTCACCTCACCTCTGCCCCACCTCCCTCCACACACTCCATCTCCTCTCCTCCCCTCACCTCCCCTCTGTTCTACCTCCTCTCCCTCCACCTCCCTCCCCTCACTTCCCTCTATTGCACTTCCCCTCCCCTCCCCTCCCCTGTCCTCTCCTCACCTCACCTCCCTCCACTCACCTCCCTCTCCTCACCTCCCTCTCCTCACCTCCCTCTCCTCCCCCTCCCTCTCCTCCCCTCCCTCTCCTCCACCTCCCTCCCCTCACCTCCCTCTCCTCACCTCCCTCTCCTCCACCTCCCTCTCCTCCACCTCCCTCTCCTCACCTCCCTCTCCTCCACCTCCCTCTCCTCCCCCTCCCTCTCCTCACCTCCCTCTCCTCCCCCTCCCTCTCCTCCCCCTCCCTCTCCTCACCTCCCTCTCCTCCCCTCTCCTCTCCTCCACTCTCCTCCCCTCACCTCCCTCTCCTCCCCTCACCTCCCTCTCCTCACCTCCCTCTCCTCCACTCACCTCTCCTCCACTCACCTCTCCTCCACTCTCCTCCCCTCACCTCACCTCTCCTCACATCCCTCTCCTCACCTCCCTCTCCTCCCCCTCCCTCTCCTCCCCCTCCCCTCCCTCCCCTCCCCTCCCTCCCCTCCCCTCCCTCCCTCTCCTCCCCCTCCCTCTCCTCCACCTCCCTCTCCTCACCTCCCTCTCCTCCACTCACCTCTCCTCCACTCTCCTCCCCTCACCTCCCTCTTCTCCCCTCACCTCCCTCTCCTCCCCTCCCTCTCCTCCACCTCCCTCTCCTCCCCTCCCCCCTCCTCCCTCCCCTCTCCTCCCCTCCTCCTCCCCTCCCTCCCCCTCCCCTCCTCCCTCTCCTCCCTCCCTCTCCTCCCCCTCCCTCTCCTCCTCCTCCCCTCCCTCTCCTCCCCTCCCTCCCCTCACCTCCCTCCCCTCACCTCCCTCTCCTCACCTCCCTCTCCTCCCCCTCCCTCTCCTCACCTCCCTCTCCTCCACCTCCCTCTCCTCACCTCCCTCTCCGCTCCCTCCCCCTCCCTCCCCTCACCTCCCTCTATTGCACTTCCCCTCCCCTCCCCTCCCCTGTCCTCCCCATCCCTCCCCTCCCCTCCCTCCCCTCCCTCCCTCTCCTCCCTCCCTCTCCTCCACTCCCCTCTCCTCCCTCTCCTCCCCTCCCCTCCCTCTCCTCCCCTCCCTCCCTCTCCTCCCCTCCCTCTCCTCCCTCCCTCTCCTCCCCTCCCCTCCCTCCACTCTCCTCCCCTCCCTCCCTCTCCTCCCTCCCCTCTCCTCCCCTCCCCTCTCCTCCCTCCCCTCTCCTCACCTCCCTCTCCTCCCCTCCCCTCTCCTCCCCTCCCCCTCCTCCCCTCCCCTCTCCTCCCCCTCCCTCTCCTCCACTCACCTCTCCTCACCTCACCTCTCCTCCTCCTCACCTCCCTCTCCTCACCTCCCTCTCTCCCTCCCTCTCCTCCCCTCCCCCTCCTCACCTCCCTCTCCTCACCTCCCTCTCCTCCCCTCCCTCTCTTCACCTCCCTCTCCTCCCCCTCCCTCTCCTCCCTCCCTCTCCTCCCCTCCCTCTCCTCACCTCCCTCTCCTCCCTCCCTCTCTCACCTCTCCTCTCCTCCCTCCCCTCTCCTCACCTCACCTCTCCTCCTCCTCACCTCCCTCTCCTCACCTCCCTCTCTTCCCCTCCCTCTCCTCCCCCTCCCCCTCCTCCCTCCCTCTCCTCCACCTCCCTCTCCTCACCTCCCTCTCCTCCACTCCCCTCTCCTCCCCTCCCTCTCCTCCCCTCCCCTCTCCTCACCTCCCTCTCCTCCACTCCCCTCTCCTCACCTCCCTCTCCTCTTCCTCACCCCTCCTCCACTCACTTCTCCTCACCTCCCTCTCTTCACCTCCCTCTCCTCACCTCTCCTCTCCTCACCTCTCCTCTCCACCCTCCCTCTCCTCACCTCCCCTCTCCTCCACCTCCCCTCTCCTCCCCTCCCCTCTCCTCCCCTCCCTCTCCTCCACTCACCTCTCCTCCACTCTCCTCCCCTCACCTCCCTCTCCTCACCTCCCCTCTCCTCCCCCTCCCCTCTCCTCCACCTCCCCTCTCCTCCACTCCCCTCTCCTCACCTCCCTCTCCTCCACTCCCCTCTCCTCACCTCCCTCTCATCACCTCACCTCTCCTCCCCCTCCCTCTCCTCCACTCACCTCTCCTCCCCTCACCTCTCCTCCTCCTCACCTCCCTCTCCTCACCTCCCTCTCTTCACCTCCCTCTCCTCCACCTGCCTCTCCTCACCTCCCTCTCCTCACCTCCCTCTCTTCACCTCCCTCTCCTCCACCTCCCTCTCCTCACCTCCCTCTCCTCCACCTCCCTCTCCTCACCTCTCTCTCCTCACCTCCCTCTCCTCCACCTCACCTCTCCTCACCTCCCTCTCCTCCCCCTCCCTCTCCTCACCTCTCCTTTCCTCCACCTCTCCTCTCCTCACCTCTCTCTCCTCACCTCCCTCTCCTCCCCCTCACCTCTCCTCACCTCCCTCTCCTCACCTCCCTCTCCTCCTCCTCACCCCTCCTCCACTCACCTCTCCTCACCTCCCTCTCTTCACCTCCCTCTCCTCCACCTCCCTCTCCTCACCTCTCCTCACCTCTCCTCTCCTCCCCTCTCCTCACCTCCCTCTCCTCACCTCCCCTCTCCTCCCCCTCCCCTCTCCTCCACTCCCCTCTCCTCACCTCCCTCTCCTCCACCTCCCTCTCCTCCTCCTCACCTCCCTCTCCTCACCTCCCTCTCCTCACCTCCCTCTCCTCCACCTCCCTCTCCTCCTCCTCACCTCCCCTCTCCTCACCTCCCCTCTCCTCACCTCCCTCTCCTCCCCTCCCTCTCCTCCACCTCCCTCTCCTCCACCTCCCTCTCCTCCTCCTCACCTCCCTCTCCTCACCTCCCTCTCCTCACCTCCCCTCTCCTCACCTCCCTCTCCTCACCTCCCTCTCCTCCACCTCCCTCTCCTCCACTCCCCTCTCCTCCACTCCCCTCTCCTCACCTCCCTCTCCTCACCTCCCTCTCCTCCACCTCCCCTCTCCTCCACTCCCCTCTCCTCACCTCCCCTCTCCTCACCTCCCTCTCCTCACCTCCCCTCTCCTCCACTCACCTCTCCTCACCTCCCTCTCCTCACCTCCCCTCTCCTCACCTCCCCTCTCCTCCACCTCCTCTCTCCTTCCCTATATGTGGAAGGAGAAGAGCAGAAACCTGTCCCTGGAACCACTGGTGTCACCACACCCTTCTGCCTGTCCCACCTCTGTATTTCTTCAAGTGAGAAATGAACTGCACCAGGAGTCTGCTGTCTGAATAACAGCCCAGTGGTCCTCCAGGGTGACAAACTGCCAATGTGCCTGGAGTTTCCACCATGAACTTGGCCCTAGCCGCCCTAAGGACCCACCAGGACTGTACCTGAGGATGTGAGCTTCTGTTTTGGTGCCAGGACATTGTGGAAATCCTGCTGCCTGCTGCCCCGACAGCCTTGCTCTGGGGCCCCACCCCGGCTGTCTCCAGTACTCTGGCCATCTCCCAGGCTCCTGAGAGTTCAGGAAAGGCTCTGGGATTGTGGCTGACCACACCCACCAGAAAGTCACATTCAGGTGGCAACTGTGACCCCAAAGTGCAGGGAGCAAGTTGCTCTGACCCGATCTAATGGCTCTCCTCAGACCTACCCCAGACACCCAGGTCCACAGAGAAGCCGGGGCTATATGCCTCTGCCCACCTGCCCATTTATGGCTGCAGACCCACAACCCAGGTCCCCAAAGGCTACATCCAAGCTGGCTGATACACAGGTCACCACAAATGCTCCTCTTTCTTTATCAGGAATCCACGAAGGCAACTGCATGCCCCCCCTCAAGTGTGTCTTGAGCCTCAGCTGGGGTCCAGCCTGGAACTGGACATGGGGGCACACTCCTCAGGCTGTACCAAGTCAACACTGGTCTCTCCAGGCTAGCCAGGTTCAGTGGGGACTTCTGTCCTGCTAGCAGGTCACAGGTTGGGACAGGCCAGGACAGAGCATCAGTGGGCCATGGGAAAGAACTGTCTGGGAAGACTGGTACCAGCTCAGCACCCTGAGCCCTCCTGGAGGGAGGCCTAGCACCCATCCCAGGCCTCGGCTCCTGGCCTTGCTCACCCACCAGGGCCCAGCTTCTGAACTCCACTCAGTGAGGGCAAGGGCAGCCGGCAGGTGGGGCGGCCTCGCAAGACTTCCCCAAAGTGCAGGTAGCCCACTACTGTCCCCTTAGCCTGTGTCCTCAGCCTGGGTGAGACCCGGAGGGTGGCAGAAGCCACACCCTCTGGCATACACACACACAGAGGAGTGAGGCTGTAGGCCAAGAGAGGACCCAGCATAAGGCCAGTCAATCCATTGGACTGCTCTCTCCCAGCAGGAACCAGCCTTTGAGTGTGAGGAGAGAGGAGAGAGACACGGGGAGGCACGGAGCAGGGACAGGACCTGTCAGAAGCAGGAGGCTCCCCCCCTGTACTGGGGGGAGGCTCCTGTGCCCCAAGCCCCAGCAGAGGGTGTGAGCCCTGGCACCGCAGCCACTAACATGGCCACAGGGTCAAGGTATGTGCTCCTGGCCCAGCTCTGCGCAGGCTCCTGCCCTGCACTGCCCCCACCGTGGGGGGTCCCCAGCAGCTAGGCTGGCAGCCATCATCAGCTGGCTCTGCTGTCCAGGAAGCCTGGGTCCCACAGCCAGCTCAGTGGCCTGGCCTCCACCGAGCCCTAGTTCCGGGGCCTTGCCGGACACAAGCAGGGAGCCTTCCCAGGAGCCGGACCATCCACACACTCACAGGGAAGCCACTGTCTGCCAGCCTGGCCTGGCTTCGGTGCCAAGTGGGGCGCTCAGCCACCTGGGAAGCCAGCTGGGACCTGACACCCCCGACACACATCTGCACACACAGCACACACACACACAAATACACAATCACATTTAGACATTTAAAGTAGGGATGGAATTCCAGAAAGCTTAGGGAAAACGGAAGGTGGGTAGGAGTCTCCTGTCTTAGCGACAGCCCAGTGGTCCTCCAGGGTGATAAACTGGAAATGCCCCATTCGGTGTTTTAAATTTGGTTCATAATTGGGCAAGTATATTAGCTGCTCTTTCTTCAATTTCTGGGAAATGTTTCAAAAACAGGATAGAACAGAAAGTTTTTATTTGCAAACAGTATTAACCATTTCCTGTTCCAACCTCAGAAGAAGCCGTGAAGGAGGCGCTGCCTGGGCCACAGGGCCCACAGGAACCTCGCTCTGGGCCCAGGCAGCGGGCCTCGGGTCAGGGGTGCTGGCACTGCCTGCAGAAGTGGTTCAGATGACCCCAGGGCTTCCTGCACGTCCCTAGCCCTGTCCCCTGAGGGAACTTCCCTAACCCTCCCCCCACTTTCCACCTGTCTACACTGACTCATGGTGGGTAACCTGGGAAATCAGCTCTCCTCTCCTCAGACCAGGGGATCGGAGGCCCCCACGCTGGGGGACTTCTCAAGATCTGGCTTCAGGAAACTCTTGGCCAAGTGGTAAGGACTTTGTCAGCGGTCCAGCAGGGAACTCATCACCCAACTGACCAAACAGAAACACCACCCAGACGCTACCCCGACACCAGCAATCACATTGCAGAAGTGAAAATGGGCCCACCCAGACCCCAGCCAGCATTTCCCACAGCCTGACTCAAATCACAGGAATTTCCCCTGTCCGGTGGGGAAATGGCTGGAAACTGGGAAATCATGGGTGCACACCACACCAGAGAACTGAGACATGTGGCTGGGGGACCCCCAGGGACGGACACTGTGTGGCAGGCACACCCCAGCGTGGGAACCAGCCCGGGGGCCAAGAGGAGGGTGTGGGGTTTTGTGAGGGCCGTCTTTGGCTTCCCTCAGCCCAGCTGAGACAGGGCGGCTCACCAGTCAGCTCCCTGCACCTGCATCTAAGCTTCTCAGAGTCAGAACTCACCAGTAATTCCAGTGTACCATTTCCTACAACTGCCTCAATTGTCCTCAACCAAAACACAAAACTTGCTCTAAAGACCCCTTCAACTGCCTCAGACTGTGTCTCCACCCAACACCCAGCCAAGGCATGTGAAATGTTTCAAAAACAGGATAGAACAGGGAAGTGTGGCCAGAAGAGGATGGCTGGGTTATCCCTCCCAGGAAGAGTGGGAAGAGATCAGCACAGGGGGACAAGGCTGCTGGCCCCCATGCTCAGGAGACAGTGTGATGGAGGAGGGACATATTGTGGGGTAGTGGATATTGAGGACTGTGTTTTGGGGGAGGGTTTTGGTAGGAGGCTGTGGGTGTGGTCTGGGAGGCTCTGGGTCCAGGTCTGCCAGCTCCTTATACCTGCTCTGCCTGCCTCCAGGCCCTGGCCCTCAGGCTCCAGGACCCCAGCATCCCCAGGCATCATCTCTGTGTCCACTGGGGGCTCCAGGAAATGGTGGCATGGGGGACCAAGCAGGTCCCCCTGTCAGGTTATGGCCCCTACCCCTCCTTAGGAGCAGGACAAACGCAGGGTCAAGTAGCTGAGAGGAAGAGGAGAAAAGGGAGAGGATGGGAAAGAGAAGTGAAGGAAAGAAAGGGGAGAGGGTAGGGTCCTCTCCCGGTGGAGAGGTGCCCAAGCACTTGCAGACAGAATCAAGGGCAGCGCCTGGGGTGGTGAGGAGACCCCAAGGAGGGGCGACATCTCCCACGCCAGAGCATCCCCGCCCGCTGCCCAGGTGGACCCAGCACTCTGGTCAGCTCTGTCCTGCAGAGGCGGGGGCCTCAGGGTCCACTGGAAGCCTCCAACGCTGCCGTCCGACCGAGACTGAACACGGAGCAGACGGTGGAACCGAGACCGGGAGGTTTCCGTCGGGCGCCTGGCCCGCCCCCGCCCCCGCCCCGCTGCGCGACCCGCAGGTGCGGCCGGGGCCCTCCCGCCCCGCGGCGCCTCGGCTCCCTGACGCGCTCTTTCCACCGCCCGCTCGCCCTCGCCGCGCTGCCAGGCGGTTTCCAGCGGCGGGTTATTTCGGGCTGATGAGACCCACGTGTCATCGCTAATATCAGCAGTTTGTGTGTGTGTTTTTCCTGTTTTCCACTGCTCGGCGAGAGGCGCGGAGCAGAGCGCCACCAAACCAGCAAACCACTTCCCAGAGGACCGGCCAGACGGCCCCGCACACCAGGACCCCGCCCGGCCGGAGCGGCAGGGGCCGGAGACCCCAAGCCCCCGCCTCCCCCTCCCTCCTCCCTCCCCTCCCCGGCTCGCCCCGCCCGCCCCTCTCCCCTCTCCCCTCTGCTCCCACCCGCCCTCTCCGCGCCCCCTCCCCTCCAGTCGGTCGGTCTCCCTACCCCGCCCCATCTGTCCTCCCCTCCTCTAGGTCCCCTCCCCCGCCGGCCCTCCTCCCCCACTCCTGCTCTCTCCGCGCCCCAGGCCCTCCCCGCCCACGTGGAAGTGGAGGAAGAGGGGGCGGGGGCCGAGGGCACGTCCCCTCCCTCCTACTGACCCGGGTCGGTTTCCTTTCCTGCCATCTCTGACTGAGCCACTATGGAGGCCTCGGCAGTTGGTGCGAGGCGCGGGCAGGCTCTCTGGGCATGCAGGGCCGGTGGGTGACCTGGTTGCTGGCCTGGGCGGTGCTGCAGCTGGGCTGGAGGCCAGGATGGCTCCTAGGTAATGGGGCCCCGAGACATGGGATCAGGGTTGGGGCTGGTTCAGAGGGACTGGCACCCTTGGCGGCTGTGGTGGGAAAGGGTGCTTTGGTGGGGCAGGTGGGGGGGGGGCTGTGTTTGGCAGGTGAGGCTCCTACTCTGGCCTCCAATTCTGCCCTCCTTGCTCTCTGGCAGGCACAACTCTTGTGCCATGTAAGCTGTCTTGGGTGTGGGATGCCAGCCAGCACCTTCTCTGCAGAACATGGTCAGTCTGGCCAGAGCCCCAGGCCTTGGCACCAGGGCCCTGTGTGTCGAGTCTGCCAGGCCTGGGTGTGGATGGGGCAGCCCCGCTGGGACAGAGCACAGATGGGGTGCTGATGTTTTAACTGTCCTGTATACTGGCCATCTGTCCTCCAGCCCCTCGTGGGCCCAGGAGGTAGCCCCCTGGGTCTCTGGACAGACTCCAGGGCGCTTGCCAGCAGGGGCTCTAGTGACCACCATGAGCTCTGGGGAGGCTGAAGTCCTGGGGTCCAGCACCCTGGCACTGAGCCCCATACAGGGGAGCCCCTGGTCTTCCTGCCCACAGTGGAGGAAGCCCCTCCCTGGGCTGCCCGTGCCCTTGACTCTTCTGTGCCGCACATCTCCATCCCTTTGAATGCCCAGGCCCAGGCCGGCATCTTGAGAAGGGGGCTCCCAGCTCCAGGGCCAGGATGACCCTCTGACCTTGCCGGACCCAGACAAGGGACAGGTCCTGGGCCACCCTAACATTCCTCATGCCCAAAGGCCCCTCTCTCAGGCCTGGCTGTGGCTGGGTCCTCAGCAAGGGCCTGCCTCCGCACTCAGAGCTGGCCTCTCTGAGAAGACCCATGGGTTGCTCTCAGGCCTCCATGGAGGAAGCAGACCTGGAGATGGTGGCCAAGGGCCTGTGGCTAGAAGGGGGGCCTTGTTGTGGGAGCCTGGCAGAGGGCTGTGCCTGGTCTGAGGAAAGAGAACTGAGGGGTATAGGGTGGCTGTGAGTCAGCCCATGGCCCCACACAAAAGGTCTGTGCCAGAGCTTGCCTGCACCCCACACTGAGAAAGGGGAGGTCATCTCTGCCTCCAGACACTGGCTTGTGCCTGGGCAAGATTCTCAAAGGTGCTGTGCCTCAGTTTCCCCACCAGTAACCCTCAGCACCGTAAACTTCATCAAGGCAGTGTCCTGCTCACCCTTTGCCAGACCTGAGGGCCCCTGGATGCCTGGGACTTCCGTTGTCCCCAACAGACTCACATCGTTCATCCTGGTCATTCTCATGGGTGGTCCTGCACCTTCTGCATGGGTCTCACTCATGTTCATGGTACCCCAGACTCCTGGGGAGTAAGAGCCACTAGGACTTAGCCCTGAAGTGGGACACTTAGGTGACGGCTCCTGCTTAGTGGTGACCTTGTGACGGTGGCAGGCCAGAGCCTCTCTGCTTCTCGCCCCTTCAGCTCGAGGACTTAGTGCTGGCCTGTCAGCCATGAGACTCACCATACCATCTGTGAAAAGTGCCCAGCCCAACCCAGAGCACATTTTGGGGTTAAGGGATTTTGTTTGGTTTTGGTGGGACTGGTGATGGAACCCAGGGCTTCATCCACGCTGGGCCGTGCTCCACCATCAAGGTACCACACAGCCAGTGGCATGTTCTAAAGTCAGATTTGTTGATTTTTGCCTACCTGTGATTAGGGAAAATACCACAGGGAAAAGTTGCAGCACAGCAGCGACGCCAGCCCATGGCCTGCTGACCGCAGTGCTACCTCTGTGTTGGTCGGCCAGGCTGCTGGGGCTGCGAGACAGGCAGGCACCCTCTGGCCGTTCCAGGGGGACCTGCCTGCAGCCTGTGGACTGGCCAGCCGCCTCTGGCATCTCGGGCTCGGGAAGCATCTCCTGAGCTCTGCATTCATCCTGTGTGAGTCTGTCCACGTTTTCTGTTCTGCCAGCTCCCCAATGCTACGGGTTGAGGGCCTGCCCGACTCCAAAATGACCTCCTCCTGGCCAGTTGTGCCAGCCACCCTGTTCTTGGTAAGGCCCAGGACCCCAGGCGTGAGTTCAGGGACAGACCACCCACAGCTCCCTGCCACTCAGGGTTACTGCCAGGCTTTCAGCCTCCGGGTGCCTCACTCCAGGTACCCAGCCAGGCCCTCTGGGGACCCCCTCCACCCAGCACCCTCACCAGAAGCAGCCCAGGAGCACCCTGACTCGTGCCCCTTTTCCCAGGGCCCATGTGGCTGCGCTGCTGTCCCCTGAATGGGGCAGCGTCAGGGCTCCGCAGATGGCACATCCCAGCTGGGTTCTCAGCTGCATCTGTCTGTTGGCTCTTGTGCTCTCGGAGTCCGGGTACGGGCCAGCATTGTGCCAGAGAGCCCGGTGTGGCTCGCTGTGGCCGCTGAGATCTGCCCGAGCGGCTCCGTGCTGCCCGGGAGCATGGTGGCTGCCTTGAGGGATCCCACCCTGGGCACAGGGTGAGGGCACTTCTTTCCCCAGGGTGGATAAGAGCCTGTGGGGGTGCTGGGGACCCTTGACTCACTTGACAGTGCTCTCAGCACCCACGTGAGTCCTGCCTGAGTCAGGAGCGAGGTTTTGGCCTCCTTGGTGGGGCCTCCAAGCCCCACAGCCCTGTCGGTCCCCTCCAGATGCCTCTAGTATGTGACTGTGGGGACGGGGTTCTGACACCTGAATTCCGGGACAAACATTGAACCCTCCGTGGACCTGAGGTGGAAGCCCTGGGTAGGTGGGGCAGGGCTGGACCAGCTGAGGGACACCGTCCCTGCTGGGCACCCTGGGGTGCTCCACAACCCCCTCCCCTGTCCTAGACCCCTTGCCCAGGCAGGTGGGCAGAGGGGCTGAACCAGGTGGCTTTCTCCGTGGGTCCCCAGAGGACATTCCCAGCGAGCCTTGGGTACCCAGGGCCTAGCTGGAGGTCCATGAGGGGGGGAGTGATTCAGAGAAAGGCCAGAGGCCCCTCTATGCCACGAGGTTGCAGAGTGAAGGGCAGCTTCGACGGCAGTTTTTGCAGAGAGGCGACATTGAGATCCTGGATCACACAAGTAAGGGCGTTTGGGAGGACAGTGTAGAAAAGCCGGAAGTCCTGGGGCACAGGACCTTGACCTCAGCCCCACAGCTGGTCACTCAGACATTTTTAAAACACGCCTTGTGCTTCTACCCAGATATGTCTGTGCATGGACCCCAGGAGGACGTGTAGCCTTCCCTCTGCCCATCCCCAGGCAAGACAGCCCAGCATGAGAGGGACCTCCAGAGGGCTGCCCAGGGCTTCAGCCCCTCCCCCACTTCCTTCACCAGGGCCTGTCCCTGTGATCAGATGAATTCCATGATGTCCCAGCAAGGCCCAGCCTGTGCCCAGCCATTCCAGGGCCCTCTTGGGCCCTTTATGTGCAGGGTCACCTTCCTCCGTTTGGGTGGGCCAAATGCCTGGCAGGGGTCCCCTCTGTGCTCCTGTGCCCTGGCCCAGCCATCTCGAGCCCCTGACCCATCACACCACAGCGCTGCTTCAGCAGTCCCCTGGTCGAGCAGCCCAGAGCAGCAGCAGGGCAGCCCTTCCCCAGGGGCACTGCCTCCCGGGCCTGGCCCACAGTGAGGGTGATGTCTGTGAGAGGGCCCTCCCTGCCCTGCTGGCACCTCTCAGCCAGATTGGGACAGGCATCCCAGTGTGGCAGGCATGTGCTGGGGTGGTCAAGAGTTGGCAGCGATCACCCTGGCAAGATCTGGACAGAACCAGGCAGGTCACCCAGACTGGGCCAGGGCAGAGACCCCAGGATAGGCCCAGGCCATCACAGTCCCCTGTGAGAGGGAGGACAGCAGACAGGCAAGTGTCTCAATTGTCACACATTCAGGCGCAGCAGCAGGTGAGGGAAGGTGAGGAACGGTCCTGGAGCCCACCAGCACCATCCTACTGGGTCTTACCTGGGCCGACCAGAGCCAGCCTTGAGAGCAAGGGTGTACCCACAGGCCTGGGCCGTCCAGGCCAGCAGGGAAGAGGCCACAGGCGCCTGGTGGAGCTGCACGGGACGGGACAGGCTCCCGAGATTGAGGTCCCCTGGCCTGGCCCAGGGCTTTTCTGCAAGATGCATGAGAATCTGTTTGGAAGCTTTGGTGGTTGGGCCTGGGTGTGGCCATGGATTCGGGGAGCCGGGTAGGGTACCCCATTTTTCTGGACCCGGAAGAAGGCCACAGAGTGGCCACACTGGGTGGAATGAAGAGGGGCCCCTGACCCGGAGCAGCGTGACATGGAGCCCTGGCAGCAGCACCAGCACACCCAGATCTGGTGTCCCAGCAGGTAGCATCCACAGACTCTTAAGTCCAACTGTAAATGTTTACTTAAGGTTTTCTTTGAAGTTTCATGTGTTTCTTGATCCAAAGTAAGAAGAAGGTGCGTGTTGATACCACCAAGCGCCTGCGTGCCCAGCTGCTATGTGTGACTTGGACACAGGGTCACAGAGAAAAGGGCTCACCATGGCTGTGGTGTCACCCTGATGAGCAAAAGAGTGGGCGTCACCCTGTTGAGAAGGAAGCCCGCCTGGACAGGCCATCCCAGCTCTGGCCTGGCAGTTCCAGTCCCCTCGACCTCCTCGTTCCCCTGCTCCTCCTGGCCTCACAGAGCCATAGACCTGCACCACGGCCCACCAGGGCCTCCTGGGCGCAGCCTCGACACTTCTGTGCAGGCCCTTGGAGGCCCCTAGCTCAATTCTTGAGTCGTGCCCACCTCATGTTCAGTTGCACCTTACTGGGCCTCCGGGGCCCTCACCATCCATGGCTAGTGGGCAGCAAGGCAGCAGTGGTGCAGCCAGCCTGCCCTGGGGTGGGGAGGAGGCCCCTACCCAGCAGGTCGGCCACCACAGGCCCTTCAAAGACCCCGACTCCAGGCACTGTCCACCTTGTGCCAGGGGGCTCATGTCGGCTCGCCACCGATGCCTGGCCCTCTTCCTCCTTGGCGCCACGGCCACCGTGAGCCCGTCATCTCAGAGGCCATCCTGTCCCTGGAACAGAGGGACCGTGGCCCCGGCAGCCTCACTCTGCCGCTGTGCAGCGGGCACCTGGGGTGAAGCTGGCATGTGAGCAGGACAGCAGCAGAGGATGCAGACTGAGAAAGTGTGGGAGGGTGTCCTCACGGCCTGGTCCCAGAGCTGGCCTTGAGGCTGGGCAGGGTCCTTCGCTGTGCGCGGGCTTAGCCTCATGGGTCTGCAGCAGGTTTAGGCCTGTGCCTCACCTTCGCACTGTGGATGGGAGGTCATGGGCACCACCTCCTAGAGCCTGCCCACCTCTCAGAGGGTCTCCCCCGGGTGTGCTGTGTGGAGTGTCCCCACAGGGCCCTGGCAGAGACATGCCCGTGAGCGCGGGGAGCCCAGCCCTGAGGCCTCCCCTTCGATTCATCTGAGCACAATGGCCCAACTGGTCTCTGGGGGCCCCTTGCTGTGATCTCCAGTCCCAGGGTCTTGCTGGGACATGTGGGCCCCCACCCTGCCCACTGCCCAGGGCAGCACTGTCCATGCCAGATGGTCTCTGGGCCAGGGCACAGATCAGAACCAAACCTGCCAAGGAGCCCCGTTCCTCCAGGGCTGGGGTCTCCATGAGAGGTCCCTCCCCATCAGCTCAGCATCCCTGTGACCCTATCCAGGGCCAGGCCAGGCCACCTGAGTCGCAGTGCTCAGCCCTCTCTGGGGGACTGGCAACCTGGAGTCCAGGGAAGGAGGGCCAGGGTCTCTAGGGGAACCTGGTTCAGAGCCAGAATATTGGACCCCAGCCCTAGTCTCAGGTCTCAGAAGAAAGTCAAAGGAAAGCCCTGTGTAGAGGTGAGCATCTGGTCCCCAGGGCTCCAGGAGAGGCTGGAGGAAGGTGGGCAAGGGCACTGCCGAGGGACTCTAGCCAGGGAAGCCTGTGAGAGCCACTCCTGTCCCAGGACGTGTCAGGGGAGGGTCACGTGGGCTGCCCCAGGCCCTTTCCTCATGCTGCTTGTTTTCCGTCCATCTCAGAGTCCTCCAACAGGCCCTCAAGCCTCTTCAGCTGCTCCCCAACTCAGCTCACTGTGCAGGAAGGAGCGAACGCCACCTTCACGTGCAGCTTCTCCAACTGGTCGGAGCACCTGGTGCTGAACTGGTACCGCTTGAGCCCCAGCAAGCAGAACATCAAGCTGGCCTCTTTCCGCAGTGGCCTCAGTGAGCCTGGCAGGGACCCCCGCTTCCGAGTCACTCAGCTGCCCAGCAGGCTTGACTTCCACATGAGCGTCATCTCCGCACAGCGCAGTGACAGTGGCCTCTACCTCTGCGGGGCCATCTCCCTGTCCTCCAAGGTGCAGATCCAGGAGACTACAGCTGCAGAGCTCAGGGTGACAGGTGAAGACCAGGCACGGCCAGGGTGGGCAGCACCTCCTGTCCAGGGACCCCCCCCCCGGCTCAGTCAAGGGCTCTGCGGGACCTGACACCCCAAGGGCCCTCTGGAAGCCCCCAGCCCCGTGTGCCTCTGAGGGGTGCCAGGTGCCCCCAGAGTGGGCTGTGCTTGGAAGCCCTCCCAAGGTCAGGCCAGGACCATGGCCTGTCTCCATGGATCTGAGGAGACATTCCTCAGACTTTGAAGAGGGTAATGGTGCCCCTGAAGGCCTGGGGGACACAATATGGTTGACTTTGACCCCTGTCCCTCTGGCCCTCCAGACAGGGTCCTAGAGTCCCCGACACTGGAGCCCCTCCCAGCACATCCCCGCCCCTCGCCCAGGCCAGCAGGCCAGCTTCCAGGCCTGGTGGTTGGTGTCACGAGCGTCCTGGTGGGTGTCCCAGTGCTGCTGCTGCTGGCCTGGGTCCTGGCCACCACCTGTTCCACAGCCTTGCCAGGTAAGGCCTGTCACAGCCCTGCCACTGTCCTGCAGAAGCAGAGCCCCAGCTTCTGCCAGGCCTCCCGCTCCTCTTCCCACACTACACCCTGACCACAGTGGGGGCCTGTGGTCACCACAGTGCACACAGCCCATCCTCGCTGAGTCGCTGATGATGACAGGCCTCTCTCGGGCTGGAGGGAGGGATCAGAGTCAGTGCTGCAGTCCCAGCCCTTCATCAGCCACCTCCAGTTGTCCTGGACGAGCTTCTTAGAGTGCCAGTGACGTGACGCTGCCCTGCAGCCTGAACAGAGCCCCACGTCCCCTTCAGAGTGGCCAGGTCCCTTTCACTTTCTCCGGAGGCTCTGATGCCCAGCTCCCTCCTCCTCGTGCTTCAGGGTGTGCTGTGTGCCCCTCTGGGCAGCCAGGGCCATACACAGCATCTCTGCCACGTGGAGGGCCACTGCAGCGTCTCTGTCACCGTGCACCAGTGGGAGGCAGAGGCAGGCCCGTCCCTGCCCAGGGAGGAAGTCATGGCACCCTTCCCTGGACACCCCCACAGGGTCTGAAAAACCCCAGGGCAGGCGAGGAAGCCCCAGGTAGGGACCCCGACTAAGGCCCTCTCCTGGGAGGACAGCCTGCGTCTGCCCCTTGATTCAGAATGTGTTTCCCTACAGACGCTGGAGGAGCCAGAAGTAAAGAGCAGCCCTTGGTGAGTCTGGGTCCCCTACCCGAGTGACCAACACTCTGCCTCAGGGCTTGGCCAGGCAGAGGGGCTGGTGTCTGTGGGCCTACAGGACCATTTCTCCCAGGGGCCCAGAGCCACACCCTCGTGCTCCGCAGCCCACAGGTGTGCCTGCCTGTGAGCTGTGGTGTGGGTGAGGCATTGCTTACCCTCTTCTGGACAGAAGAGAGCTAGAAACCACAGTTTGGAACCCTGGGTCTACAGGAGTGCCAGGGACAGTTGACAAGGGGAAACAGCCATAGAAGAGGGGCTGCCTCTCAGGTCACGCAGGGGCGATGGGGGATGGCCTTGAAGCCCAGGTCTGGGTTGTGGGGTGCAGGACCCTCTCCTAGGTTGCCAACTTCTCCTTCCCTCTCTCTGTTAAGGAGGAGGCTTCAGAAGTGCCGGTCTCCACCCTGGACTACGGGGAGCTGGACTTCCAGTGGCGAGAGAGAACCCCCACCCCTGAGCCCCCTGCCTCCTGCATACACACCGAATATGCCACCATTGTCTTCCCTTCATCCCCAGGCCGCAGGGGCTCAGCAGACAGCGCCCAGGGTCCCCAGCCTTTGAGGCCTGAGGATGGACACTGCTCTTGGCCCCTGTGACCACTGGCATCCTGCCAACCTCCTGCCAAGAACCCAGGGCCAGCTCCTCCCTGAGGAAGAGGCAGAGCAGCAGGGGCCTCTCAGGGGCCAAGCCACCTGGGTGGTGACCACCCAGCACCCCGTGCCAGCCTTGCCCAGGACCCATGGATGGATGCTCCTCTCCATGCTCTCCATGAGCTGGCAGTGGCAGCCCACCGTCTCCCGATGTGGAGTGCTGGACATGGCCATGGCTGCAGGCCTTGTGAGATAGCTGGCCTGGGCCCAGCTCTTCCGAATCCTGCTGTTCCAGTCACCGTGGCCCCCACAGCCTCCCAGGGAGCCCCAAGCCTAAAGCTGGGGCCTGGTAGCAGAATGCTGAGGGGCAGGCTCTGGGAGGCACCTCACAGCAAGGATGTCCAGGCACACAGTGGACACAGCCCTAAGGCTGCCACGGAGGGGCAGTCCACAGATGGGCCCAGGGGCCACATGCTCGTGGGGCTTAATGGAGTCTCAGCAAAGCCAGAAGAGAGCTCCTACAGCCAGCAGGGTGGGAGCACAGGACTCCCACCCATCGGACCCTCTGCAGGGACCCTCCCACCTCATACAGGTCCAAGCAGCACCTCGGACTGTCCTCCAGCTGGCTGAGGCAGTGAGGGAGAGGGCAGAGCCAGAGGCCACCTGCCCCAGGGCCCTGCAGCACCCTCCCTGCTCACCTGGAGGACTGGGTCCCATGTCAGCCAGACCAGCAAGGGCCCCTCCCAGCCATGGCCATCCTAGGCAGGAGGAGTGGGGCAGTGGCATGGGCACCCCGGGTCCCCATGTGTCCTCTCCAGGAAGTCCAGTTCTCCTTGGCTCTCAGTCACAGTGTTTATTTTCAGCAGATCTTGGCCAGGCTCCCACCAAGGGTGGGCCAGGTGGTCAAGTATTCCCTGTGCTGGGTGCCCCTACTCTTATGCCATTCAGGACAGGGCAGCTAGGGCCTGGACTGACCAGGGCTACCTCTGCAGTCAGGACTTGGGCTCTCTTGTATTCTATTAAATAATGACAGAAGCCTGGGGCCTCCTGTCCTGCTCACGGAGCTGCGGGAAGGCGGACAGGTCGAGGGGCTGGGCTGAGGCTTGAGGTGGAGGCAGGTGCTGGCCCTCCCGAGGCCTGACTCGAGAAAGTGCCAAAAACACAGCAGCCTCCCTGACCCTGGTCTCTGCTCACACAGCTCCCCAGCTGTGAAAACCTCCAACTGCAGTGGGGAACCCACCCACTCCTCACCCGCAGGCCCTTCCCAGGTCCCCAGTGGGCAGAAGTGTCCCCTGGGCCTGTCAGTCCTTCTCAGGCCCCATGACCCCTTCCTGGGCATGTCCCCAGGGTTGGTTGCTGCAGAATAGGTGGACAACACCAGGCCATGAGAGAGGGGCCGGGGTGCCTTGGCCAGGATGCAGATGTGCCTCCCGCCAGAGTGGAGAGAACCAGCCCAGGGAAGGCAATTCCTACTCCACACTGGGGTCCTGGCTCATGACCAGGGACCTGGCAGATGCCCCTCCCCACCCACTCCTGGCATGGGGCAGTGGACCTGGCCCAGCTCCTCAGGTGCTGCTCCTGCCCACCACTCAGCCCTTGAAGCTCCTCCTGAGCCCACTGCCCTGGGTCCCATCTGCTTGAGGCCCATTGGGACCACATCCAGGACAGGCCAGGAGGTCTGTGGCTCTGGAGACCTGGCAAGACGGAGTGTCCAGCAAGTGCCGGGGCTCTGGGATGGGAGATTAGCCTCAGAAACTGCTCTGGCACATTTGTGGACAGTGTGACAGGAGAAGCTGGACACAGACATGACAGGGCCAGCACTGTCCTCCAGCCCTGCAAAGCAGACTGACACAGCAGTGTGTTGCTGGGCAAGATCTGGATGCGAGGAGCAGGGCACAGCCTCAGACGTCAGGAGGGAAGACCCAGCCTGGGAGGGTGGGGTCCTGCCTGGCAGTCTGGAAGACCCCTTTCCCAGGGGTCCCTGTGGAAACACCTCCAGGGATAGGCAACCTGGGGAATGAGAACTGCACCGGGGACCACAGCTGGCCCTGCCGCCAAGAGACCACCCCAAGCTGGCCGGAGTCGCCTCCCGCTGGGGCAGCCCATCACTGTGGTCTGAGGAGCCCCTGGCTCAGCAGAGAGCAGAACAGTGACAGTTCACTGTCCCCCAAAGCAAGGAAGAGTTGGAGTCACGTCAAGATGACGTGCCAACTTGAGCATCGAAAACCCCAAAATCAGCTTGATCAACACACTCTGTTTCAAAGAGCTTGGTTGGAGTCAAGGGTCAGATGTGGGAGCCGGAGAGGAAAAAGGAGAAGGGGAAAACAGAAGGGAGGCAGGAGGGAGAGGAAGGGGCGGGGGGGGTGCTCCGCGAATGAGATGGTTCCAGCAGGTTCTGCGTGGACACGCCTCGTGGGGCCACTACACCGTGTAATCACCAGGCACCAGTTTAAAACAAAAGACCAAGGGAGGGAGGGAAGGCCAGGCAGCCTGCCTGGGTGCAGTTGGCAGCGGGGCCACTTGTGGTGACAGCAGGCTCAGATGAGAACTGAGAGCAGTCGTCAGCACTTCCCACCCGCCTTGCCTTCCCGTAAAGGGCCACGGAGAGCTGTGTTCTCATTGTTTCCATGCCGCGCTCTGCCCCGGGGCATGTGTCACAGCCCTGGCTGAGCTGTGCCCACCGCCCATGCTTGTGCTTCGGGTCTTCCCTGTGCACCCACAGAGGCTGCCGCTTCAGGGGTCCTGTGGAGCTGGTCTCGGGCTCCTCATCCAGTCCTGGGTTCTTGGGAGCAAGGTGGGGCTGACCCCAGAGGGTGGTCCCCAGAGCAACAGAGAGATGGCCCCAGGCTCCTGGACCCGGCTCCCAGTGCCCTGCACCTGCCTCTCCTGTGCCCTAGTCCTCAAGTCCCACCTTGAGGCCCTTCATGAAGGACGCTGTCTCAGTCCCTCCTGGGAGCCTGAGGTCCTGCCCTTTAGGGTCCAGGGGACAACCAAGTCTCTAGGCAGGAGAACCTGCAGAGGCCTGAAGGCCCTCCCTGGGGCAGCAGGAGACAGAGCGGGTGACCTGGAACCTCCAAGGCACTTGGGGGCTCTCAGGATGTGAGGTGGGTGGGCCCTGGGGGTCTCAGCTGTGGGGAGCCACTCTGAATGACCCCTGCCTTCCAGTTCTGAAGCAGGAGACTCTGACCAGTCACTCCATTTTGTGGTGACTTGGACATTGTCCCAGCTCAGGAAGTGAAAGGTGTGTCTTCAGATGTAAGTATCACCCCTGGGGTTGAATCACACTCCCCTGTCCCTCATAACCCTGCCCCTTTGCCTTTTTTGGATAGAACTTTCTAAGAACAAGGGTCCCCACAATTAAAGCCCACCTCCAAACATGCTTGCTCTCTCTTGCCAGCCTCTCGTGACTTTCTCTTGCTCTCCCATTTGGGGGGCTGAGAAGCTTGTTTTAAGGTAAAGTGTGTCTGTGTTTTATTTGGTGTCCCTGGAAATTCACACGAACGACCTTAAGTTCAACTGCCCACACGGGTCAGGGGCAGCACTTAGCTCCAGGGGTCAGTGATCCAATGTGGGTGGACCCTTCCACCATTTGCACCCAGAGTTTCTGGAAGTTCGAGGTGTGGCGGGTGCTCCAGGGGCAGTTGAGGCCCCGCAGCCCCTTGGTTGTGAACAGTGGTTCATGCCTGCACCCGCTGACCCAGTCGGGCTGCCCACTCACTGGTGGGGAATCCTGTGCCGTCATTCTCACAACACCCAGCCCAGAGGCAAGGCTGGAAGGGCTGCAGCCCAGGAACAGGGGTGTCATCATCACCACCATATGTCACACAGCAGGGTCACTTCTAATTCTTATGCTTTACTGCAATCTAATTTCAAAAACCAGTGGTTGCCTAGTAGAATATCCTTCAGACAAAGAAAGAATGAGGTTCCCAGGTGCTTAGCAGTGCCATTCCCCGAAGTCAGGTGGCAGAGGTGACCCCACATCCACTGACAGGTGAAGGAGTGCCTCCCTGCCTGGGGTGGGCTCAGTCTCAGGAAGGAGGGAAATCAAGAGCTACAGCACGGAGGAGGCTTGAAGGGACCAGTGCCCTGCAATAAGGCAGCACGGGAACCTGGTCCAGAGCTCCTGGGCCCTCCCTCCTCCCTCCCTCCTCCCTCCTCAGAGGCCCTGGGCAACTAGGGAGAGCAACCCACCTGCACCAGGAGGCTGCCTGCTTCCCTCAAAGCCTGCTGACTTAGACCTGTGTGACCACACATCTGGGCACCATGTGCAGGGACCTGAGGGCCAGGACAGTGAGTGGACCCAGCTCTGACCAGGGTGCACAGGGTCTCCAGGGCGGATGTCCTGAGCCCAGGTCCCGTGGCTGGTCACGTTTGCACAAGTCTGTATCCCGCAGATTGTATGAATATGGACGTCTTTCTTCTTTATCTTACTAGTAGAGTTTTTGTTATACTCTTAAATTGATGAATTTCACTTCTAAAAATAGTTTGAGGTTTGCAGGAAAAGTGGGCAGGAGCTGTAGTCCCTGGGCTGCCCCTCACCTGCAGCAACGCCCCCTCTAGGGCTGACAACATGCTCCAGCGTGGCTTGTCCATGGTCCTTGACAGATGCACAGCCCAGTGTCCTGAGCATCCTCTGGGACCCAGCTTGCTACCCAGACCGTGCCCCCACGGTGACCACAGTACCTTTGTCATGTGTCACAGCAGCCTTGCAGGTGACTTTCTTCCCTTGAAATGTGCATTTAAATTCCCTCCGTGTCTTTGCCGGTGCCTTCTCTTCAGGGCTGGATGGTGCTCTGCGGCCTGAGGGCCGCGGCCCGTGCTCCTCTCCACCCACCGACCACGGGGCCTGGGCAGCTGCCCAGCTGTCAGCAGGCAGGTGCAGGGGCTTGGGTGAACAGGAGGAGCACAATCGCTGGTCTTGAGGCAAGTGTGTTTCGATGTTAACAAGCACCCCACGGCCTCCCAGAGCCCTGCTGCACGCTCCATGTGGCTCTGGGTTCGGCCGTGGGGGCTGTGGTGTCTCCTTGCTGTGCTGATTTCAGGTTCCTGGTGGCAGGAAGGGGGCCGGCCAGCTGCCTGCAGCCTGTCCTCTTTGGAAAGGTCTGTGAGCATCTTTTTTCCCCATTTTTAAATCAATTGTCTGTTTTCTTCACTGAGCTTTTAGGTTCTCTGGAGTTACGTGTGTTTTCTTCCTTTTCTCATGAGCCTTAAGGGCCCGCCGTGCAGCCCCAGCTGTGGGCCCCTTCCTGTGGTGCACACTTCTCCGTCCTTCCTACCTTTCCTCCATAACTCTCAGTAACCACAGGCTCCCTTCTCTCCAACATGTGCATGCTAAGGCTACACATTCCCCCGGCTTGGCTTCATCCCACAAGTTGGCTTTATGTTCACATAACTAATTTAAATATGGTTTCTACTTTCCACAGTAGCTTCTTCTCTTCTCTCATTTTTTATCAGAGCATCACCGTCACAGACGATGGTGGGATGTGTTGTTCCTGTCCACACCTGCTCACAATACGACCCAACTTGGCCAGTATCACCGCCCTTTGGTTCCTTTCCTCTACTGATCTCCTTATGATTTTTAGGAGAGCAACCCCACCTTTGTTTTCTTTTTTATCCTTTCTGGCTTCCACATATGAGAGAAAATATATGACCCGTGACCTTCTGAGTTTCACTTATTTTGCTTAATATGATGGTCTCTAGTTCCATTGATATTCTTGAAAATGCCATAATTTCATTTTTATTTGTGGCTGAATAAAACTCCATTGTGTATCTACACCTCATTCTCTCTATCATTCGTGTACGGACAGACACTTCGGCTGGTTTCATTGTTTGGCTGTTGTGAATTGTGCAGCTATAGACACGGGTCTGCATGTGTCACTCTAGTAAGATGACCTGGATTCTTCAGGGTCAATACCGTGAAGGGGTGTAGCTTCTTTGAACCCTCATTGTTTAGGACTGTGGTTTCCTGACTTCTGAACACAGGAAGATTGTTTGACTTCCCTTTGTTTTGACCGCAGCTCAACTGCAGGTGATTCCATCCCCTGGAGCCCGTGGAGACTACACAGGCCAGTGTGCTGCCGTCCTCGGGGCATCTGACGCAGGCTGCCCCAGTGCTTCTGTGGCTTTGCACGCATGTCAGCCAGCTGTGTGTCTTCAACTGGCCGAGTCTTCAGTCTCCCGTCTTAACTGATCTCTGCTTTGTCGGCTTGCTCCATCGATTCTAGGGAGATGTGTCTCAGAATTTCTGTCGTAATTGAGAAGCTGCCTACTGTTTGGGCTCTGAGTCTGTCCACTTTGGGTTTATATTTTGAAGCAGAGTATTACGTCCAGACACACTTAGAATCACTGTAACTTCCTGGTAAACCAAGATGTTCATCATTTGAAATATCCCCTTTGTCCCCAGCAAGGTCTCTCTCAGGTGTGAGTACCCTGCCTCACTGCCCCTTCCGTCCTGTGGCTGGTCATTATTTCCCCTTGGCTGCCAGCCTTATGTGTCTCTGTGCCTCATCTGTGTCTGCGGCCCGTGGAGTGCGGTTGACTGGGGGCTGGGAGGGGCTGGGTGGTCGAGCACTGTGGGCAGGCTCCAGGCCCTGCCTTCCGTCCCCACCTGGGGGTCATGGATAGCTGGGTATGGGGCTGGGGCTGTTCTGGTGTGGTTCTGCCAGCCCCACCTTGACCTTCAGTTGGCACATGAGTCAGTCCACGGGTACAGCAGTTTGGGCATGTGGGGTCTACGTCAGCCCCCCACGTCTACTTCCTGCTCTGCCCTCCCAGCTCGGGGCATCTCTTCTCATTCCTGGTCTGCTTCAAGTCCACACCTTCCTGTCTCTGTCGGTCACCTTGGTCAGCTAGTGACCACGCTGCTTTGCCAGAAAGCACTGTGTCCTGGCGCTGACCAGCGTGCACTGGAGCTCCACCCCTCCTGGGTGACGTGAGGGTCTCAGCAGAACGGTTCCACTCCAGGGCTTGTCCACTATGTGTCCTGCGTAGGGCTGAGCACCGGAGGCTTCTGCTGCCGTTGCACTGAAGCAGCCTGAGCCTCTGTCTGGAAGCAGGTGCTCCTACCCGGAGCCGCTCAGGACCCCTGCACATCAGCCACTGCCCGTGTCTGAGAACTGGCCTTGGCCTTCGCTCTCCAAGGCACTTCCCCTGGCAGGACTTAGGGGGCAGCTCTCTTCCAGCATCACCCAGTGCTTTCCAGTTCCTGAGGCTGCTGTGGGAGTCCATGCTTTCCTGAAGCCCACTTTCCCATCTGGCTTTAAGATCCCCACCTCAGCTAGGCGCCGTGGCGCACACCCACAACCTCAAGCTGGAAGCTGAGGAAGGAGGATCACTGCTTCAGGGCCAGCCCGGACAGTTTAGCAAGGCCCTGTCTCAAAAATAAAGTGACGAAGCTAGGGTGGCGCAATTGTCCAGCATGTGCAAGGCCCCGGGTTCCATGGCAGCCTCTGCCAGCCCCTGCACATTTGGGAATCCACCCTGGGGAAGTCGAGGCTCCATCTGGGAGGAACCGTGCTCTGGGCATTCAATGCAGCTTTGTTTGCTGGAGGAAGGCCCTGGGTTCCATCCCCAGCACTGAAAAAGGACCTCTCCACCTTGGGTCTCCACGGACTTTGTACATGGGCTCAGGATGCTTTTTCTTTGGCAGTTTTGACTGGAGGTCCTAGGTGACCACAGGCATTGCTGAGCTGAGACTCTGCAAACCAGACTGCAGAGCTGCCACACCCACAGCAGGCTGAAGGGCCCCGTGGCCACTCCACTCCAGCCCACCACCCTAGACTATGGAGTTCAGAGGTCATGCAGCATGGACGCCCCAGGACTCACGTCCACTCTGCTTCTTCATAAATGCAGTAGAAGGCCTCGTTTGTCCTGGGCATCCTGGAAGAGGCCCCAGGCAGCCTTCCATGCCCCTCCTACGGGCTCTGCCTCCTCCAGTCTCCGTGCCTTCCTGACTTGTCTCAGGTTTGGAGGTAAAAGAAGATGACCCCTCCACAGAACAGTTGGTTGTTTTCCTTCTCTTCTCCTCTGCAGATGCCACCTGGGAAGGCCCCCACTCACCTGCCCTGCTCCAATTCAGTGTTCTCAATGGGGCCTACAGAACTGTCCAGCAAGGAAGGAGGGAATCGATGGGACAGAGGGGAGGCCGAGACGCTGGTGGCCCTGACCTCTACCTTCCACCTTTGCCCCCAGTGCGGGGGGTGCCAATGGGCCCTCAGCACATTCACGTTGGGAGACACAGGAGGCTGTCATGCAGTGGGTGTGCACACTCACGAGCACCCTCGCTTCCCGCTGGAGAAGGAATCGTCGACTACAATGAAGCCTTGGCAGCCTCTGCCGGCCCCTGCACATTTGGGAATCCACCCTGGGGAAGTCGAGGCTCTGTCTGGGAGGAACCGTGCTCTGGACATTCACTGCAGCTTTGTTTGCTGGGGGAAGGCCTAGAAACGGCCTGAACCAGTCAGAAGACGCTGAACAAGGCAGTGCACTGTGCCCCAGGGGCTGTGCGGGTCCCCAACTCTTATGGTGAGAGCCCTGACCAGGCACAGTGCGCACCGGGGGCGGCAAGCACATTCAGACGCTGTGTGCCCCACCCCCAGCCCCCTGCAACACCGGCCTCTCCCCAGCCCTGGCACCCCCTCCTACTCTCTGTCTCTTTGATTTGACTCCTGGGGAGCTTGGGTAATTGAAATCACCTAGGGTGTGTCTCTGGGGCTAGCTAATCTCACTCAGGATAATGTCCTCGAGGTCTTCCCATGTGTAACATGTGTCACAATGTCCTTCCTTTCAGCTGAATACAATGGCACTCATCTGTAACCCCAGCAACTCAGGAGGCTGAGGCTGGAGGATCCCAAGTTCAAGGCCAGCCTCAGCAACTTAGGGAGACCCTGCCTCAAAAAAAAAAAAAAAAAAAAAAAAAACTGAGTCTGGGGAGGTAGCTCAGTGGAAGCACACCAGGACTGGAAAGAAGACAACCAAGAGGGAGGGAGGAGTGGAACCACAGGGCCGCACAGACGTGCTGTAGCAGGGTGTGGGAAAGGCGGGCTGCAGGTCGGTGGGTGGTCCCCACAGATGTCTCTGGAGCCCCTGGAGCTTGAAGGAAGTGGGCAGCCTTGGGCATGGGCACGGTGACACCTCTGCCCAGCCTCAGGGCCTGTGTACTGGCTCCCTGTGGGCAAGCTCCACCAGGGTCTTAGGCTCAGAGTTCAGAAACAGACCCTGGAGAAGGTAGGCCTCTGCTGAAGCCAGCTCCAGGGACAAGGCCTTCCTGTAGCCTTGCAGTCAGGCACCGCCAGGCCTTCCTCTGAGTGGCTGCTAACCTGTCCAACTGCCCGCGGGGTTGGCCTCCATAGCCTGGGCCCCACGAGGTGGCCGCACTCCCCAAACCTGCCTGGCCTGGCCCGGTTGCTCTGCTGAAGAGGTCAGCACCCTGTGGTGGTCCCAGATGGCCTCGGGCCAAGCCACCTGCCTGGCCTGGCCCGGTTGCTCTGCTGAAGAGGTCAGCACCCTGTGGTGGTCCCAGATGGCCTCGGGCCAAGCCACCTGCCTGGCCTGGCCCGGTTGCTCTGCTGAAGAGGTCAGCACCCTGTGGTGGTCCCAGATGGCCTCGGGCCAAGCCACCTGCCTGGCAGCCGGGGCCGGACCCAGCCCTGGGCAGGGGAGGAGCACAGTGGCTCTGGCCAGCACAAGGCCTGCAGCTCGGCAGACATCTGGAGGTCCCTGTGGGAGCACAGCCAGAGAGGAAACCGTGGCGTAACTTCTAGGGCGGCTTCAACACAGGACCACAGCACCCTCAAGGGAAGCCACATCTGAGGTGAGAGGGCCACCAGCTCCGCTCCCTGAGGCTCTGGGGAGGTTCTACCTGCCTTTTCCCACTCAGGGGTTCACCACTCCACCACTCTGCTCTGGCTCCTGGGTCCAGAAGACCATGCACAGCCCAGGAGAGGCTCCTCGGGCCACTTCCAGTCCTCTGGAGAGCTGTCTCAAGAAGAGTCCCCTCTTCTTGGGAGGACACTGTCCTGGGGTTGGGACTCACCCTGACCCAGGCAGCCTTCCTGGATTTCATCAGGAAGGTTATGGAGGCCAAAGACCCTATATCCAAAGAGGGTCACCATCGGAGGACCCGGCTGGACACGCATGGGGGGGACATAGCTGGCCCCAGTGAGTGAAGAGCAGGGGCTATAAGTACTCCAGCCATGTGGCCCCAGGACCTCAGAGAAACCTGCTCTTCTCTGACTCAGACACGGAAGCTGAGGGTCCAAATGCGTCCCCAGGAGGGTGCTGAGATCCCTGCCCCCAAGATGGCAGCGTGAGCAGGTAGGGCCTTCGGGAGGGATCAGCGCCCACGAAGGAGCCTCAGAGAGTCCCACTCTTCACCTACAAGCCAGAAATCAGGCCCTCGTGACCTCAGAACCCTGAGGAAACAGCTGTCTGCGGGGTTCTGCTACAGGACCTGGTGACCCAGGAAACACGTCACCACAGGCCTGAGCAGCCAGGGGCTCTCCTCTCCTCCTCCTGCCCCTGACTGAAGCCCAGTGGTGACCCCCACAGCAGCTCCCTGCCAGCAGCACAGAGCCCCAGAATGAAGAGGTCCTCTGCTCCCTTGGGGACCCTCTGTAGCCTGGAGGCTTCCTGGATGCGGCACACTGCGGGGAAGACAGCCCAAGGCGGCCATGCAACCTCAGGAGGAGCTCAGACCAGAAACACCCAAGGAGCTGGTCACAGGACAGGGACTCGTGAAGAAATGACATAAGGGCATGTGAGACCTACTGCTGGCCAAGAGTGCCCACCAAGGGGCACCAGTGCCCAGCAAGCCAGAGGTCAGGGAGGCACACAGAAGGCCATGCACAGCCCAGGAGAGGCTCCTCGGGGCACTTCCAGTCCTTCTTGAGAGCTGTCTACATCTTCCATATTTTCTGCAACATGCCTATAGATAGATAGATGACTGATGGATGATAGATGATTGACAGCTAGATGACAGGTGATTGATCGGTAAATAGATGACAGATGACAGACAAGAGAGTTATCTGTCTTCTAGATATAATTAGCCGGGCGTGGTGAAACATGCCTGTAACCCCAGTGGCTCCAGGACTGAGGAGGGTGTCAGGATCAGAGCCAGTCTCAGCAATTCATCAAGGTCCCAGGAACTCAGTGAGATCCTGACTCAAATTGAAAAATACAAAAAAGGGCTGAGGATGTGTCTCGGTGGTCAAGCACCACTGTGTTCAATCCCCAGTCCCCCCCAAAACAGAAAGAAATAGATACAATTTTATAATTAGAAAGTAGGACTTTAAAAGCAGCCCCCATGCAACCAGAGCCCTCTCCGGGTGCACAGGGCATACTGGTTGGTCCCAGGAGATGCGCCCTCCTCTGGGCAGGGGCAGCCAAGCAGGATGGAGCCCAGTTGCTTCTGCAGACAGAAATTCAGAGACGGGGAGACCTTACCCATCAACATATCCCAGAATGGTGGGGTCAGCACCAAGTGGACAGCAGACAGAAGAGGCACAGGTCCTCTTCTCCTCCTGACCTCCCTTCTGCCGGCCACCCCCGAGCATTTGGGGGCAGCGTGGTTAGGGCAGGGAGGTCTGAGGCAGGGGGTTGGAGAAGGGGCTAGATAGAGCACAGCGCCCTCCCCAGGGCTCGGACATGGGAGCATGCACCACACACCACTCAGCCCTTTATCTCTGGTTCTCACTCCAGAGAGCAGCAAGCTGTCTGCTGAACAGGAGCTGCCAGTGAGGAAGGAAAGTCTGGGCAGACGAGACCCTGGCTCTTGAGGCTCACTGTCCAGCTCCAGAGCTGCAGTGGCCACCTGGTCAGCCTTGGGAAGAGGCCTTCTCCCACCCCACCCACAGGCAGACCTCTCCACCTCCACTGGCAGGGTCCTCCACACTCACCCTCCACGGCCAGGGCAGAAGCCGGGTGCAGAGCTCTGTCCATCCTGTGGTCACCCCAGCCTTCCTCTCTGTGTACTCCACCCCCCCCCCAGGGTGCCCAGCCAGAGGGCCCATCAAGAGGGCCTGCAGTGCCCCCGAGGTTTGTCCCCAGAGGCGGGTGGCTCAAGGCCTACCGGCACGTTTTCCAGGATCTCGGGCAGAGAGAACATGCAGAAGGAGATTTCCTCATAGGAGACCCTGGCACCGCTCTCAAACAGACAGGCAAAGGCTGGGGTCGCCCCAGGCACAGGCCCTAGGAATGCCAGGTCAGAGTAGCCACTGGGGCCCTCATAGATCACCCAGGGCTTTGTCCAACTGTGGGGGTCCAGGGGGGACCGGCTCAGGTAAATGCCCATGTGGAGCCGGGCCCTGCGCCCTGCAGGGTGGGAATACAGCAGCCATGTGGGGCTTCGAGGTGGGGCAGCAGAGGGCCCGGGGAGCATTGGGATCCCGGCCCCCCGGTCCTCACCAAGCCCAGGTTCAGGGCCAGGCTGTCCTGGACCACTCCCCCAGGGCTGTGGGAGGCAGAAGGGCTGAAAAGACACCAAGCCCCCATTAGGGTCTTCAGCACCCTCCCCAGAGGGCTCCAGGACCCCAGGACAGAGGGGGGGAGGGGGAGGGGGACTCCTGGTGCCCGGCGACTGCCCCTCATCCTGAGGCCTTCCGGGGGGTGGGGCAGGGAATCCCACGATGCTGCCCTGACAGCCCCGGGAAGTCTCGGCCAGGGTGGGCACAAGCTCCCCGGGCAGGAAGGATGTGCCCTCATTGGGGCTGAGTGCCTGCACACGGCTGCCCAGGGGGCTCCGGGCATTGCAGTAGAGGAAGCCTCCGTCCACTGGGGCAAACTGGCATTCGCCAGAGCGCAGGTTGGACACCAGGCCCCCACAGTGCCAGGTGCGGCCATGGTCATCACTGTAGAAGGCGAAGGCATGGGGGCTGGTCCAGCAGATCTTGCCAAAGCACTCCCGACGGTCCACTCGATAGGTGTAAGCAGGAACCAGCAGGCGGCCTGAGCGCAGCTGGACCCCGTGGCCTGGCCCCACTGCGAAGGTGGCCCAGCCTGCACAAAGGAAGGCAGAGGTGAGAGGGGATCTGGGTGCCCTAGAGGGGGTGGCAGTGGGCAGTGCCCATGAGGGGGCAGGAAGAAGTTTGGTCAGGCTGACAGGCCAGGTTTTCTCCCCTGGTGCCAAGGTTCTGACCAGGGCTTGCTACGAGGCAAGGGCTGGACACCTGGGCCAGACCTGGCCCTGAGTCAGGCTCAGCCAGCCGCCAACCCCAAGTCCAGTTGGTGGCCTCCAGTGGTGCTAGGCAGGCACAGGCACTGCAGAGAGCCGCTGGGCAGGTCTGGGGTGTGAGGGCCTCCAAGAGGCCTTAGGAGCAGCTCTGCCCACTGTCCATCTCCCTCCGCATGGAGTCCAAGGTCAGTGCCTACCAGCAGAGGTCAGGGTGGCCATGAAGATTGGTGGGCAGCCAATCTTCATGTAGGGAGGGGGTAGCAGTCTCAGAGGGAAGGCCTGGGGATCAGAGTCCAAAGGCCAGGTCCCCTAGGCTGAATGAGGAGAGAGAAAGAAGAGAAAGCCACGGAGAGTAGGAGGTCATGGGTGTGGGAGGCCATGGGGGTGGGAGGTCATGGGTGTGGGAGGCCATGGGGGTGGGAGGCCATGGGGGATAAGAGGCCATGGGGGTGGGAGGTCATGGGGGGTAAGAGGCCATGGGGGTGGGAGGTCATGGGTGTGCGAGGCCATAGGGGTGGGAGGTCATGGGGGTGGGAGGTCATGGGGGTGGGAGGCCATGGGGATGGGAGGTCATGGGGGGCGGGAGGCCATGGGGGTGGGAGGTCATGGGGGTGGGAGGTCATGGGGGTGGGAGGCCATGGGGGTGGGAGGTCATGGGGGGCGGGAGGCCATGGGGGTGGGAGGTCATGGGGGGCGGGAGGCCATGGAGGTGGGAGGCCAAGGAGAGTGGGAGGTCATGGGGAATGGGAGGCCATGGGGGTGGGAGGCCATGGGTTTGGAAGCCAGATCTCAGCCTCAGCAGACAGTCAAGGCCAGGGAGAGGACAGTGCCTTAGGTCCACTGGAGGCACCGGCCCTGCCCACCGGCTGTGGGGTGGAGGACTCATCCCGTCTGCCTGGGAATGAGGTTTTCCTGGGGGCCAGACAGTCCTGAGAGCGGGATTGAAGCCTGTTTCAGCAGGCGGCTGGCAGGGCCAGCAGGAGGTCCCAGGTGGCCTGTGGGGAAGGGGAGCCACCCTCCCTGGCCAGCCTACCCTGCACCATGGCCCCGATGGCCTCCTCAGTGAGGTCCCGAGCGCTGCCCCAGGTGAGGCCAGCGTCACAGCTGGTCACACAGCAGAGGCGGGCCGCGTTCCTGCCAGTGGCGATCTGCACAGCCTCGGGGGTGTGGCCCAGCACGGCGATGAAGAAGAGGAAGACGGTGCCTGAGGCTGTGTCCAGTACTGGGCAGGGGTTCATGGAGCGGTGCCCCTCCAGGACGGCTGTCCCCAGCACATGCAGAGTACCCCACTGCCAGAGGAGGAGTGTGACTGGCCAGGATGCCCAAGGCCTGGGCCCAGGACAGGGGGCGCTCAGGAACTGGGCCTCAGCCTCCCCATCCAGGCTGCCTGCATCAGGACCCCACACTTCTGTGCTGACCACTCACCTGCACGGAGCCCCCAGCCAGTGTGCCCCTCCTCAGCACCAGGCGGTGGCCATGAGAGTCGCTGGGGCTGAGTCGCTGCTCCGCAAAGGCCAACAGCGTGGGACCAGGGGGCACCAGGAGCAGCGCGGGCACCCTGTAGGTCAGGCCCGTCCTCTCCCGCTGGAAAAGCACCGTCCGCCCTGGGATGTGTGGGACCCCCATGCTCTGCAGGTCAGAGTGGCCGCAGGTCAGGACGGTCCCAGGGAGCCCAGCCCTGCCCGCCGTCGGTCTGGATTGCCTGGCCAAGCAGATGGTCAGCCAGAGCTGTGGCAACAAGAACATCTGTGTCCACAAATGGACTGAGCCACAGGGAAGACAGACAGCAGGACACTCACGGGCTCCCACACGGTGCCCAGGGGAGCGCTCAGAGCGTCCCCACAGAGGAGGGGCTAAACTCAAGGCCCCAAGGGACCCACCAACGGCCGGGCTGCCTGAGCAGGGTGGGGGTGGGGTGCACAGCAGAGGCCCCCTCCAGTGCAAGGTGCCCCACACCACAGGACCCTCCCACGGGACAGGCAGGGCAGGCCGGAAGACCCTCAGGGCCCAGAGACATGGCGACCCCCATCCACTGGGAGGCCTGGACTGTGGACGCAGCTCTGGGCTGCAGATCTCCAGGGCAGGAGGAACCGGGATCACCCCCACTGGGTCCTCATCAGTTCCTCCCTGTGAGAGCCTCTCTCCCACCCTGAGCGGGCGCACATGGTGGGGGCAGGGAGCTTCCTGGAGGTGGTGATGGGACCCAGCAGGAGCTCGGAGTGGAGCAAAGAGGGGCCACACTCCAGGACCGAGGACCGCCCCAGGCAGGGATGGAGGAAGGTCCTCCTGTGGCCTCCTGATCCCACTGCCCCAGATGAACCTCAGCCAGCCATGCCTCCCCTCACCCACAGCCCCCTTCAGTGGTCAGAGCCCTGCTGTGGGCAGCTCACCTGGCGTATCCAGACCCCCATCCCAGGAATCCCTCGCACATCTGTGGGGCCCTGGCCTGAGGGGACCTGGAGGGCTCTTCACAGGAGCCTGAAGCCCCAGGAGCGGGGGCCTCCAGGGAGCAGCCTCCCAGGGCAGCCTTGGGTGGACCTTCCCAGGGGTCTCTGTCTGATTTGCACAGAGACAGACCGGGGCAGTGAGTGTGTACAGCCAGCTGGGGTGGTGGGGAGGAGATGCAGGTATGGGGCCAGCAGGCCAGGCCACAAGCCAGACACATCCCAGACCAGGACACAGAGGTGGTCAGCCTAGAGCACTTGGAGATGGGGACGAGATCAGGATTCTAGTCACACACCTGACCAGAACCAAAACCCCTGCTGCAAAGGGACGCCCCCGCCTGCTCATGGGGACCCACATGGTGGAGCCCTAGAAGGGTGACACTCACGGCAAGCAAGAGCAGACACCGGAGGGCTTGCTGGCCCCTCCAGCTCCACCTGACGTCCTCTGCCTCCGCCTGCCTCCAGGAAGGCCCTCAGGGAGGACCACACGCAGCCCCGGCTCTGCTCACCCCACACCAGCTCTGGCGGCCTCTGAGGCCGCTTCCTGTCTCCTGGAAGCCCCTGGGCTCTTCACTCAAAGGGTGATTGTGCCCACGCCAGCAGCAGGTGCAAGTGCCACGTGGCTCCCCAGGCCACATGGGCACAAGAGGGACATTCTCTCCACACTTGGCAGGTGCCCCACAGCCTGGGCCCACCCGGGCTGGTGTCAGCACAAGCTCAGCCTCAGCCAGGAGGAGCAGGAGGTGAATGCCTCAGGGAGCAGACAGAGGGAAACAGGCTTCAGATGGGACAGGCCACCACACAGCACACGCCCCGGCCCAGGCCAGGCTCTGAAAGGTCTCAGCATGTCCCCTAGTCTGAGAAGAGGAACAGGGCTCCCAGCACTAGCCGCCTACTCACATGGCCAGTTCAGCAGGTTTGGGGTTGACCAGGACGGCTGTCCCAACATACGGTCGTGTTCACCCACCCCCTGCCCAAGGCGGAGCCAAGGAGGGGAAGCCGAGGCCCTGGAGGTAACGGGACCCCCAAGACAAACTCGTCTTCTGGCACCTGGACCCCTAAGCCCCTGCAGAGGTTGTAGGGGTCATTCTGTGGCTCAGCAGGGGATGGTCAGACCTCTGGCCACAGCCTGCTCTGTGTGGGCTCCAACCTGGAGTTCTGAGGCCAGGCTGAACCCATGGGCCAGTGAACCTGAACTGAACCCCCTGGAGCCGTGAGCTGGGATAAACCTTTCCTCCTGTGGGCTGATTTTCTCAAGCACTTCCTCACAGTGACAAAGTTGACCAGCAAGGTGACAAAGAGCAGCCCAATAAGACAGAGAGAGTGAGCCCTCTGCCTCAGTCAGAACCTCGGCCTCAGCAGGACGTTCCTTGTGTCTGTCCAACACAAGAAAAACAGCTTTGTCTGCCATATGAACCAGGAAAAAAAAAAGAAGAAAACATGAATAATATTTTAAAGACCATTTCTAGACACATTCTCTACCTGTGCTGCTCAGTCAAGCAATCCACTCTGGCAAACGAAAGAGATGGCTGTGCCATCAAACTCCAGGTGCTTCTGGGGTGGTTATTCCCGCATTCCTTGCTAAAATGCAAACACCTGACGCAGCTCCCGAACCCCCTTAAGATGGAAGGGGGATGGGACGGGGAAGAGGGTTTTTAAAAACCAAGCTGCTGTGGGGCTGCTTTACCCCAACCCTGGTCCGTAGCCTCTGTAAGACCAGCTCTCGGAATGAAGTCCCAGGGTCCGCCGTGCTACCAGGTGGCCTTAACCTGACCTACTGTCAGACATGGGACTTGGATTCAGCTCTCTTTATAAAAGCTGGTGAGCTTCTAGCACTCTGCTTTTTGTCTCATGACCAGAATTCTAAAATGAAAACGGTGAGATCTCTGTGCACACATGTGTCCGTATGTTATGCAGGTGGACCTTGTCCTCAGGTCCAGTCCCTGAGGGAGTTCTGGGTCAGCTCACCGACGGCAGGTGTCTGTTCACATAGATGAAAACCGCTTAGTTACCCAAATGCCTCCGAGTGCTCGCGATGTGAGTCAATCTGTGGTGAACAAGTCGGTTTTACATTTACTAGTAAAGTAAAAATGAAGATGTCTTTAGAATTGTTAGCCTTCATTTTTGCCTGGGTTTGCTGCCAGGCCGGGTCATCTCCATCTTGGCTAGATGTTTAAGACCATGAAAATGTGAGTCTGACTTAAGAGTAAATAAGCGGTAGGGGCCCTTCCTGAGCTTCCAGCCCAGCAGTTAGTCTGTGAGGTAGGGTATTTATGAACCAGGAAATGACTGGAAATTAAGCCTCTGCCTGCCTAACATCTCAGTTTCCATAAGTAATCTGGGTATGTAAAAGCTTATATTACTTTATAAAAGCTTTATTGTTAAAATAAACATCTGAGGTGAATGGAGATGTTGGAAGTGGTGCCAGAGCAGTCACAAAGCTCATGCCTGGCTATGGGATGGACAGTGGGCCTCACTGCCCGCGGCGCCCCGCATACCCTAGGCCCTGATGCTCTACAGAAAAGACAACGTGTGCACTTGGGTCCGCTGAGATCCCCGTCACATCAAGAAGCAAACTTGTTCTAGAAGAAGCACATGTTTCAAAAACTTCTAAGATGTGTTTTTATAAGCTGATGATATGTGGCAGGTAACTGAGAACATCTCTCCCCCTGGGACTTCACTAGAAATCAAGGTTACTAAAAGCTAAAGATTTAAATTAACATCTATTAGTCTACATACAAAGAATACATGAAGAAAATGTGGTTTTGATGAGAAAAACTATAAAGACTATAGAAAATCATTTTTATTCATAAAAAAGACTGATTTGCCTAATTTCAGAAACTTTTAATGGATTGCCTCAAAAATGCAAATTTAAGGAAGGAATAAAAGAAGTCGGGCCAGAGGATCACAAGTTCAAGCCACCCTCAGCAAAAGTGAGGCACCAAGCAACATCAGTGAGGCTCTGTCTCCAAGTAAAACACAAAATAGGGCTGGGATGGGGTTCAGTGGCGGAGTGCCCCTGAGTTCAATCCCTGGTACCAAAACCAAAAACACAGGAAGGCTTTTCTCAAGGTGTCTTCTGCTCTTGGTAAAGTCTTGTTTGTTCGTTTTGGGGGTAAAGTTTTCAAGAGACTCTTATTGAATTCTGTGACCTGTGCTGAGTCTTCAGCCGTCTCTGCATCTGCAGCTCTTCTGCCGTGTTCCCAGGTGACAGTGGCTCAGTTCTCTGTTCAGGTCCTGTAAGCGCCTGCTCCATCAGAGACATGGAGACGCGGCTCCCAGGTCAGACTGGAAGCATCTGCTCTAAGGACCTGCAGAGCTCAGCTCTCTGTTCCGGAACTCTCATGGTGGCTGTGAACTGTCCTGGGTGTCCTCTGTAAAACACTTTCTCAGGCCCTGCGAGGCCCCCAGGAGCGCTCCCTGCTTGGCTCTCCTCCAGTGGGGTGCACACAGCCTCAGACACTCTTCCAGGGTCTGTCTCCTTAGACCTGGGCCCTGGTCAGGACTGACCTGTGAGTTGCCAGGCGGCCTCTGCAGGGAGCCCCATAGGGGTCTTCTGTACTCTTGGTAACTAGTCTGTGTTTGGTGAAGACGATTTCCTGGGTCTTGTGCTCTTGACTGGGGTTCTTATTACTGAGGAAAATTAAAAGGTGAAGTGTTTGGGGTTCGTGCCTTTTTGTTAAGTCTTTTAATCACTTTACGACTCAGGAAGTGACCCTCTGTGACTCTGGCCGACTGTCCCTGCTCTCAGCTCACAGGGTTTCAGACTTTTTGGCATTGTTGGGGACATTCTCTGAGCCAAGCTCTACATGGTGTGCTTTTGGGCATTGTTGGGGACATTCTCTGAGCCAAGCTCTACATGGTGTGCTTTGGCTTTGGAGATTTTGGAGGTGGCCTTGGATATCCCGCAGGTGCATCTCCTCTCTTGTGGAGATGATGAACTCATTAGGCTGATTTGGTGACTCTGAGAAACACTATCGAAAAATATAGTGACGCTGAACCCTAATGTCCTGTGATGGCCTTCTGACAGTCACAACTGTCACCCTAAAAGGCTGCGTGCAGTGGAAACACCTGGGCCTCTTTCTCACCTGCCAAACCATCAGCAGAATTTTAAATCTGTACTTTTACAAGTACACATTCACCCACAGATTTAATTTTTCTCAAAAACCACTTCAATCAGGTTCATGAAGAAGGCCACTCTTGAATACAGATTATTCTTGCTCTTAAGATCAGCGGAATGAATAGAGATCACCACAGTGCCATTGAAGAAAGGGGTGACCAAGCAGGAAGGCTGACTCATGCCCCCATGTTGGAGGGCCTGGCTGCACCCTGGGTCCTCATCCAGACCCCTGAGCGGTCAAGGACCTGGCTGGCACCCTGGGCCCAGGTCCTGTCCTCTGTGCGGTCAAGGGCCTGACTGGCACCCTGGGCCCTCCATCTAATCCCCTGCACCCAAAGTAATAAGAAACAGCAACAAGTACTCTTCGTGGGATTCTGAATTCACCAGTAGAACTTTCTGTCTTCATCTAAAAGGCTGAGTTTTGCTTGAGTTTCCCCTAGTCTGAGTGAGCTTCTCCTTCAAGTGATCTACAGTCAGCACAATTTGGACGTGGGCTTTTCTGAATGTAGGTTGTTGTGGTTCAGATGTGAGGCGTCCCCAAAGCCCAGGCGTGAGGCGGGGTGAGGAGGTTCAGAGGTGCAGAGACTGGGTCAGGAGGGCCTTACCTAAGCAGTGCACTACTCCCTGACAGGGATTAGCTGGGTGGTGACCACAGGCAGGTGGGGTCTGGCTGGGGGGAGGTGGGTCCTGGAGGTGTGCCTTTGGGTGTATATTTTGTCCCTGGTCAGTGGAGCTCTCTCTCTCTCTCTGCTTCCTGGCTGCCAAGTGTTGATAACTGCCTTCCTCCCCCACACCCTCCGCCACGACGTGCTGCCTCACTTGGACCCAGAGCAATGGAGTCAGCGTCTGTGGATGGTTCACACACCACAACATTCAGGACACTTTTCCTTTCCTTGTACTACGGTGAGCACTCACAATTCTCTATCACAAGCCACACGCATTTTCAAGTAGTAATAAACACCCCCATGTTTCCCTCCAAAAGAGACATTACCAGTTTACATCCCCACCAACCTCGAAGGCAGAAACAAAGATGTGAGCTGATGCTGGACTTCACTTCTCCGGCGTGCGGCTGGGAGCAAGATGGCTGTGTGGTGCCAGGCCTTGGGCCACCAGCCCTGCATGTTCAGGCCAGCACTGACTCCTCCCCAGTTCACACGCGGCCCATGGGAGCGGAGCACAGTCCCTTTTTCTGTGGGAGCTGGTGGGTGCTGCCTGAGGCCCAGGAAGTCCTTGATGTGCCACACGGTATGCATCTGGAATGTCCACTGAAGGCTTGTGTGTGGGCAGGCAGCAGTGTCCAGAGCTGGGCTCTAGGGCACCAATTGGCTCAGAAGTGGGATGCATAGCTGAATGGACTACGGGGGGGTGGGGCCCAGGGGGAGGGGATGGGTCATCTGGGCATGACCTGAAGGGATCACCTAGGTGACAGCTTTGACCTGACACTCTCCCTGCCACCTGGACCAAAACCTCTGAAACCCTGAGCCGAAATAAGCCTTCCCCTGTTTTCTGCAGTACTTTGTCACAGTAATGAGCGGCTAACGCGAAGCTGGAACCCCGAGTCCCTCCTCGGCTTGGGGGACTCTGCCATCCGTGGTTTCACGGCTTCCCATCTGCGCCTCTCCTCGTCTTCGGACCCCTATTCTCTGCGTGTCGGCTCATCCTGAATCCGCATCCCCTTCTCCACTTTCCCCCAGAACCTGCACCTGTGACTTCCTCTGCACTGAACACGGCCAACCTGGACTCAGCAAATGTCTCTGCTCTTCACAGCCTCTGCTCAGGTTTGGAAGCCATATTCTCCTAGTTCCAAGTCTATCGCAACATCTCTGATCTCACTGAGAATGCACTCTGAAACACGAGCCCAAGTAGACATTTCCTCCTGCACTGTCCTTGCCGGCCTTCAGTCCCAGCAGAGAGCCAGCTGACTGAAGACAGGTGCGGCATCTACTATGTTTCTCCTTATTAGATTCCTGCAGAATCAACAAATTATCTGTGTGTATATTTTACTTTTTATGACGTGATTATTTGTACAAGTTCAGTAAAGACCCATCCTCTTTGTTATAGGATAAGAAGCCTCCTTCGAGGGGCTTGGTCTTCCAGGGAGTGGACGAGGGCCGGAGCCTTGGGCCTTGTGCTGCAGGTGAGATCCGTGGCCCCGGACTTGGCCTCCAGCCTTAGGAGCTTTCTTATTTTGTTTTGTTTTGATTTTTGCACCAGGGATTGAACCCAGGTGCACTTAACCCCTGACCCACATCCCCAGCCTTTTCCATTTTTCATTTTGAGACAGGTCACGCTAAGTTGCTGAGGCTGGCCTTGAACTTGCAATCCTCCTGCCTTAGGCTCCCGAGTCACTGGGGTGACAGGCTAGTGCTACTGTGCTGGCACCCCAGGAAGCCTCTACTCCATGACCACTACCTGGTAGATCACAGTTCTCGCTGAACTTATGTGAATCATCAAGTAAAACCAAATTTGTTTTGCAAACCAACTGATTTTTCTGTGGTGATCATCTTTGATAGAAGTTGCTATGAACATGGAGAGAAATTCAGTTTCTAAAGAAAACTATGGTGCACTTGTGATCAGAGTGTGGCTCTGTTCATGGTTTTTCAGGTTTTTTGTTTGGGGATTTGGGGATTTGGGAGTTTTTTGTTTGTTTGTTTGTTGAATCTACCCGTAGACTGGTCTACAAATTCCTCCTGCGTCCCCCCACCCAGTTTTCTTCCATGGAATATCTAAGAACAGGGTCTGGTCTTTCCTAACGTCCCAGCCACTGAAGATGCACAGCTTGAGGTGAGGGTCGAGGGACAAGCCTCATTCCCCAGACCCCACCAACTGCCCAATGCTGTACCAGAGACATTTCAAACCACCCACCAGATGGGGAATCAACTTAGACTCCACATCACACTGAGATTCTTGCCCCTTTAACATTCCTCAAGAGGCACATTTTAAAAGCACGATCCCCAATGCAGAAAGGTTCAGAGGTGGGGCTTTTAGGCAGTGATTAGATTTTGAGAGCTGTAACACTGGTGGATTAACTCACTTGATGGATTAACAATTTCATTGGATGACTGGGTGCCAACTGTAGGCAGGTAGGGTGTGGCTAAGGTCATAGGTCACTGGGGCATGACCTGGAGACTATATCCTGTCCCTGGCTTCTCTCTCTCTCTGTCTCTCTCTCCCTCCCTCCCCCCCACTCCTTCCTGACTTCCATGAGCCAACAGCTCTCCTCTGCCATCCCCTTGTGCCATGAGTTCTGCTTTACCTCAGGCCAGAGCAATGGACTAAACCTCTGAAACTGTGAGCCCCAAATAAATTTTCCTCCTCTAAGTTGCTCTTGTTGGGTATTCTGACTAACACACCCCTCTCATTTTCTTCTTGCCCAGGCCTGCCTCTTCACAGGCAGGGCAATGCAGTAGTTAACCCCTCGTGGTCCACGGCTACTGGGGGCAGCATGGCGGGCCGGACCCAAGAAGCCCTTATGTCCACCGAGTGGGTGTTGTTGGCAACATCTCCACTGCAAGCCTGTTCAGAGGACACTGGTGGTCCTTTCCCATGACACTGTTCAGCTCAACCCAACCACGGGCTATCAAATGATAAAACCACTCTCAATTATTTATTGTTAAGTAAAAAAAAAAATGCCTGTGTTGCTGCTGCTACTAAATGTTCACCTGGATAAATCCCTCTGGGTACATTGAGACCCAATGATAAAATAAGACAAAGATCTAGTGGCTTGATTCAGAACCAGCAGGTCCTTGGCATACCTGGGGGAAAGAATTTCAGCAAGAGCCAGACCAAGGCGTGGATAGGGGCTTATGTAGGCAGTAGATCCACACTCAGGGGAGCACATGGCCATCTCAAGAGTGAGCAGCCCCATGTGGGCTGGGATCCAAAATGTAGAGACCGGCTGTACTTAGGAGCTGGGCTGGAGGTACAGGGTGCAGCTGAACAATCCCCGACTTTCCCTGCAGTTGTGCACGTGTCCCTCCTTTTACAAGAGGAGTGTGATTTCTGCCTCTCAGTGGCTCCTGGATGGTTCCTTCACAACTCAATGTCTCTCTCTCTCTCTCTTTATCCTAAATCCTTGCCTATGTTACAGGTGCCACCTCGATCTCCTTGGTCCTGGGCCCATAAAGCCAGGTCCCAGGTATTATGCAAACCAGATCTGGCCTCCTCTTGGGTCTTGTATTGTCCTCCTTAAACCCTACACCTGTGGTCTGCCAGACTTCTACAGAAGCACGACTCACAAAATGACTTCAGTGCTCGAGGTGAGGGGCACTGCCTACAGAACAGAAGAAGCACACTGGGCAACAGGCTCCCAGCAGATGTGGCCTAAGGACCTCTCCTGGCCACAGACGTGGCTCGGCAGATCTTGACACCGACCCATGGTCGCCAGGTGCCCCCCCCCCAGGTGGGACTAGCCCAGACCCAGAACTGATACAGGCCCCTCCCGCACCAAGGGACAATCACAAGCTGACTACAAGTCAGATGACCAGAGACGTTTCCAGACGGTCTCCATCACAAGAGGGAAATGCAAAAATGGCAGGATTGGAACACCATGGCTCCAGCCTACCCTGACAGAAGTGTATCCAGGAGGCTGGAAGGAGTGTGGGCTTGGCCTGTAGGGAGCTGTCAAAACACAGTAGCAGCCCTCCCCGGAACTACAGCTTTTTAATTTGGAGATTTCACATAAAAACCTGTATTTCCAGGGCTGAGGCTGGGGCTCAGCAGTACCGCACTTGCCTGGGACGTGTGAGGCACTGGGTTCGAATATCAGCACACATGTAAATAAATAAAAAATAAAGGTCTATCAACAACTGAAAAAAAATAAAAATAAAAAAACCCTGAATTTCCAGCTTCTCTTGAGAATGCAGGTCTGCCTCTGGGACTCCCTGGGGGCCAGCCCACAGCCCTGCCCCTGGCTCCCCAGCTGCCACCCATCGCCCCACAGGCCAGGTCTGTGCCAGCTCTTGGTGGAAGGGCTCTGAAGACAGCTCACTGTCCTCCAGAAACACATCCCTCCCGGCCCCAGCCCGACAGCCACACGGCAGCTCAGACCCAAGGCTGAGAGGGCCCAGGAGTGGACCGCTGCTCCACCTCGGCCAGGCGCGCCCGGACACAGCCCTGCTCTGCTGCCTCTGTTACCGAGGTCCAGGTCAAACCTCTGTTATTCCTGCATAGGCATTCTTCACCCCCGGCTGGCATTGTAGTACCGCTGTGGCGGGTGCAGGAACGCGTCCAGACTTCGGAGTCCTTGGAAGGCGGCAGGTAGTCCTGGTGGTGGGTGAAGGAGGCCTCCAGCTGCGCCTGGGAGTTTCTCAGGATGGAGAAGTAGAAGGTGTTGTTGGGCATGACTTTCTGCACCTGTTCCCAGAAGGAAGAACCCATCGGGTCCTGGGTGAGGGCTGAACCTACTCACAGAGACCCCAACCTCCTGCCTGCAGGTGCCGTGAGGCCTGTGGCTTGTCGTGGGTGGACTCCCCCCAGAGCCCAGACCCAGTGCCAGCCCCACATGGCTCACTGGTGCTGTGCATCAGACCAGGCCACCTTGCCTTCTGCCAGCCATTCTCCCCTGGAACACCCAGAGAAACCCTGAAAGGCTACACCCTTCCCCATTCAACTCCTCCCCGCCCCTTAGGGTCTTTCTGAAAGCAGCTCAGGAATCCCCTGGGAGGAGTTCATCTCAGCTGAGACCTCAGGACCTGGAGGAGGATCCATGGAGCCCACCCTCACCAAAGGCAGCTGCAGAGGTCGGAGGTGGAAGACGGGCTTGCTCCGGGAGCAGGGGGCAGAGAGAAGGAGAGGGCTGCCCTCTGGTACAAGGCAGGCAGGCTAGTCTCCTTCCAAGGGCAATTAACTGTGGCCCAGCGGCCCAGCCCCTCAGCCGAGGCCCTTCTCTGTCCTCCAGGCTGCGTCTGCTCAAGCCCCAGTCCACACCTCAAGCCCAACCTCCAGCCTGCACCACCCACACCTCGGGCAGGTTGATGTCGAAGTGCGGGGAGGATCAGGCTCATCCTGGTGGGCGCTCTCCACGTAGTGTGCCAAGAAGCGCCAGGGAGAGGCCAGGTGGAAGCGGGAGCCGACAGCGGGCAGTGCTGTGGTCAGGTTGTGCCCCTCGGCAAAGTGGTAGAGGACGTTGAGCACCGTGCTGCCGGCTGTCTTGTGTGTCTTGAGGAACACGACATTGGTGGTGGGTGGCCCCTCAGCCTGGCCACTGAACAGGCTGGAGGAGAACACCGGCCACAGTCACATGCCCGGCACCCAGCCGTCCACCCTGGGGACAGCCAAACCTCTGCCATCACCGTGCCCTCCCAACACCGTGGCCAGCCTCACCTGAAGACCTCCGAAGCCCCTGGCACAGAGGGACCTGCAGGGCAGGCATGACCACCTCCATGGCCATCTGTTCCCACATAGGCTGCAGGCTCAGGCCCCAACCTGCTGCTGACCACCAGGGCACCTGGCACTGGCTGGCTGACCTCAGCCACACATCCACCATTTCCTGGCTGACCCTTCACCCCGCAACCAGAAAGGGCCCTGACACCCGGCCACTCAGCCTGATGCAGGGCCAGAGAGAGCAAAGGCTGACTGGCCGGGTGTCAGGGCCCTCCCTGCCCCAGTGCAGGACAGGAAGAGTGACCGGAAGGGGCTGGGGTTGTAGCTCAGAGGTACAGCACTGGCCTCGCAGGTGTAAGGCAGCGGATCTGACCCACAGCACCACAAGAAAATAGATACATAATGTCTAAAGAGAAGCCGTATCTGATGATGAAAAATGGGGGAGGGGGCTGGGGACGCAGGGCTTGCCTCACAGGCACAAGGCCTGGGGTTCAGTCCCCAGCACCAAAAAAAAAAAAACCAAAAAGAGTGATGAGGAAGACAAGGGACAACGAAGTCTGGGCAAGGACCTGGCAAAGATATGACTGTCCCCTCTGCGTCCTCCCTGCCCAGGCGGCCCATGCCCCCACAGCCCTGCCCAGAGATCTGCTAGGTGGGTGGCCACGCTGACAGAGCCCCTGGAGGCCCAGGATGCTCATGGGTCCCCCCAAGGAAGGGCCACCACCTTCTCCCAGAGGGAAGATGCTGCCTGCCATGTGCACTGACAGGTGCAGGGGCCCCCATGTGAAAGGCAGCCTCCCAGAGCACGGGGTGACCCGTGGCAGGACTTACCGAGTGAGCAGCCCAGTGTCTGTGGACAGCAAGCCAACCAGCCGAAGCACCACCAGGAGGAGGGCCCAGAAGGACCTGTGGGCAGGACCCCTCAGTGCCACGCAGGATGGCACTGCCCACCGACCCACCCACCCGTCCAGGAGCCCACCCAAGTCTTTGGGCCATGGCCCAACAGGGGTCTGGGCCCCTCATCCCATAACAGCCGGTGTGTGGTGCACCTGAGGTCCCTCCAGAGTGGGCAGGCGACCCGGGCTCCCCGATTCTGCTCAGAACGAATTACAGGGGATGCTGTGGACTGAACTCTGCCCTCAAATCCATGGCCAGGTCACTGCACACACCACACCTCAGGCCACCAACACAGTGTCACCAGCTACTGTCCCACTGCACACCCGCGGTTCCACCCGGCCAAGTCCCAGTCCTGCTGAGGGGACGCCCCTCCATTCCCCACACTTCCTGCAAGTCTGTGGACATCGAGCTCAGGAGCCACCACATGGGGTTCCCCGTGGCCCCAGGGGGACCAGGGGCCTTAGTAAGCAGTATACCCAACCCTGAGAGACTCAGCTTGAGCTCCCCAGTCTTCCGGGTACAGGTGGAGAAGCCCACGTGGGGGCCAGTCCCCCATGGAGGTGCCTGCATACAAGTCAGGGGTCAAGCCTCCTGGCCTGAGTCATGGGCTCTGTGCCACCCACGGGCCACCGTGGCTGCTGCCAATCCCAGGGAGGGGGCCGTCATGCCCCTCACCTCTACAATTAGTTGGAGCTGAACCCTCACTGATGAGAGCCATGCAGAGCCTGACCTGGCACGGCTGGCCTGTCCTTCTCACTGTGTCAACTGCCCCACGAAACCCTTCTTCAAACACTCTGTTTTTGCTGGATCCTGTGGGTCTCCCAAGCTCCAGCACACACTAACCATCTGTCCAGTGGTTTGCTAGCACCCAGGCTGGGTGGGAGCCACCCTGAGCCCCAGAGCTGAAACTCAGGGTTCTGAAGCAGAGGCAAAGACCCGTGCCCGCTGCTGTGTCCGCAGCCCATACAGCCCATCTAAGAGGGCAGCCACATCCACGCCTTCGCACCCTCAGCCCAGCCTATCTTGCTCTTGATGTATAAGGACAAACACAAATCTTAAACTTTTAAAATAAACTGTAGTTCCCTGGTGCAAAAGAGTGCTAAGAGCCAAGTATATGATGCATGGCATTTTTGGTGGAAAGGTGACGCCAGCTAGCCATTGAGATGATATGATTATGTTAAGATTTGCATTCATATGGATATTGGACTCCTGCTGTTCACCTAGGCAGGCTATGGGGACTCCTGGAGAGTTCCCATTGGTTGGGGAAGTACAGGAGGAGGGAGTTCCGGGGGAGGAGCTCTCTCTGCGGTCCGGGAGGAGGCCGCGTGGGTGGATCGAAAAATCTTCCCGGGCTAGTACCAAACATTGGCGGCAGTTTCAAAAAATAAAGTTTGTTCCTGCTTGAGTGGCTCGTGATTTTGTGCCCAGCCAGACTGCGGCAAAAAAGAAAAGAACTTCCTTCTTGGTGCATCAAGGTCAAACACTGGCGACTGAGTTCTTTCTCTGCCCCTTCCTTCACCCATGCGATGGAGAAAACTCTTTGAAAACTTGCTAAGCCCGCTGCCAGCTTCACAGCCCAGCACTCTTAAGCACCTGGGCAGCCTCTGTGAACACTGCCCACCAGGGCAGGCCAGCTGGTACCTGGCTCCAAGGCACTGGTCTGCTCCCTGATGGAAAGATAGGAGAAGTTACTTTTCCTTTGTATAAAGCCAGTCAGCAAATGCAGGTTGCTGCTCCAGTACCAGATGGACCTGAGATGGGCTCCAGGTAAGAGGGGTGCTGTGAAGTCCTCTTATCTGAGCGCCGGTGGTCGTCCTTCTGGAAACCGTGGTGTGACAGCACACCTGCCAGAACTCCTGAGCATGCCCTGGGGCTCATCCTTCTGTACCCAGACAACCCCAGGCCCTAGTCCATTTCTGCCCTAAGAAGGCCATATCCCACATTCCTGCCCAGCAGTCCCCTGAGACGTCCCCACCATTTTACCTTTTACCCTTCCATTTTACCCTTCCTCAGCCTCTGAGGTCTCCATGGAGCCCCAAGGGCAGGACCAGCGCAATCTATTCCTCCTCTGACCAGCTGCAGCATCCTGGACTTCAAGAGCTCCAGCTGTCTTGGTCCCTGGAGATGTACAACACAGCCCTCCTGGGCCACGGAGCCTCCCATGGGGCCACTGCAGGACCGCATGCCCCCACCTTGGGGCCTCACAGTGACTCACAGGCCCACACAAGCCCTTTCTGGGTCACACAACCCCAGGGGCAGCTCTGTCCCCTGGCAGGACTCCCCTAGACTCCATACTAGAGGAATGTAGGTTGGCAGGAGGCCCTGACCTCAGGTCGGGGTCACAGGCAGTGACAGGAGACGAATAGAGATGCCCCCAGTCAGCGACACCCTGACCCTCCAGGAAGTTGAGAGGCTGTGCCTCAGTCATGGCAATGGGAGCCCCCTGCAGGCCTGGTCCCTCCTCAGGGCACTTGGCTCTGCATGATCCTCATGCCTTCCCTTGGCAGGTTGGGTTCACTGTGGGCACCAGAATCGGGCAACCCTGGCCAGGTGACCTCTCGTCTTGGCTCCAGGCAGTACCACAGACTGCCTAGGGCCACAGCCACACCTTCCTGGCTGCACTGCCACAGCTGCCCCCTCTCCCCAGAGCCATGGCTTTCTGCCTCCCGACAAGCTGAGCTTGCTGGCCCAGGACTGATGAGTCTCCGGCACTTACACAATTCTAGGAAAATACACAAGGGGCTGGAGGTGGTTCCTGGGTTCAGGGCTAGAAGTGACTCAGCATAGCCTGGGAGGCTGAGCCCAGTATGGTGTCCTCAGAGCCGCCAGGGCTGCCAGCCTGTGAGGCAGGGTCTGAAGCCAGAGAGGCCACCACCAGAAGCCCACCCAGCCAGGTGCCGTGACACATGCCTATAATCCCAGCGGCTCGGGAGGCTGCGGCACAAGGATCGAGAGTTTAAAGCCAGCTTTGGAAGCACTAAGCAACTCAGCGAGACCCTGTCTCTAAATAAAATACAAAATAGGGCTGGGGATGCGGCTCAGTGGTCGAGTGCCCTTGAGTTCAACTCCTGGTATCAAAAGAAGAAGAAGAAGAAGAAGAAGAAACCCACCCAGGATCCCAGAACCCATGCCCAGGGCTCCTGGGTCTCTTGCAGGCAATGGACTCACTCAGGTGGCTCCTGGGAGCACAGCAGGGTCCATGCAGATGTTCCCTGGCTACAAAGACAGCCAATCAGGGGCCTTGGCAACCAGAGGACCTGAGTGTGGCCCCCACCAGTGAAGGGACCAGACCCAGCTGTGGCACCTGCAGCACAGCGCGTGCTGTGAACGTGCATGTGAACATGCAGTCTGAGGGCTGGGGACAGGGGCAGAAGGAGGGAGCCAAAATGGAAGCCCCTCCCTCCCTCAGCCACGAGCCAGAGGGGTTCTGTGAGGTGGCGCCAAGCGTTCATCCCAGGAGTCCGTCCCAGGCCTGTGGCCCACAGAGGAGGCAGTAGGACCCGGCAGAGAACGTGGGCTTCACTCTGCAGAAACCTCCCCAACTGAGGAGCCACAGGAGTGAAACGCAGCGGATCTGGGCCACACCGCCTCCTCCAGACCCACACTGAAGAGAACCCTGCTCTGCTGTCCCTAGAGCGGAAGCAGCAGGTCCCAGCCCAGCCACACCCCACAACTGCTGCAGCAGGTCAGGGACAAGCACCTGACCCCTGAGCTCCCTATACTGCATACATGTGTCAGGGGCTCATGCCCCAGAGTGTCCCTTCAAACACAGGGTCCAGCTTTGGGATGGGACAAAGACCTCCACACCAAGCCAGGTCCCAGCCCCATGGCTCCTCCCCCAGCCATCAGCCCAGACACTCAGGTGGTCCCAATGCCCCTATGCTGGGGGTGCAGCACAGACCCCACAAGCTCCCAAAATACAAAGGACTTGCCCAGGAAGGACAGAGACGGGTCCCTTCTGTCTGAAATGAAAACAAATGGCCAAACTCAGGAATGTGCCAAGGTCAATCCCCCAGATCCAAATAGACTTCCTTTTAGAGACAAACAGGAGCTCATCTGCACTTCTCAGGATGTTCAAGGAGTAAGGGCCGCTGTCCTCCTATACTGTCCTCCTCACCTCAGCAAGCCGCTCCGCCTAGGAGGCATGCTGGCCTCAGAGCCGCGAGCACCGTCAGTAGGTTCAAGTGCCCCCAGGTCCCCTGCATTGGGCACCTGCTGGTTCCAGCTCCCTGGGGCACAGGCACCAGGTAGACGTGGCAGCTGTACAGAGCATGACTTTAAGCCCCAAGAAGCTCACCTGCAGCTCAGGTGGGGCCACGCCCTCTCTCACCTCAATCCTAAGGCTTAACTGTTCTGTTCTCAGGAAGAACTGGACCTTCTGGCCTCCTTCCCTGACCCCCCTCCTCCATCACCAGGTGAGGCCTGGCAGCAGAGGAGTGTTCTGGGAGAGTGGGCTTGGAGGAAGCTGTCCCCACTGGAAAGGGGCCCACAAGGACCACCAGGGATTCCGCATCCAAATAAAAACAGGACATGAATATCCTGATGTGTGGAAGGTCGAGATTCACAGATCAAGGATGATGGGATGAGGCACAGGCTCGGATGCCAGAGGCGCTCTTCTGAGACCTTCCTTTACATCAGGCAAAGATGACCCTGAGATCCTGGGGTGTACAAGAGGCACTGGGGCAAGAAATAAATTCAAGTGTCTGTTTGTAGGTTCTCTGTCGGGTCACGGCATGGAATTTCATTCCTTTCCCCAGGAAAGAGATATCATTCCGAGGTGAACGACAAACCACAGGGCTGTTTGGCACATTTGGCCCCAAGAGTTAAGTCCACATGGATAAAAGTTTCTTGCAGAACAACAAGAAAAAGACAAATACCCCAAAGATGTACAAGCCATGCATGGGGGCAGGCCCCTCTTGCAGTCCAGCGGTCCTGTAGTCTGAGCCTGCGCATGGTGGCTGTGCCTGTGGAGGTCGGTGCACAGGACACCATCCATCCCTGTCCACTGACCCTCGATTCCATGTGGGTGCTGGCCAGTGACACTTGAGAGGAGCATGGGTCAGAGCAGAACCCTCTTTCAAAACGCTCTGCAGGCCCCCAGAGCTGTCCCTGAGCACAGGGGCTGCAGACTAGCAGACAAGCAGGCAGAGGAGCAGCAGGGCTGGATGGACTTGCTGCTCTCCCCCAAGTGCTTCCTGTGCCCCCACATTCCACCTTTAGACAGGTTCCTGCTTCTCCTGCCCAGACTGCTCAGGCTCATGTGCACCCAGAGCCTCTCAGATACCTCTATGGTCCAGGCTACAGTGATAGGGCTGGTGGGCCCAGCATGCAGGGCACCTCCTTCCCAGGTTGGGGCCCCAGCAACCCAGGTTCTGAGCAGCTTTGGGGCCCTGAGCAGGAAGCGCAGGCCAGCTACCTTTGTGCCACTGGGGCAGGTCCAAATGAGGATCAAGAATGGATGTCCAGCTGGCCAGAAGAAGGCCAGTGGGCCCTGCCCATCGCCTACAAAGCCCAAGACATGAGTCCTTGCCCATGGGTACCTTGGGCAGGCCTGTTGGCCACCCACTGCTTCACAAGGGAGGTTCCCTGTGTCCAGGACTTGCCTGTACTCACAGTAGCTCTGCCCATGCACTGGGCCCATGGTAGACCAGGCACATCCCAGCAGACTTGGGGCAAGCAGGGGCAGCAGAGAGGCCAGGGAAGCCACAAAGCCCAGCTGGCCAGGCGGCACCCCAGGCAGGGGTGAGAGCAGAACAGGGTTCAGGAAAGAGAGGTTGTTAGGTGCAGAACAGGCTGAACTATGTTATCTGCAGGGCAGGCTGAACAAATGTTAGCTGCAGGATGGCCCACGCACTCAAACCCCCCTCTGTCTGGTCCTTTATCACCTGTTTGCGTCAAAGCTGAACATTCAACCCCCCTCAAGGCTGAACACTCAACCCCCCCTTGTGCCAACAAGGCAGCTTGCAGACCCAGAGGCCCCGTTAGATTTGGGCTCTAAAAACTCCCTCCTAATGGGCCCCCCTCTCTTGCTCTCTTGCTCTGTCTCTCTCTCTTGATCTCTCTGTCTCCCTTGCGTGCATACTCTCCTTCCTCTCTCTCTCTCTCTCTCTCTCTCTCTCTCTCTCTCTCTCTCTCTTTCTCTTTTCTCCTCTGTTGTGCTGCAGCAAAAAGATCTCTTGGTCGCTCCGAGTGTTGTGGTCACTTTCCTTTCAGAGGTATCCTGCTGAGAGCCACAGCCGAGTCAGAATGGCCCCTGGCATTTTGCCAATAGTATTGGTTGAGAGGCGAGCCATTAGATGATGCTGGATTGATTCAATTGTATATTAGACCTTTACTGTCTGCCTAGACCTGCTACTTTGGAGTTCTCGTGGGGATTCCTGGAGAGTTCGCATTGGTTGGGGAAGTGCTGGAGGGGGGATTTCCGGTTGGTGGTTCCTGGAGGAGCCGCATGGCGTTCGGGAGAGTTCCCGGGGAGCATGTGTGGAGTGTGCTGGTGGAGTTCAGAAAGAAAGTTTGTTCCTGCTTCAGTGGCTCGTGATTTGTGCCCAGCCAGACTGCAGCATTTGGCGGCCCGTGCGGGAACGCCTGAAGCTCAGGGGTAAATGAAATTGCTTGCCCCTGAGGGAAGGCGAGAGAATGGGTGACCATTTCAAAAAACAATGTGTTCTTGTTTTGTTTTTGTTTCAAGCTGCCTATCCCTAGAACTTTCTCAGGCAAACTGGAAAAAATGGTTGGCTCAAGGTTTGAAGTTGTTCGCCCCTGAGGAAAAGATAGAAATAGACCACAAAAGCACATGTCAAGAAAATAGGAAAATTGATACAACGATTTTTTGTTCCGTTTTTGTTTCATTCTGTTTCAGTTTTGTTTTGTGTTATAGTAAATCAGAAATTAGCAAAAAACAAACTGAAAGAGTGTTAAGTAAATTGTTAGAGGTCCAGACTATGGTAGAAAACATGTTAGATCAAGCAAAAGAGAAGTTCTCTCGAGCTAGTCAGACAGAGGAAGAAAATTTAAAGGAAGAAAGCTTAGAGGAGAAACAGCTATCAGGGGGAAGCTACAACAGGAGGCTGCTACTAACACCGTTCTATCACCAGAGGGCATAATTCAACCAGCAGCTCCATCTATGGAGACAGCTGAGTGGCCCTCAACCCCTGTAGTTGACAGATGGGATCCTGAGACAGGATCTCAAATATTAACATGCCCTGTACTTGAGCAGGCAGGAGGGCAATGAATTCACCGTGCTTTAGATTTCAAAACAGTGAAGCAGTTAAAGGAGGCTGTAACAACCTACGGGCCACAAGCACCCTTCACTGTAAGCATGGTCAAATCCATTACCAACTTGGACATGACGCCAGCAGATTGGGCTAGTATGTGTAAAGCTGTGCTAAATGGAGGGCAATATTTGTTATGGAAGGTTGCCAATGAGGA